AATCCATCCTACCGCTCATCTACCCTACCTATAAAATGTAACTTTTGATATATCAATGCTCGTTTGAAAAGTGTTGTTAAAAAATTGTGAAATATTTGACATAATGATGATTAGCAGGAAGATAGTAGTACAATGATGCTAATTAATGGGATGACAATTTCAAAAGAGAGCTAGCTAGCCAGCATATACAAGGACTTCTGGCAAATGGAACCAAAAAATGGTGAAAAATCGTGTATCCAGACCAACTTAACCACAACTGTAAACACACATGGCATCATTTTCGAATGCACCACCGTTGTTTCATATGTGGGCGGCCCACCTATAGCTAGTCATGCTACCATAGATATCAAAGTCATAACGTAAGGATTTGAAGAACCTATTTTTAGTAACAAACGCAGCTGGAAACTTGAATGAATAGATTATAAAAGTTGGCAAGATTGTTTGGTATCCTATCATATCCTCCATTTTTTAGGCTCTCTTTTCAACTCACGAATCGATGAGTTTAATAAAGTGTGCTTTCATTCATAAAGAAAAAGGAACTTTAGACAACTTCATGTTTGGGAATTTTCTTATGCGAGAAACCAACAACAGAGGTTCGAGAAGTTGAGATAATTTCCCAATAAATACATTAATTTTTAATTGAGTATATATTTTTTAAAAAATAAAATTGATCAAGTATTTTGTTTATAAAACTTATAGCACAATTATCTCTTCAGGATGTTGAACTAGCTTGCTTTTATTTATTTATTTTTTTTGGAACTGTTGTATTAGCTAGCTTGATAACAAGATGTTGCATGCATGCATGGGTTGTAAAATTAATAACAGTTATCGAGATGATGCTAATTATCTATCTCTAGTAGTAAACAATGCTTCACGCAAACATATTTAATTTGTAATTGTGTATCGATAACATTTTTTCAATGAAACAATTCTAATTCTATGGCAAAAATTAGTTCGGCTTTTTTGTTTACGCCGCTAACTCTCTGTTTGGTCCTCTTTTTGGTTCATTTTGTTACTAAAAAGGGAGGAAGAGCCTTAGTACCAAACGCTTGGCAATCCTTGGCAGAGTTTATTTATGAATTCGTGCTAAGCCCGGTAAGCAAGTAAACGGATGGTCTTTCCGAAAATGTAAAACAAAAGTTTTTGCCTCGCATCTCATAGGGAAAAAAAAATTTATTATAGATGATTAGCACTCAGTAGTCACTTTAATCACATTGAGGTACGTTTTGTTTCTTATACTGGACAAAGGATGTCCATCTACAAAACAAACAAATCACTAAAACAATACGTGAATGGTTAGCTATTAATTTGAATGTGGAGTGTTCCTCGTCTCAAGCAAATGGTAGGCCACAGGAATAAAAACAGGAATAAAATCTAACAGCAGATCTTTAGTCAATTATTAAGGAGATATATGACAATACCAGACCGGTGTTATCCATCGTTTGCAACATCATCAAATGCAAAATTAATTAATGGTCCCATCTCCTATGTCACGTTCTTTTTAATTAATGATCCACCCACTATCTACATTAACCATGGAAATTCACTAAACTTCGAATTTGCAAATAATTTTTTACATCATTTTTTTTGTCCCCGTAACATTGCCCTATCCAAATTTCCGTATTTAAATACACTTATTCTTCTTCCCCCCACCACCCAGCTTAATTTTTTGAAATATTTATTGATTTTCGTTACATCAATTTATGTTGTAAAGTAGAGCATTACTGGTTTTTGGGGTTTTTTTTTTTTTTTTTTTGAGCTTTTTCTTCAAAAAATACTGAAACAATATTAGTAAAACTCTAAAAACTGTTTTAAAACCTATTTAAAAGTCAAAAGTGACGAAAATAAAACTTTTGTACTTTTTAATAATATATAATATAAAAGCATTTTAACATTGCATATTGTTATATGTATATATATATAGTTATAACAGCCACAATTACAGCAAAAACTACAGCTAAAAACAAGAGTTTTCTTAAATGGACCCTGTGTATATTTATGGCCTCTCCCACGTTTTTTATGGTTTCCAGCTTTTCTATAAAACCAGCTGGCTTTGATCATGTTAGTGGTGTTTATGTATGGGAAGCGGGAGCTTGATATTACCCAATAATTATTGATCATTTGAAAGGTTGTATAGACAGCTAATTAATGATTCCATTTACCCAAATAATTTTTGATTTCTCAAAAGCATGTTTTAGAAATGAAATTATCGACTTTTCCTACCTCTCTTCTTCTCACATCTATCTAGTTTTGTTAGTACTGTGTATCCAAATGATCTGTAGAGCCATTCTCTCTTTCCTAGGAGAATCTCTGTATTTTTAATATTATAGCCTTGGAATTTTTTTGGTCAAAATATGTTTGGTAGGATATGTGTATAACGTACAAGATTCTATCAAGATTTTGTTTGATAGGATGTGTGATTTGAGGAGCAAGATCATTGAAGAGATAAAAGCCTACCATTTGTGGTCTTCTAACCTAGCTACTTCTACTGGGTACCTATCAATGGAGAATCATCGTCTCATGCATCAGCTTGTTGTGTTCGTAAAATTAAATTGACCAAGGAGATAAAAAAAGATACAATGGTTGGCTGTATCTCATATTATTATTTTGATACTTACGAGTTATTTTCAAAATCAATATTATTTTTTAAATTAAATTATTGTCAAATCACGTTTAATTTTTTTTAGTAAAACTAAAATGTTTGTTTCGAATGATAAAAATACACGGTATGTTTATTCGAATGGCTGCATGTTCTAACGTAATTATACTATATGATAATAATTACTGTCGAATAACCTGAAGTAAAACAGAAGAGCCACATTTGTGTGTTTGAAAAATAATTCTACTGATATTTTCAGGAATATCACCAACAGTATTCACCTAACAATTTAAAGTACATAATGACTGAAATATTTCTACTAAAAGAAACAATTTTTTTTTTATTTTTAATACCTACAAGTTAGCTTGATAAAATTATTCCGATTGTCATTATCTGTTTTTGAAATGTAGATTATTTTTATTAATTCAAATAATGAGCATGCCAAAATCGACCAATTTGAATTAAACAATGAAAAAGAAAGAATTGTGTTGTATGTCAAAAGAGCCACATTTACGTGTTTGAAAAAAAAAAAAGAAATATTCATCTTTCCAGGAGGATCACCAACAATACTCCCCTAACATGGAGAATATAATGATCGAAATATTTCTCTAAAAAAAAAAAGAAGGTTTTTTTATACATATAAGTTAGTTTGATAAAAAATTATTGCGGATGTCATTATCTGATTTTGAAATTAACCAATGAATATGCCAAAAATGACCAGTTTTAATTAAATAATGTAAAAAGAAGACTTGCACTGTGCAATTTGAATTACATATTATAATCACATGCCTGGGGTAAGACGTTCATCACCCTATGCGTGGCAGTCAAATTTCTCATCTCCAAATATTAAATAATTAAACAATATCCTTGGGTTTTGCCTCTTCCTTTGCTCGTAAAGCCCATTTATTCTGGGCGCAGGTCCTAATTGCAGACAGACCGAAGCTAACATTTATGGGACTCTAAATTGAGCCACATAGCCTGCACTTTTTTGGGCCTCCAAGTTGGTTAGCCACTCTATGCTGGTCCTGCCTCTGTCTTGGTCTATCCAAAATGTGTTCCATGTGACTGGGCTTTTCTGGCAGCAACTGGAGGCCCAAATTGATTATATATATATATATATATATATATATATATATAATGGAGATTCATTAATCTGCTGAATGATCATATAATTATGCAGTAATCTGTTACGGAAAAAATTGCATTGATAGGGAATCAATCACGTAATACTTGTAAAACATAAAATTCATTAAAAAACTTAAAATATCCTCAACAATGGCCAGTGTATTAATAATTATTATTTGTTTTCTATTCTCGATAAGAATTTAAATAATTTAATACTAGCCTATGTTGTAAAATTTATTTTATTATGCATTATGAATTTTGAGAGATATAATACATGTTTTTTTGTTGTCGACTAAAATTGTAATGGAGATATTTGATTAATAATGCATATTAGTTTTTTTTTTAAAAAAAAGATAAAATATTGGGTTACATGACGAGAATAATTCTTTTTCGTTACATAGCAACTAAATAACTTATAGGTATGAAGACTTTAATATATTCCATAACATAATGAAATAAAATAAGTATCACTAATTTGAATGAATTAGTGTTAATTTATGAAGATATTTCTGTAAAATCATATTAGTGTTAATTTCATTTGAAAGAATTGTTTCTCAAGTATCAATAATTTTCCAAAGGGATAATATATATATATATACACATTCCTTGAGTTTCTCATGTTCAATGTTTTTATATTGGGGTTCTTATACTCTCAATAAAAGCTATCAATGAAGTATGTCAGTTTTGAAAAGACTCTCTTGGTTAATGATATGCCAAAAATTTCCTTAAAAAAACAAGTTAATAATACGTAAATTGGAAAAAAATGATAAAAAAATAAAAAATAATTCTATGGCATTGTTTAACTTCGTACGATTAAACTTTTGTTGGACTGATTTTGCTTGGAAGTGTTCCTTTTTCATCTTTCTTACTATAGTATGGCACCAATCTATGTCAAAATAGTCGACCATCTTAGTATTAATGGCCAATGACCCTTCCCTTGTATCTTATCTATCTCTTTCTTTTTCCTTTTTTTAGTTTTCTTTTCCCATTTCATGTGAGCCTTTTTTCACTCAACAAGACCATACTCGCCACCTCAATCTGAAAGATTTTACGCACAATTTTTTCCATAAAAGAAGAAGAAGAGAGAAGGTCCCGAATCCAAAGAAATAAAAGTTCGAATTATTCTTTGGAATAGAAACATAGTAGTGAATATAGTGTCAATGATTGGCAGGCCAGGATGGGGCCAGTCTTTGAACCACCTACCCAATATTTATTTATCACGCATAAAACATGGATTTATTGTTCAAGAATGCTGTTAAACCATTCTTGTCATGGATCAACTGAAAATCTTAAACAAAGGCAGCTTTGAGGATCGTTGATTTCCTAGCCAGTGTTGCATATGGACACCAATGGCATCCATATACGCGCTACTCCTTCCATGGAACCCAACTACCTTGCCTTCAGTCGTAGTTGAAGTGAAAAATGTTCCAATTTCTTCACCAAACGGACCATACTTTCCTCGACTAGTTTGAAAAGTAAGTGACTTGATTACCTTAGGACTCTTCTCATCACAGCCGATGGAACCATAATATCCTGATACACATATGAGCACTTCATGGGGGCACTGCAATTTCACCTGCAGATTACATTTTAAAAATCAGTGGAAGAGTCACAACTGGAAAGCAATTGAGCCTATCGTCTTCACATAATAGGATGTTGATTACCCTATGCGTGGCAGTTCCTCCATTGCCTCCATGTTTTACAGACCAAACAGATTGGCCATTTCGATCATACTCAATCTGCATTGAACAAATGGCTTCTGCTCTAGTTAGAAATATCTGTTTAATCCCAGAAAATACTCCATCATCCCATTGCCTCCCTCCATCCCCATTGCCCCTCCATCCCGCCCCAAGGACCTGGTCCGCATGGAGCTGGCTCTTTTATCACCCCACAAACAACCTGAGAAATTTAACAACCTTTAAAAAACTAAATATGTAAACTTAACAGCATCTAATTTTAGTATTAGTTATGTAAAGAGCTAGGTAATTATATACATTACCTCCTCAGTTTGTCCTCGTTTTGCTACTACTAGTTTATTAGACCATGGAGAATTATCTATCTGAGCAACATCTGCTTCAGTTTGTTTAATTACATCAGAAAGATGATGCTTTGCTGGCTTTACGGTTCCTTCCAACACATGAACCCCGATAGCATCAAGAACAATACCCTCCCTCCCGTGGAATCCGACGATTTTCCCTTCACCAATTTTGTTGGTGAAGGAGGGACCTTGTTCTTCTCCAAATGGCCCGTGCTTCCCTTTGTTTGTGTAAAAAGTAAGCGACCTGATGATATTAGGCCCCATGTACATTAAAGACCCATAGGTTCCTGTCACCCGTGTGAGGATTTCGTAGGGATAATCAAACATAATCTGCAGAAAATGCAGCAAGAAAATAATGATCTTGAGTCAATATTTCTTTTCTACTAGGTAACTGGTATAAAAATTCAGAAGAAATATTTCTTGAGAGTTAATTCACCTTTTCTGATTTAAATCCTCCACTTCCTCCATGTTTGCTTCCCCATATAGCCTGCCCTTCACGATCATATTGAACTCTTATGGATGCAATGCTAACATGGCGAGACAAATGGATTTGCCTAATTCCAGTGTAAGTTCCATCATCAAACTTAGAACCACCAACGCCACCCCAGGGTCCATATATAATCACCCCTTCAGTTTTTGAGGGCATGCTTTCAGTAGCAACTGTCTGAATTAAGATTTAAGACTAATGTTTTAGAAGTCATGTAATGTGAAAAATAAAAAGAAGAATGGAATGCCGCAGGCTTAAAATAAACTACCTATGGAAGTATATCTCACCTTCTTCTTGTTAGTTCCTGCATCACTGAGCTCCCGAGAGATTTGAGTTGAGAGTTTGCTTGGAAAAGGGCTGGCAAGATCATCCTTTTTGTTGGTTTCTGTGTCACTGAACTCTCGAGAAATTTGTCTTGAGAGTTTGCCAGGCAGAGGGCTTGCAAAATCATCTTTTCTGTTGGTTCCTCCATTGGTATACTCTCGAGGATTTTGAGCTGACAGTTTGCTTGGCAGATGGCTGCCAAAATCATCCTTCTGTTTTACTGCAAAAAATATATCAAAACCATTTCCTGCTCCTTGCATCATCGTGTAGCTAATATTCTCCGTCCCGTTGTTAAAGTAACTTTTTGATTGGACAGCTTGTGAGGTCTTCTGTTTCTGCAGAGGTTTCAAATATATGCCAATTGCATCAAGGTACCAACCACTCATGCCATGAAACCCAACAATCTTTCCACCAGACATTGGAAATGAAAAATAAGTTCCTTGCTCAACACCAAATGGTCCATAAATTTTCTTATTGCTTTGAAAAGTGAGTGAGCGAACAAATACAGGGCCCCAAGCATCTAAATTGCCGTAATATCCATGAATTGAAGTAAGAAACTCATCTGGGTAGTCAAGCTTGACCTGCAAAATTTGATCATACGAGAATAAGAGCTTCCCATGACTTGATGTTATCAGTACGGTAGCAAGGGGTAATCAACATTCAAAATTAATGCTAGCTTCAACATTTTTATCTTGAATTTCCATACCACATGATGAAAGACTGATTCTAGCAACTAAAAACGAAAGATATGTTGTAACTGCACCACGATGACTGCTGAGAAATAGAGCTAGAAAAAAAATTCTCATCAATATTAATACTGACTAACCGCTGTTTTCCTGCCTCCGTTGCCACCATGGATCTGTGACCATATTGGGCTCCCCTTCTTATCATACTCAATCTGAAGGGAGTCAATACCTGACCCATGAGCTATCACCAATTGTCTCACCGTGGAATACACTCCATCGTCCCAACGAAATCCATCCTGACCGCCCCATGGTCCCACAGCCACAGGTTTCTTCTCGTCATCCTCGAAACTCTGTTGAAAATCATGGAAATCTCAGCCAATTAGTCAAACACAAAGTATTGCATTAAACCAAGTAATGGAACTGAAAAATAATGTTACCATTTTCTATAGCTTAGTTGAAGGTGAACAGTACTGCCAGATCGATACAATACTGCTGGGATCAGAAACTTGAATTTATCATAACGAAAAGGGTGTTTTATTTTATTTTATGAGTGGGAGCTCCTATAAATTTGTTATCTAACTTTGTAGAAGACACCAATTTGCTGTCCCACTAAGGATGGAAATGATTACAGTGAGGAGAATCAGATCCAAGAAAAGAGCATCGTCATCTTGTCCTCCAAAAGTTCCATGCATTTTGAACCGTCAAAAATCTCTTTAATTCATGGACCATCCTCTCTCTTTGTTTCTTAATTCAAAGCACTGACGATTGTTCCGATTTCAGAATATTTAGAGCTTCAAAATTAAGAATTTTAATCATTGTCATGTACACAGGCAAATTATATAGATGCCCTGGAAAGGACGTGAAAGATGCCCAACAACAGAGGGAAAAGGGAACAAGTTTTCAGAATATGGATGTGGGATGGTTTAACGTACCCCAGAGACCAAAAACTCTAGTGCGGTCGCTTTACTTCATTCTGCAGTGCACTCGGAGGTATGAGCAAGAATCATGTGATGCGGTCTTCAATCCAAAGGCACCGGATGCGGGTGGGGGTGTCTGCTAGATGGAGAAGAAATCTCATGCCATGATTTCATAGCCTCAAGAGGAGACATTTTTTTCAACTGGTTGATGTCAAAAGATTGAAAAGATGAATTCAAGCACGGTCCTCACATAAGATCATAATAGGGTCACTGCTGTGATGACAAGTTCTTTTTCTACATCACGAGCAATCCAAATAACCCAAATCTAGTGAAAAGTCACAGAAAGGAAAGAGATTTGTTCTATGATTATCGTTCATAAAATATGAGGGAGTTGTGAGCACAAGTACAGACAATGCCTTGCAAAGAATTCAACCTCCATAAAGATTTCCTTCCAGAAATTCTTAACACTTGAAAAGCAAATCAAGAGCCTGATTTAAAAACTTTATACAAACTGAAAATTTACAAGATTTCATCATCTAATGTCGATTTCTCAACGGTTTCGAGGCTTGCCTGATCCTGCAACGGCATGTGCTTTATATATATAAAAAGTTTATGAGCTTTCTGATCATAGATTCTCTGAGAATTCTCTATCTGATTGCCAGTTACATCAGTCAGTTCTATAGGATGACCAAATGTTAGCTGCCAAAACAAAGAAAAAGTTGAATCAATTAAATTCATTCAGGGAAAGCATTCTCAGTGGAACCAAAGCAGAATCACTAGAATTTGATATGAACAACTTCTCACACCTGTCAACAAATATGGACATAAAGGCATACTCTTTAGTTCAAGAAAACATCTTCATGTTCACCAAATTCACCAAATTCACCAAAGTAACACAATCGCTTCATATAGAATGTTTTGCAGTTTATACATCTATCATATCCACCTGCAAAGTACACAAATTTTGTCTGAGTAGGACACACAAGTGAAAGAGGGAATAGGTGGAAAATAAACTCTACAATCTATCATATCAGATTTAGATAAATTGTTTAACACAAACTGCAAGAAAAAGAAGAATCACCTCAACTGAAACTGCTGCATCAGGGACTGAAGCAATATCCAAGCCACTCGAACAATTTTCAGATTCCTAAAAAGTTTAGCAATCTTATCTCTAAAACTGATCTTGCAAACCAATTCACTCATCTTTAGTTCTCACCTTCTACTTTTACCAGTAATCACCACAGGAACAACTCCCAGATTTAAAGTGGTGTAAACAGTTTGAGTCACTCAAATATATTTCACATCCATGTTTAGCAGAGATATATTTTGCCATCCTATGGCAATCTGCACACAGTCTAAGGTTTTTTGCAATTCTTATACTCTGAGGAGCAGAAGGTGAGCGAACAATGGCAAAAGCAAGTGCAAGCTTTTCACTATGGATACCGACAATTTCTTCCTTCTCTTCTTCTTCTTCCTCCTCAATGCAACACCCACAGTTCAGATTGTGTACTTTGGCTTCTGTTGATATTCTTTCTATCCAAAAAAGAGGTCCGAGTAAGATGTAGACTGATCACCTGCAACAAAAGAATGCACAGTGTTGTTGGCTTCAATCCAGCTCTGTCCTTTAGGTTTTTGTACTTTGTTTTCTTTTTCAAGCTTCGTCTTTGGAGCATTTTCGGATTTTCCATGCATGGCATATGACTGCAAAATTGACTGGTGGATTGAAGAATTCCATGGTTCCAAATCAAGCAACCTTTCCCTTGCACGGATTGCCAATTTAGAATTTCCATGGTTCCTGCAGGCAGTTAGTAAGGTAGACCAAACAGAGGATTCAGGCTTGATTGGCATATTGTCAATAAGCTCTACTGCTTCTTTGATCTTGCCAGAACGGCCATACAAATCTACCATAGCCCCATAATGTTCTGAAGCTGGTATAATCTGATAGTCTTCTGTCATACTAGAGAAAACTTGTTTCCCTTCATCCACCATTCCAGCAAGACTGTGTGCAAGGATAATATTCACAAGAGTACCTCTGTTAGGTTTAAGTCCCAACTCTCTCATCTGATCAACGAGACCAAGCGCAGAGTCTGAACAACCATGTAAGACATACCCAGTAATCATTGAGTTCACGGTGATGAAATCTTTGGATAGCATTCTATCAAATATGGCTCTTGAATATTCTATTTTCCCTGATTTGGCATATGTGTCAATAAGGGAGTTTGCAATAGAGAGACCAGATAGATTTCTGCGCAACACACAACCATGGATCTCTTTAGCCTTTTTTAGTGCAACTAAATTTGCACAAGCAGGTAACACGCTCAATATGGTAACTGGGTTGGGACTAACACCAAAGGACTGCATTTGTCGAAATATGCCTAATGCTTCGTCTTTTCGCCTAATTTGCAAAAAACCAGCAATAAGAGAGTTCCATGATGCATTATCCCGCTCAATCTTTCCCTCCTTCTCCATCCTGTGAAAGAGATCCATGGCTTGGTCCTCGTCACCACTTTGAATATATCCCGATATCATTGTATTCCAAGTGACAACATTAGGTTGTACCTGAGATTTCTGCATTTTCATGAAGAGCACATAGGCCTTACCGCAGTATCCAGCTTGACAATATCCTCCAATCATTGAGTTCCAGGTATAAAGATCTTTCTCTAGCATCGAATCAAATACCAGCTGAGCAGCATCCAGCTGCCCACATTTTGAATACATATCAATGAGTGAATTCCCAACCAGTACATCATCAATAAAACCCATCTTAACAGCAAGAGAATGAATTTCCAGCCCCATATTCAACACCTTCAATGATGCACAAGCTGATAAACCACTCGTAATAGTAACTCCATTTGGTTCAACCCCTGCCAAAATCATCTCCTTGAACAAATCCAATGCCTGACCATTCCTATTATTTTGACCAAACCCCGAAATCATAGCAGTCCACGCAACAACATCTGGACTTACCCCGAAAGTCACCATCTTCTTCATCAAATCCATAGCGACATCACATTCCCCTTTCTGATTATAGCCAGCAATCAATATATTTAAAGTAACTAAACTCGGTTCAATCCCTTCTTCACACATTGCATCAAATAATCGACGCGCTTCCTCAATCTCCCCCTTCAAACAATAGCCAGACATCATAGCATTCCAAGCCACTCTATCTCTATCATCCATGCTTTCAAAAAACCTCCTCGCTAAGCTCAACTTCCCACACTTTGCATACACAGCCAAAATCGAATTATTAACACGCGGAGAACTTCCCATTCCACATTTAACCACAAAAGAATGCAACAATTCTCCAGTCTTGATATCCCCACAATTCCCAACAGCTTGCAATATCTTAGGCAACAAAAACCCATCAGGCAAGACATCATCTTCCACCATCATATAATAAAGCTCCACAACTTCTTTCCACCTCTTATCTCTCGAACACGCACCCATCATCGCCGACCATGTGAACAAATTTTTGTCAGACATTTCATCAAACACTTTGCGTGCGTCCCTCAAATACCCACATTTTGCGTACATACTAACCAACTTAGTTTCAATAGCTGAAGTTTTTTCTTGTACGACACTAATTCGGTCATGAACTTTGCGGCCCAGATTAATAGAATTGTTGTCGATGCAGGATTGGAGTAAATTCATGTAAGTTTTGGATGTTACCTTGGACCCATGTTGAGCTATGGAATCAAGAGCTGTTACGGCATCGGTTAAGCGTCCGTTTCTGCAGAGGGAGTCTAAGTGGTAGTCGGTGAATTTTGGGTGAGAATTGTTGGTGAAGGATATTGAGGATTTGATGGGTTTTTGTGAGAATTCTGATAGACTGTCTTGGTTGTTTGCGATTGTCAATGGAGGTTTTGAGATGCTTGAAATTATTAAGTTCTCCATTTTTCAAAAAATATATATTTTTTTTTCTGAATAAAATTTCTCTCTTTTTATGTAGGAAATGGATAGAGAGTGCTGGTAAGCTTGAAGAAGCAGTCATGGATAGCAGGAGAGATCCTCTGTGGTCTTGTTTATACTCTCATCTGCACCTTTTTGCCACGTGGAATTTGCATATTTTTTGTGAGTGAAAAACACGAACAGCACAATCCAAATCTGAAATGGTGCAAGGAACGACTAGTATGGACACTTGTGTTTAAGTCATTGGATCATCATTTCAAAATCAAGAGAATTTGTATAAGTGTTGAAGAAATTGAATTTTCAACACAATTAATGACTAAAGTATAGATATTCATAGCATGTGTTTATGTTAGCTATTTTCAATGGTGTATTCATGAAAAATATTTTGTTTGGATTTGAGGCATTAACATGAAAAGTGCACTCATCTCCCATCCAAACCAAGTTTGTAAAGATTTATCTTGGATAATTAATCAAGTATGATTGATAAAATTTTCACAAGCTAGTATTATCATTGCTTATAGTATTTTTATTTGATAACAGTTTCCGCAAGCAATAAACACATTCTTTCAAGTTTAAAATATTCTAATTCCAATATAGAAATTAGATTTTTTTATATATATATATTCGAATTCATTTAAAGAAAAAGTGGAGATATCAATTTAATCTAAGCCCAATAAATATCCATCTGAATAAAAAAACTTTTTATAGATAATTATTATTTTAGACTCGAATGTGAGTATTTAAAATTTACGTTGGATAAATAATAGATTAGACATGGATATTATTGTCATATCTTATCCAAAACGCGATCCAAACCCAATCCAAAAAATATACATGTATTAATAGTATATATGTTCACATACATGCATAAAATATATAATTTTTCATTCAATATAATATCTACCCACTCCAACATTAACATTATATATACATATACACACACACTCAAATTCCGATGACTCGAGTATGGAACAAATTTTTCACCCAAATGGATAATAAACAGGGTATTAATATGGATATTAGTTTTGTATATAGATAGAAAGACGCTAGAAACCTAACCCATGGATAGCTTTTCTCGTCCATAACGAAAAGCGAAGTTAATAAAAGAACTTGTTCGTGATCATTTTGACAGGGCCTCCCCGTTCGCCTAGTCCTTGTTGGGCCACGTCATTGGGCCATTGCTGTAAATGGACTCCAATGGCATTCAAGTAACACCCACTCCTTCCGTGGAACCCAACAATTCTCCCTTCAGTCCTCGCGGCGGTGAAAAATGTTCCTGTTTCCTCCCCATAGGGTCCATACCTGGCCTTATTGGTATAGAACGTCAGAGATTTTATGGCACCACCCTTTATCTGATCATCTCCAGTTAGAGAAGCATAATAGCCACAAACACTTGTAAGGACTTCATATGGATAGTCAAATTTGATCTGTTTATTCAGCACAAAAGTATAGAAAAGTCCATTAATATTGTCACTAGTAAATTGAGCAAACAATCAAAATCGAAATTCAATGAGCATATATAGATAAAAAAAGAAAAAAAGATTCAGTGTCATTAGTTGGTAATTACCATATTAAAGCTTCCTTCACTGCCTCCTCCATGCCTAGCTGACCATAAAGATTGCCCATTTCTGTCATACTCAATTTGTATGCAATATATGGCTTCTCCTTTCGTCAAGAAAATTTTCTTCACCCCAGAGAATACTCCATCATCCCAGGGCGTACCTCCACCTCCACCCCATAGCCCTGATACCGTTGAAGGTGCTTCTTTCACCACTACAGGGATTATTACCTAATAAAAACGCGATTTTTAGACCGTCTGATTAGTAGTTTTTTACTTTAAACCTACACTCAATTAACCGTATCTGCACTGTTTTTAGTTGTATTTAGTAATTATTAAACCAAGAACAGATGACACAAAATTGACCAACGAATGCGTACCTCAGATGCTTGAACTTCATTGAACTTGAAAGATTCATAAGAAGGCCTAGGGATTGGTCTAGAGACTGACGATGTTCCTTCCATGACATGGACTCCAATACTGTCAATGAACCAACCCTTTCTTCCATGAAAACCAACAATAACTCCATTGTTAGATCCAGAGGAGAAAAGTCTCCCTTGTTCATCTCCAAATGGCCCATACGTCCTTCTGTTGGTGTAAAATGTAAGGGACTTCACCACTGTAGGCTCTCTTAAGATTGTTGATCCATAATATCCTGTTATGTGAGTCAAGATTTCGTATGGATAATCAAAAGCTAGCTGTTGAAGAACAACGAAAGAATGACTCATTAGCAAGCATCCTATGCAATTTGAGAAGGGAAAAAAAATGTAACAAACAAGGTTATTTTGAAGCATGTTTGAGTTACCTTGTCCAATCTAATTCCTCCACTTCCTCCATTTTTGCTTCCCCATATTGATTGTCCATTCAGATCATAACAAACCCGAATCCAAACAACACCTCCGTAATGTGCTAGATGAACTTGGCGGACTCCTGTATAAACTCCATCATCAAATATATTTCCACCATTACCACCCCAAGGTCCATAAGACACTGCCTGTTTTTTGTTCATGAAATTATGTAAGCATTAGCAAAAGAATGACTCATTTGCAAGCATCCTATGCAATTTGAGAATTGGTCTCTTGCCTACTAATAACAACCTGAAATTATGTAAAGTTCATTTGAATGGCATAATTTAGCTTAATCTGCTCCACCTGCAGAACCGAAAAAAGTACAGATGTTATGTTACCAAGTTACCAACCTTGTTGCTTAGTTCCGCTCCAAGAACACAGCCTTTGTATTTTTCTTTAGTCCCATTTGTTGGGTAGTTTTGTGGAGGGACGAAATTATTCGACGGATTCCGTCGCAGGAGAGGCATCAAGTATGCTCCAATGGAGTCAAGGTACCAACTACTGCGGCCATGGAAACCAACTATTTTGCCTCCAGTCATTGGAATTGAAAAATAGGTTCCATACTGAATGCCAAAAGGTCCATACTTTTTTTTGTTGCTTTCGAACATTAGCGATCGAATAAGTACTGGACCGTAATCTACTACGCAACCACAATGGCCACTAATGGAAACAAGATATTCATCAGGACAATCAAGCTTGACCTGCAAAATTGAGCCCAAAATTCTCTCAACATTCTAGGAATTGTTTACTCCCATCAGTATTTTATTAAACGTTTCTAGCATGACATTTACAGACCTTACTTGTCTTTAAACAACCAGTTCCACCATGCTTCTCTGACCAGACAGAGGACCCCCTCTTGTCATACTCAAATTGAATGGAATCAATAGCAGCTCCATGGCAGATTACCACTTGCCTTACAGTGTTGTAAACTCCATCGTCCCACCGCGCTCCGCTTTGCCCTCCCCATGGTCCAACCGAAATATAGCTGTTGCCATATCCTTCATGACTCTGTCGCATGCAGTAAAAAGCTATCATTTATCAAAAGTCAACAAAATTTGAGCAAATGAAAAATTTGCTTGATTGCAACTTACCATTCTAATCCTAGGACGAGATGTAAATGAAAATGTGAAGAGCTGTGTGTCGAAGTTTAAGACATGCATGGTGTAGGTAGATTTTTATAGGCAGCATCAAATTTAGTCTAGTGCTGGGAAATTTATTCCCATATCGATCAAATCGGAAAGAATCCACTAGTCCCTGAGGAAAGTAAAAGCAGACAACATTTTTCACAAACAACGCATCCTTATAGGCCCCATCAACACCGCCTTCTACATGATATGACTGTTTTTCTCAGTATTCATTTCGATGATAAACGTGCAGTCTTCTAGTGAATTAAAAGTATGATTTTTGAGATATGCTACTTGTCACAAAACCAGAAAAGATTTTTTTTTGGTGCTCTTAATTCCTGTCCTCGACAAGGGCATTGCCTTCAAAGATGCCTTATTTTTCAAAAATAGTGGTGTTGTCGTGATTCATAAAGCTATAACGACTTCTTTTTTATTTGATTCCAAGAATTCGATCCAATCCCTTGTATTCTAGCTTATCAGGGACTGGAGCTGAAGTCCTAATTTAATTACCTTGCAATTGTCTGTAATAGGCTGTTAGATTAGAAACAATAGGTCTGGATTAATCTGGGCTTTAAAACCATGATGCAGGAATTTAACTTGTTGCGCAAGTCTTAGGGTTTGGTTCGAAGTGGTATCCCAGTCCCACGGCACATCAGATATCCATCCACTTACAGGCTATAGGCACAAGTGTTTCTTTCCAGCCACCAATCCATCCATTGTAGATCTTGCAATATTAACCATCAGGAAAAAGTGGCAAAATGTGATCAGTGATAAATATATTAGAACAAGCATGTAAAAAGATGGAGAAAAAATCAGACGTCATTGATACTCACACAACTGTATCGATCATTCTTCTGACAACCTTAAAAAGAACACATTGCTCTTATCTGCTTCCAGCGGCAATCACTCATCACGCGTTTGATAAAGTTGATTAACGCATGAATTGCATGAGAGCATATGCGTTGCCTTCGCTGGTGGCAGTGATCCACCGTTCTGCTATTTTTGAGTTGCTGTAGTTTCGAGTGAATTATAAATTGGTCCTTCTAATTTTGAAAATTGAATTAATGAGTTTCTATTGTTTTAAAAACTAGTTTTTTAATCATTTTTTCCATTTTATATATTTTTTATAATTTTTATTTATTTAAAAAATTTGAAAAATTAAATAGACATTATGGAAAGATTGACCAGAATTTTTTTTAAATAATATAATATTAAATTAAATCTGATTGAGACTGATTAATGAACTAAATAAATAATTTTTAAAATAAAAGGACTGATTAATTCACTTATCAAAACTAAAAATATCATTTTATAATTTACTCCAGTAGTTTCATGTCTCTTTGGTTTCCGGGGTTGTGGAAGCAAACAGTAGGCGTAGTAGACTTGTTTCTCCGAGATGGGCACAGCCCAGAGCTGGTTTTAAAGTACATCCATGACTCAGACAGGATCCAGGGTTCATTCTGTCCTTATATCATGAAGCCCATTTTCTAAGTTCTATAAAAATTATCTTCCTTAATATTTTGTCTTCTCATTGTTAAGTTCTTTTTGTTTTAAATTAGGGTTATTTTCAGGAAAAAGAGGAAAAAAAATGCTCATGAGATTAAATTTCTCGAAAATCAGGGATCAGGTCTTACATGGTCCAAGCCCAATCAAGACAGTCAAATGTATATTTGCGAAAATTATGTTTCTCATAGCCTCTTCTAAAAATATGATCGGAAATAACAACAGAAAACAAAAACATTCAATCGCATTTTAACTCGTTACCAGCAGAATGGTAATATGCCAGATATAAAATTGGTATTTGCTTTATCCAACTCAATAAATATCTATTAAAAATATTTAATAAGTTTTGAAACGGATAAAGATAAAAAAAAATACATTGGTTTCAAAATATGAGTACTCACTTTTATCATATTAATAAATATCAATTTATTTAATTTTTTTTATTAACATGAAGGGATCTAACTATGTAAAATTTAAAAATTAAGGATTATAATATTTTTCAAAAACTTTGAGGACAAAAAAAAATATAAATAAATGACAAAAATGTAAAAAAAAAAAATAAATGACAAAAAACTTTTCTTGAAAAATTATAAAGACTAAAATGAAAGTTTTTAACAAATTAAATTAGCCCCTATTAAATGGATAGGCAAATTAATACGGATTGAATATGGATTGAGTAAAGATTTATATGATATTTTTTAATAAATAATAAATGAAATATTTTTTAATGAGTAAGATAAAAAATTAAATTAATTGACTAAGTATCCATCAATTGTCATCTCTATTACTAGCTATCAACTTTTTATTTTATAGAAAATTACTTTACAAACAATACCATCGCCTCCCAAACAAAGCCAAATCGGCAGAATAAATTGATCAGGAACCCTAAATGGCCCTCCAAGTCCAGACTCGTGTGCTTGTAATTTGCAAATCCACCGGGCAATAAGTTCCAATAATAAGATTTTAAACACTGTTTGGGTCTCGATGAGCGAATCTATTTGTACCATGTGCTATTTTTTTGTTCTAGAAAGAGATTATTTTTATTTATTTAAAATTTTTTATTTGATTAAAATTTTAAATAATATTTTAAAAAAATTCCTAATTGATGAAGAAAATTAATCTTTTTTTTTTTTTTCATTTCGTGTTTTTTATTAACAAAAAATCAATATTCTTTATATTTTTTCTTTACACACAAATAATTTTAAAATAAAATTTTCAATTTTTTTTTTTGTGTTACATGAATTTTTTTTATTTTTGTAGAAATTTTATTACATGCCAAAATTTAAAAAATAAAATATTTTTATTAATATATTATTTTTTCATAATTATTTTAAAATTGATCATTAACTAATTTAATGATTTTTTATTTATTTACCACATTATTTTTTGATGAATTTTTCTTTAAGTTAATATTAATTTCATGTAGCGCAAAATTAAATTTGATAACTAATTATTTTAATAGAAAGATATGAAAAAAACTAATATAATATAATATTTGATAATTTTTTAAACTGGGTAAAAAGAATAGTTTTAAAACCGAAAAAATATATAACAAAATTTAGTGACTGTCAAATTTTCCTTCGTTGAAATTTTTGTGTCAGCATATTGCATTTTACAGTAATATACGGTTTAATCCCTGAATATATTTATAATTATTTAAGAAAAAATAATTAATTATTTAGTTAAAACTAAAGAGATTAATTTATAATTTCCCTGAATATATTTATAATTATTTTTTAAACCAAGAAAAGACTAAGTGGGTGTTTGATAACCCATTTAAGTAGCTTAAAAAATTAAGTTGTAGTACTTAATATAAAAAGTTTGTTTGATAACCTAAATAATCTCATATTAAAAATTTAAGTCCAGATCAAAATCTATCTAATCAAATAAATTAAAATTTTTAATTTATTAACTTTTGATTAACATGCTTAGTTGAAATTTTTTTAAAACTTTTCAAATATAATTATATCGTACTTATATATTTTTATAACTTTAGATATACAAACCAACTCGAAAAATAATCTCTACTATCCCCATTGCTAAAACAGAGGAAACATTCTCTATCATCGATGCTATCATCCCGAATCCGAAACGCCAATTAATGTTGTTTTAGACCTATTTAATTTTTTATTAATAATCATTTTCATTGATTATTTATTTATTTGTATATACAAATACATCTATAGATTTTTTTATTTATATTAAAAAATATATAATGTTAAAATTACAAGGTTAAAATTATATATATGATCTTAATATATTCAAGCAACAATACTTCTCAAATAAACTTTATTATATTCAATATTTAATTTTCAATAAATATTAAATATTTTATTAGAAGCATATTCAATATTTAATAGATTCGATATTTAATTTTTAATTTTATCCAACGACTCTAATTGTTTCTTTTGTTAAAACAAAAGAGAGTAATTTACAATTTCCCCGAATAGAATTAGATAATGTGGTTGGCTTGGATTCCAAAAACGGGGGAAAAAAAAGGAACAAAGAAAATCATTGACGGGACACAAGTCCACTTAAATTGTAAGATCATCATTATCGAGAAGGAATCCAAGTTGAAAGACGGATCTATATTTTATATGAGTCCACGTGGTGCGCGGATCCTAGGTGTGTTAATCATGGAACTGCATGGACTACAATATCTCGGACAACTGAACCCAGCAAGCACCGACGTAAACGGAACGGAAATCTAGCGGCACACAAATTCATACGACAAGAGTCTAGTTTAAAAAAGAGAAGGAGAGAAACAAACGGCAGCAAGAACGGTGTTCCCTTGCTTAACGGTGTCTATGCATTAATTAAATTTTAATTTGAAGTATACCCCACCATATCATTTTTTCCAATATTCCATTTCATGGAATTAAGACTTCCATTAATGTCATCAAATTCTAGTAAAAAAAATGTCCCACCATTTCCTTCCAAGCCTGCCACCTTTTTCTTTCTTTTATTAGTGAATTCAAATCCACTAGCATCAATCGGGACCATACCATAGCTAACAGATTCAATTGATGATTTGGTAGAGAAATTGCTTACCCTTATGAAGCGAAAGTTGGTGCCTTGGGTTAGGATTTGACATGTCCATGACCAAAAGGACCAGCTCAGCTAATAATTGAAAACTTTAATTTTACTTGTTCTTTTGGTTTTAATAATTGCTAAAATCATTTTACCTTATTTATAAAAAGTTAACTTTTTCTTTAAAAAGAATCATTTATAAATTAAATTAAATCTCCATAGACTTTGTTAGCTAGTATCTACTAACCCTAGGTGGAAAAAAAGAAGAAAACAGGCCAAAACTGTTAGCGTAACTTCAATTCTCTGAATAACAAAATTATGTGAAAAGAGAATAATAGTGCAAGTGGAAATGGCAGAAACTCCAGATCTCGTTTAAAAAGTTTCCAAATTCGAGAAAAAGAAGAGTAACCAAGAAAAAAGTACAGGGCTTTTCGAGGCTCAGCTACCTCTAACTAAAACTCTATTAAACCAAGGGTTCCATGGAAGATCATTGAAAGAATGATGCTGACTTTCTCTTTACAGAAAGCAGGAGCGAACAGTACCCATCAAATCATTAATCTGTAAATAGATTAAGCAGAAGAGCAGCACCAGATAAAGCAACAATGATGCTGACTTTTAGCCATAATATTAAATCCAAAATGAATCTCATAAATGAACGAAGCAACAAATTCTATACCTAAATTTCCCGAATTTGTGTTTCTTTCGTACTCTTTTTAATTTTGGGCATACCATCTTTCTTTAGAACTCAGTTTTTGGCCTCCAAAATGCAGGCTCCTCCATTGGACTCCTGCTAGAATAACTCAAGCATGCTTAAATATTGTAGTGTAATTATATCTATGCTTAATATTAAATAATAATAAAATTAATTTAAAACAAAACTTTTCTATCACTGCTCTTCTTCAAAGGTTAAGGTTAACGTTTAAAATTTACACAGTTTTGAGTTCTCTAAATTCGAGTAAGGACCCGCTGTTTCTGGGTTGGGTTCCTTTTGCCAAATCTTCCTTGCTTGCTTTTGAATACTTGAGAAAGAGGAAAGTAAGTATGAGTCGATTTGAATACAGGGTATTAAAATTCTCCACGGGTGAGTCGGTGACGGTGATGCACGTGGGCCTGAATAGTTTAGCTGGTCACGAAATCCAACCAGCAAGCAACATTTGTCATTTGGACCCCGATAAGCAATAATTACAATCAATTTGATATTCTCAGACGAGTATTTTTCCCATTTGCTTTCCTTTTCCTTTATCCTATATACAAAACCAAAATGCTTTTTCACTGTAGCAATCAACAGTATCAATTACTGTGTTATAGTTACAGTGTTTTTGTTTTTTTTTTTTTTTCATTTTTCTGGGCTAGACCCGTTGCCCCCATCCGTTTACTGTTCATTTAAACAGTAAACAACTTTTCTTTTTCTTTTTTGTAAACATTAAATTTTTTTAAAAAATTTCTATCCATTTACTATTCACATGAACAGTAAACGTTTGTATCATTTTTTTTCTAAACATTGATTTTTTTTTTAATTTTTGTTTCTTAATAGTATTTGGTGTTAAAATTTTAAAAGAACCAATAATTAATTGGGTGTTAAAATTTTAAAGAAACCAACAATTTATTTCTTTTATTATTTATTTTTAAAATTTAAAAAAATAAATAAGAAATAGTTAAATACAAAATTTTTTATTAAAAAATTATGATTATTTTTTTATCATAAAACAGATTATTAAATTGAAATAATTTTTCTAAACGATTTTATATATTTTATCCAATCCGCAAGCATAATGCAAATAAAAAATCTAATACTATATAGTAAAGAAAAACCATTTTTCACTATAGCAATGAACAATGTTAATCAATGTTCATTGCTATATTACTTTAGCTTTTTTTGATTTTTTAAGTTTTGATTTTTTTTTTTTGCCAGCACCCGCCGACCTTCCCCCCTCTCCCTTTTTTTACCCGTTTATTGTTCATTTGAATGGTAAACGGCTTGCCCTCTTTTTTTTTTTCTCTAAACACTAATTTTTTTAATTTCCATCCGTTTACTATTCACATGAACAAGTAACATGTGGCCTCTTTTTTTTTCCTAAACATTGAATTTTTTTTTAATTTTAATTTCTTAATAATATTAGGTGTTAAAATTTTAAAAGAATCAACAATTAATTGAGTGTTAAAATTTTAAAGAAATCAATAATTTATTTGCTTTATTATTTATTTCTAAAATTTAAAAACAAAAATAAGAAATAGTTAAATATAAATTTTTTTCATTTAAAAATTATAATTATTTTTTATCATAAAACAGATTATTAAATTGAAATAATTTTTCTATATGATTTTATATATTTTATCCAATTCGCAGCGTAGCGCGGTAAAAAATCTAATCTTATCTAAACTCAAATGCCACTCATTTAATTAATTAGGATCTCCTCTATGATATCGTTCCTCTTTTTCCATTAATTAGGATATCCACTAATTTATTTAATCAAAAGTTTAAATAATATTTTTAATCGGTATAAAATGTTTTTTTTTAAATCTTTTTTTTAGAACGAAGGCAGTAATAATCAATCCCATCCGTTTGTTGATTGCCGACAAGGTGTTACGCTCCGCCTAAAAGAGGGATTTTTCTAGAAATTCTAGAGAACACAAGACAAGTCTAGAAGCTTCTGAAGAGTATGGAACAATGGAGAAGCCTCTAGATAAGTCTAGAAGCTTCGGAAGAGCATGGAACAATGAAGAAGCCTCTAGATAAGTCTAGAAGCTTCCGGAAGAGCATGGAACAATGAAGAAGCCTCTAGATAAGTCCGGAAGCTTCTGAAGAATATGGAGCATTGGAGAAGTCTCTAGGATGATCTAGAGAATTCTAGAGAGTCCCTCACTAATCTAACATGTGAATATCTAGATAGTTCCATGTAAATATCTAGGTAGGATATTTCTGAGAACTAATTGTAGCCATTAGATTAAATAGATCCTAGCCATCCATTGAGGAGGTGGAAGGCTATAAATAGGTGAGGCCTTCACTTGGCCAAGACATCTAGACATTCATAAACTTAAGAGAGTGTGTCTTTAGAGTTGTAAGCTTTTAGAAAACAATACAAAGACAAGAGAGCCAAGTGCCGCACGTGAGCTTGGGAAAGTCCAAGTCCGTGACAAAGGGCTCTACCTTTTGCTTCTTTCTAGCCAGCTCCTGTAAATGGTGGTGGCAGCCTAAAAGTAATATTAGCCTGACAAAAACCGAAGGAGTGATTTATGGCCAATAACATGAAGACACGCCACATGGTACCAAGTGATGACCAACTCCTGTCCAATCGGGAAACATCCGGGGGCACGAGCAGACGCACATGAGAGAACATTTTTTTTTCTTTTTTTCGTCTTGGCATGTAGTAATAATACATGATCATAGATTGCTAATGTTGTTATTGGAGAAGCTCTCGAAATATATGCAACCATGATGAATCCACCCAGCTGGCATCAAGAGACAAGATGTAACACGTAAAAACAAATCGGTAAAATAACGAGCACCAAACCCACATGACAGAGAAATAATAACAAATCATCTGACAGTACCATACGCTAAAATATATACAAATATCGTACAAGAAAAATCGAAACCTTCTCCGTGGTCGTGGATAAATTGATATACTTACTCTATCATTATTTAGGGTTTATATCTTTATTTATTTACGAGTTAAACAATTTGAACCATCTGTTTAAAACCTAATGGAAAAAAAAACCTAATATCAGAATGTGAAATTTAACCTACAGATGCTTTTATGATCGAAAAATATATAATACATAAAAAAACCTTATTAGCTTATCCATAAAACTATTAAACAATGTATACCAATTTCAGAACATACGTTGAATATTATTGGTTTGAAATGTAGCATGGGAAGAACTAATAAGTTGTTGATTCAGCCGTCCAGGAACTGATTTTTGGACGAATTTTATTTGTGAAAAGAGATTAAATTTTGTTCCTATTTTTAATATGGGATAAAAAAACCCTAAATACATGAGTAATATATATATATATATATATATATATATATATAGCATGGAAAGTATAATAAGACTTTATTTATCTGCAATCCATCAAGATAGCTGTCTTCCTTTCTCCCTCCCAAAAATAGAACCTAATATCTCCGAATGATAATTGAGAAGGCTATCATAGGGTCTAATTGGATAGAATGATGACCATGGCCAGCTCTATATCAGACTGAAAGCTGTGTTTGCTTGTACCTATCAACTAGTAAAGCAGGGACAAGGCCTGAGAAACACGAACTGATACACTCCCATCGTCCCATGTCACGGGCCAGGTTCTGATAGCGAAATATGAAATGCTGCCAAAAGTGCTTTCTCAATCAAAGGCCTCTCAGATAAGTTCGAAAGTATTCACATTTATAGACAAAATTCATGTATTTTTTTTCTTAAAAATCTTGTTAATTCTCAGGATTATATTCACTTATCCAACGGACTACTATTTATATACCATTTCATGTGATGGTAATGTCCACCCAATGTCGATATGTTCATATTCAATTTAATGCAACTATAGTTGGAAATGCCATTAATGCCTTGGGAAGATAGTTCGGACTTGGTAGAATAGATAATCAGTCCAAGTCCAATTTCTGGGTCATAAAGAGGACGCAAAGCTAGTGAGGGGAAAAAAAAATGCAAAGCTTTATAGATAGATGTTCCCTTACGGACAAGTTTACACCTACATTCCAATGATGGCAAGAACCCTACAAGTTTCCAAATAGACACAAACCATTCAACTCTACTGTTGAAGTTTTGCTTTTTTTATGTTCACATTGCAGAGTCTCTCTCATCCACACATTTATGTCTTCATTCACTGCCTTTTCTTTGTATTTCATGTGACCTTTTTTATTTTTTTTTGCAGTTTTCCTTAAGATTAAGGATTGATCGGACCAATTTTCCTATATTAAAACTAAGTTTTTTTTTGTCTTATAGTTAACTATCCATACGGTCTTGGACTCTTGGTACACACTATTTTAAAGTTAATTCAAATTTGCCTTTTCCGAATAAAAAATTAAACTCCTTTTCAAGCAGGAAGAAGAAGTCATTATTTAAAGCTAGCCAAAGAGGCAAAGCCTTGTGTGGTGTGGTCGGTAGAGGCAGAAGAAAAATAGTACTACAATGGTGGATAGTGTTAGGAGAGTAGCAGATTAGAGAAGCCTCAAGTTATAACTTCTCTTTTAAATCTCTGTTTCTCCACACATTGTTCACTTATTCTTACAAACTTTTCTTCCACAAAAGGAAATGGGAACTAACTCAGTTTCCAAGTTTTTCCTCTTCTTGTTGGTCTTGATTGTGGGTTCTAAGCTGATCCACTGCACTGTGACCTACGATAAGAAGGCTATTATTATCAATGGCCAAAGGAGAATCCTTATCTCGGGCTCCATTCACTATCCAAGAAGCACCCCTGATGTATATATTTTTCTTTCCCTTTTTCTTGGTTTTGTGTAGTTTGTGTTTATTTCATCACATTTGGTCTGTTGTGTAAAAATGGGGTTTGTTTTGTTTTTGTAGATGTGGGAAGATCTTATACAGAAGGCAAAAGATGGAGGTTTGGATGTTATTGACACTTATGTTTTTTGGAATGTTCATGAGCCTTCTCCTGGCAATGTACTCTCTCTTGGATCTCCACTCTACTTTTTGACACTTGAAATTTTATAATCTGTCTTTCTGAGCTTATGTGGTTACTCAAAAACGGAAGTTTTTGTTTTTTGTAGTATAATTTTGAAGATAGATTTGATCTGGTACGGTTCATTAAGACAGTGCAGAAAGTGGGGCTGTATGTTCATCTCCGCATTGGACCTTATATCTGTGCAGAATGGAATTTTGGGTACTTGGAATTTTTGCTCTTCTTTTTCCTTGTTCTTTTAATTTTTGCTGCATCCTTTCATTTTTTATTTCTAATATGCAGAATAAATGCCAGACAAGTAATGGGCTTATATCCCTTCCTTTTGGTTTTGCTATTTTATTCTTTCTGTGGTTGGAGTAGTATTTGCTTATTAACTTGGTAAAAATGAATGCTCTCATTTGATTCTCTCTCTCTGGTAAATGCTTAGGGGATTTCCTGTTTGGTTGAAGTATGTTCCTGGTATCAGCTTCAGAACAGACAACGGGCCTTTCAAGGTTTTTCCTATTTTACTTCCTCTGCGTTTTAAACCCTTTGCTAGAAAAAAGAGAACTTTTAATTGAACGAAAGACTTATAGCAAATAACTGGACAAGCTAAGTGGTTAATGTGGCTTAACTTTCTTTCCCTTTGGTTTTGAAGGCTGCAATGCATGGGTTCACCCAGAAGATTGTGCAGATGATGAAAAATGAAAGGCTATTTCAATCGCAAGGGGGCCCTATTATCTTCTCTCAAGTATGTGATCCTGATAGTAGACTTCTTTGTGAATTTTGTCATAATGGATATGTATTGTTTCTATTGTGAACCAATTGGTATCCCTTTTTTTTTTTTTAATCCAAATTAGAACCAACAAAAGTGATGCCTCATTAGAGAAGTAATTTACTTTATTTTTTTTCAAAAAAAATTGTTTTAAATTTTTTCATATTCATTTGTGTAGATTGAGAATGAGTATGGACCAGAGAGGAAGGCTTTTGGGGCTGCTGGTCAATCATACATTAATTGGGCTGCAAAAATGGCTGTTGGATTGGATACTGGAGTTCCTTGGGTGATGTGCAAGGAAGATGATGCCCCAGACCCTATGGTGAGCTATCTTATTCTTTACACTTGCCAAGTCTAGTTGCCTCAACTGTCCCAGAATTAATTTGCGACCTGCAGTTACTATTTTTGTTATCTGCACCTTCCTTGAATGGTGAATTTGACTTTGTTCTGTTTGAATTTTGGAAATAGATAAATGCATGTAATGGTTTTTATTGTGATGCTTTCTCTCCCAACAAACCTTACAAGCCAACGATGTGGACTGAGGCTTGGAGTGGCTGGTAAATATTACTGCAAGCAGTACACTTGAAGTTTGAGTTTCTGAGTGTAAATTTAGTCCTCTGATTCTCTGTGTTTTTTCATTGTGAACTAAATAAAAAGGTTTACAGAGTTTGGTGGCACAATTCACCACAGACCAGTTCAAGATTTGGCATTTGCAGTTGCTCGTTTCATCCAAAAGGGTGGCTCATTTGTTAATTACTACATGGTAGGGTACCTTGCATGATTCATTTCACATTTTAAGTAAAAACTTGTGTTTCCAAGCTTAAGGCCTATGCATCATGTATTATTACAGTACCATGGAGGAACAAATTTTGGACGCTCTGCTGGAGGTCCGTTCGTTACAACCAGTTATGACTATGATGCACCAATAGATGAATATGGTAAGGTCTTTGTGAATTTATTCTTGTCCTGATTTTTTTTTAAAAAAACAAACTTGAACTTTGAAGATTCTTTATGAGAAAAACTACAAATTAGGCATGCCTAGCCACAATTTTAAGTTATAATTCACTAATAATTGCAGAATTATTCATGAATGGGCTAGTAAATTTCTAGAATTTCTAAACTAAATGTTTACTCTCAACATGAATATTCTTTCCAAAACTAAAACTTAGTACTGGCTTCTTTCCACTTTTTACAACAATTTTAAGGAATGCGTCGTGTTTGGTTATGTCAGTATATATTTTTCAAAATTTCAGATCTACAGCTAACCATTTATTGGTTTAGGTTTGATCAGGGAACCTAAATATGGTCATCTGAAAGAGCTTCACAGAGCTATTAAGCTATGCGAGCATGGATTAGTCTCTTCAGATCCCACAATTACTTCGTTAGGAACCTATCAGCAGGTCTGCCTTCTAACAAAATTTCTCTCATTCCCCTGGTTGGACAGTTATGTTACGCTTGCTATTGAAGATTCATGATAATGGTCATTTTGCAGGCTCATGTATTCTCTTCAGGGAAGGGGAGCTGTTCTGCTTTTCTTGCCAACTACAATATGAAGTCTGCTGCTAGAGTGATGTTCAATAACATGCACTATGTTTTGCCTCCTTGGTCCATTAGCATCCTTCCTGATTGCAGGAATGTAGTGTTTAACACAGCAAAGGTAAGCAAGCATAGGTTCTCGTTGCAATATCATTCAAATGTGAAATCTCCTCCTTCAGTGATCCTGAAGTTATTTTCTTTAACACCAAGTTTCTGATCTCTAGTTATCCTGTCATGGTTTAGGTTGGAGTTCAAACTTCACATGTCAAAATGCTGCCAACTGGTTCTAGGTTGTTTTCTTGGGAGACTTATGGTGAAGATATTTCTTCGCTAGAGGCCAGTTCAAGGATGACAGCTCTTGGACTCTTGGAGCAGATAAATGTAACTAGGGATACCACTGACTATCTGTGGTACATCACAAGGTGAGCCAGGTTCAATACTGTGTATTTAGATTTTGAATCCCTATAACCATATACCAACTTCATGGGAACCTAAGCACTTTATCTTATCCACTTGTTTCCTCGGTTCATTACATTCTTTTGAATAATTGTGAACTTAAAAACACCCCTGTGTTTTTTCAGCGTCGATATTAGTCAATCAGAATCATTTCTTCGAGGTGGACAGGGTCCTAGTCTAACTGTCCAGTCAGCTGGGCATGCTCTTCATGTCTTCATCAATGGGAAGTTTTCAGGTATGCGTTTCAAGATTATATTCTTATAGTAACTAATATGGATTTCACTTTTCTGGTTTATGAATGCTTTGCCTGTTACAATTACAGGATCAGCCTTTGGTACCAGAGAGAACAGGCAATTCACCTTTACAGGACCAGTCAATCTACTTGCTGGAACAAATAGAATTGCACTACTCAGCATAGCTGTTGGATTACCGGTTAGTTCTGTTCTCTGACTCCACCTCAATGCAAGTATAGATGCCAATTAATTTGAGAAGTGCAATCTGATTTTGGCTACTAAAAATTATAAAGCTTGTAATGAAAAAAAAAGGGAAAAAGTCTGTTATATTATTCCAGTTACTGACTATAAAACTACTACAAAACTTCTGCATTGTTTAAGAATGTTGGGGTGCATTACGAGAAATGGAATACGGGAATACTTGGTCCAGTTATGCTGCATGGCCTTAACCAGGGAAATAAAGACTTGACTTGGCAGAAATGGTCTTACCAGGTATGATATGTGCCTGTTTGTGTCCCTTTAACTGTGTCTTATATTTGGCAGAAGTTTAAGCCTTGAGGTGTTGGATCGAAACAGGTTGGCTTAAAAGGAGAGGCAATGAATTTGGTCTCTCCAAATGGAGCCTCATCTGTTGATTGGATTCAGGGGTCTCTAGCTACCGGGCAGCAACCTTTAAAGTGGTATAAGGTAAATTATTAGTGGGAAAATGTTGAGAGATGGCTACAAATTTTAATACTTGAGGGTTTGATTGTCATGCTGGAACATTCAGGCTTATTTTGATGCACCTGGAGGAAATGAGCCCTTGGCTTTGGACATGCGCAGAATGGGAAAGGGTCAGGTGTGGATCAATGGGCAGAGCATAGGAAGATATTGGATGGCTTATGCAAAGGGTGACTGCAGTAGTTGTAGTTACTCTGGAACGTTCAGGCCTCCAAAGTGCCAACTTGGTTGTGGCCGACCAACCCAGCGATGGTATGTTTTAGGATTGCACTTTGATCTTCAGCAGAAGAGCTGTAGAGTGTAATTGGTATATCTTACAACTAATCAAACTTATATGTTTCTCAGGTATCACGTTCCAAGGTCCTGGTTAAAGCCAAAGAAAAATTTACTGGTAATTTTTGAAGAACTTGGAGGTGACCCATCAAAGATATCCCTTGTTAAGAGATCAACAACACATGTTTGTGCTGATGCATCAGAGCACCATCCAGCCATTGAGAATTACATTACTGAGAGTGATGGTGAATCAACAAGAATGCTTCACCAAGCCAAGGTTCACCTGCAATGTGCACCAGGGCAGTCTATATCAGCTATAAAATTTGCGAGCTTTGGTACTCCTTCTGGAACTTGTGGAAATTATCAGAAGGGAACTTGCCATGCACCAAACTCACATTCAGTTGTAGAAAAGGTAGGTTTCCTTAGTACCATCACATCTAATTTCAGTTTGCTTTTGTTTTGATACAATTCTACTGCCTTTCATTAACCGAATAAAATTTTCTAATGACTCTATTCTTGTATCACTAAACTCTGCAGAAATGCATGGGAAAGGAGAGTTGTATGGTCACAATATCCAACAATAACTTCGGTGCTGACCCATGTCCCAGTGTGTTGAAGAAGTTGTCAGTTGAAGCAGTTTGTTCAACAGTAAGTGAAACGACTCAAACCAATACAGGGAAGTAAATTACTCAAGCGAATTTTCAGATATAATAATAATAATTTGCTCACCTTGAAAAGCTACAAGGAAGAAAAATAAGGTATTGACGCAGAGATCCTATTATTAGTTGTCATCTCTACATTATCTACAATGTATAGCTAGATGTGTCACCATTTACACTTCGTAGTTGTGGGAGTAGGTATTCCCATTAGCTTTCGGGTGGATATTGTACTTCTGCAAAGCTTTGGGTTCTTCTGGCAAGGAAAATCCCTTTAAACTGAAATTCCATGTGGTGGCCTGGCAAGTGCCCTGAATTCCCATTCCGTGGCCTTTTATCTAGAGATGGGCATGTAAAATAATTTTTGTACTGCAAAGTTAGAAATGATTATTGTCCGACAGAATGAGAAATTATTGAAGTGGAGAAGATGAGTGAGTATGGGCATTATGATGTCTGTTTCTTATGTAAATTCGAAGTCTACAATATTTCTCATTGCTTTTGTTGCAAAACTTCCATGGATGATACGTGATTATCACAGCAACATATCTGCATTTTACATGTTCTTTGCTATCATGTAGCGAAAAGAAACATCGATAACTTTAATAAATAATGCAATCAGCAATTGGCACTTGGCAGATTCTCATGGACAAGCTAAGCACTAGGATGCAAACATAGATTCTAGTGGTGGGAAAACAGAACATTATTCGTACAAATAAAAGGGATGAAAATGGGCATGCAATCCATAACTACAGCAATTTACAGAAACAACGTGAGGATCTTGGTGATTTCTGTAACATCCATACATCACGCAGCTTCAGTTGCATACTGTTCTACAGAGGACTCCAGTCGTTTTATTAGAACCCTCAATCCTGTCCACTATTTCCCCTTCTTTCAGGAGAATATAATTCACTTCCCAACGACCAAAGACAGACTGCAAAAAACCATAGCAGCATCTATCAGGAAACGACCAAAACATATGCAGGAATTTCAAGCAACTTAACAAGCTATTATATATATACTATTAAACAGAATCGAAGAGTAAAGGCATAGGGTTTTGCCGGTAATTTTGGGTCCGCCTTTAAGAATGTCACTTTGGGCAGCTTCTTGGCTAACCCTATCAAAACTGGGACCATGAATTCGCGTGCGTGACACCCTGAATCACAAAAACTCAACACAACCTGCCAGACCACATAACCTGGTAAAATTCAGTGAAAATAAGGAACATATGCCTAGCAACTTAGCCAAGGCATTTTTTTGAAGAAGTTCAACGGCAAGAGAAATGAATAGTAGGTACCAGTTTCTTAGATCTTTTAAACTCCTCGAACTTCTCCTTCCACACCTCAATAGTGCTGCAGACAATCTCTTGCCCTCCTGCAGCCATTTTTTATCTCTCAAGCAAAGCTTTGCTTGCTGTACGGTTATTTATCGTTACAAAAGTCCCATTAATGTTTCACACAATTAACCGCTTTATATTTATTTAAAAAAAAAAAAATTGAATGTGCTATATTTTCTTTCAAATGCTATCCACCTCAAATTTTACATGTTGAAGTTGTAATGTATTTTATTATTTTTTATTATATTAAATTATTAAAAGTGTTATTAATTTTTTTATATAATAAATTTAATTATTATTGTATGATATTAAATTATTAAATATATTATTATTATTATATTTAATTAATAAAATTATTAAAAATATATAAATCAAAATAAATTTATTAACAACTTTGAAAGTATCAATTATCACAAATTATTATTTTTCTAACATGATAACTTTATAATCTCCTCTACAATTTAAAACCATGATGCAAATGATTTACTTCTTGACAACATATTCAGCAGCCATAGTTTACTCGATTTGTCCACTTGGAAATTCCTACAAATATATTAATGCTACACGATCGTAGAAAATTTAGAAGATTCTGTTAAGGTTGACGGTAAGAACCGAGGGGGAGAACTGTTCCATAAATTTGACTACGTACGAACTTAATGTGTCCATGTGCCCAGATGCCTGTTTTTTCAAATGACGTTTGATTATGAATTTGACCTTTCTCTCTACCATGTTCTCAAGTGGGGTTTAATTACGAACAAATTCCCATTAATTGACTAACATGCAATATAACTATTAAAAAAAAATTAATCGTACAAAAGGAAATGTTACTTAACTAAAAACCTGCAACTGTACAAGACAGGGCTAGGTACCAGAATGCAAGAAATTTTAAATTTCTCCCAGAATGCTATGGCATAATTCAGTTGCAAAAATTACATCATTGGTAGAAATTTTAGTCCATGCCAATTTCAGAAATTTCAATACATTTTGGTGCTCTGAGATACTTATTAGTTATGTAAGACTCATTCTTGGACAAAATCTACAATGCTTTGGTCTTCTTTTGATAATTTTCCCATTTAATTCTGCAAAAACACCACATCAAAATCCAAAATTCGGTAATGCCGATAACAAATAGAACCCCTTCTTGTCAACTTTATCAGACATATGACAGTGAAGCTTCATGAATATGGGATTCTAGGTATTTGACCCTACCATCTTGCTGACGCTCTTTGCTGTCTTCTTCCCAACGTCATAATCAGCAGTGTTTTTGTATATATGCTCCTTCCCATCATGTTCCTGTTGTACTTGCCACCATAGGAATATAATTTGCCAGCAAAATGCATCGACTTAAACATGCTTTTCGAATGTAAACGAGTCCATGGCGAAGACTGCAAGTGATACGTAGCTGCTACTATATTGGGGGCTAAATATCAATAACCAGGACATTTGGTCAGAACTTCCTATTCTTTGATCAGTTGGTTTACTCTAGCTACTTCAATAAAAGTGCAAATCAAGCACTTCGGGTAACCCCAAAACAGACCAAACACAGATCCAAAGCAGAAGCCACAATCAAATCACTAGTCTTCATCATCACTAAATCCCAAGTTGTCTAAGATACCTGTCAAACACAAGGAAATCACAGACAATGGAAGTTTAGTGCGCAATGAAGCTTAGAAAACGAATTGCTTGTAAGCTAGGCCTATCTCCCCTAACAGGATTTCCATAATGTTCGAGTTGTCGAGGAATTTGCCACCCTGTATGAGGATAGCAAAACCATGACTATTCTCGATCAACAAAACTAATGCCATGATAGAGGCTTTCCAATCCCTGACATACAATTTGTCAAGAAGAGCACCGAAATTTATTGCATAGAAATATAGCCTCTTAAACTTAATATTCTAGAAATTGAGTGAACTCACATTAACTACAAAATATGTCTGATTAACAAAGACAAACTATCCACATAAACACACAAGAGACACATATAAGATCCATAAGTACTATTATTCAAAGAAAAAAAAATCCTTAAGAACAGCAATCAACAGGAACTGCTAGAAAGATACCAAGATTCATTTATCATTCATACATCATGCAGTCTCATTTGCAAGCTTTTCTACCACCGACTCCAGTTTCACTTATTGGCACCCGTAAATTTGTTCACAATTTTCCCGTCTTTCAGGAAAATAGAAGTCAGCATTGCCTGCACATCCCACTCCTGAGCAACAGACTGCAAGAAACATACAAAGATATATCTATTAGAAAACTACATCAATGGTTTACTTTACGTCTCCATACACAATAATTTCAAGCCATTTCAACATACATCTTAACAATTAAGCAAAACAGACGAGTAAATGATGCCATGGATTCTTTTTACCTTCAATTCATCCACATCGACCTTCAAGAATGTGACATTGGGCAGCTTCTTGGCTAAGTTTTCCACAGCTGGGGCAATAAGTTTACATGGTCCACACCATGCAGCAGTAAAATCCACCACAATCTGTCAAAATATGTTTCTTGATTAGTAAATCAAGTCCAAATATGTCCATCGCATTAGCCAACCAAAATGAATATTACCTAATTACTTGGTTAAAATTTTTTTAAAAAAAAGTCCCAATTTAAAGAACTAAACACAAATTATGAGAAGACACGAAAAGACCAAGTACCAGCGTGTTAAGACCCTTTTCACTTCTCAAGCTGCTGGTTCCAAGCATCAACAGTGTGGCAGGCAATCACTTGTCCTTCTCCGGCCATTTTCTCTCTGAATCTCATGAAAAGCAAAGCTCACTCTCTTTTGTTTTGATTACAAATTGATTACTGCGCGACATGAGACCCTATATATATATATATATATATCGCAATCTGCGGGCTGTTCGAATTTACCGAAATGCTTTTTACATGTAACAATTATAATTATAATTATAGACATGCCATTTTAGTGATTTGGAGTTGGTACGCGCAATTGGGTCCGTGAGCCGTCCCGGTCTCCTACACGCCAACGTGGGAAGAATAATACTTTAATGTCGTCGACAACCGGTCAGACCAAAGAATTCGCTTAGGAACCAATCCACTACCGACACATGCACACGTGGAGTATGCCATGACAGGTTACTGCGAATAAATAAATCGGTCCCCTTCTGTAGCGACGGTCTTGATGTAAAACATTGTGGAATTTGATTTCCCTGCAAGGGAAATCAATTCTCATCCATAGAAAGAGAGATTGTATTTTTAAAAATGAAAAATCCTAAGCATTTTTTCACTAGGGGCAATATTATTTCCTGTTTCTAGAAAAGAATACCTGACACATCAAACACGATATTTCTTAAAAATTCCAAATTTTATATATGAAACTTTTTTCAGACCAATAAATTTTGTTTTTTCTTCGAAATAAATTCATGTCTTCTTATATTTTTATAAAAAATAATTAAAATATATTTGAAAATTTTTATATATCTTATTTTATATATATATATATATATATATTTTAAATAAATTATATGTGTTTTCCCCTTTTTTTAATTGTTTTCAAAATTCGGTAATAATAATGGACCAAGCTTGTGATGGTCCTAACTAATGTATTGGGCTTTAAATAAGTGGCTACTAAATAATCCGGCCCATAGTACATCATGGAGGTACTGATTCTAAACTCTGGCTTCAGCGCCTACACTGGACACTGTTTGGAGAGAGTAGCATTCAGTTTAAATAAAAAAATCAAATTAAATGTAAGTGAAATATCAATTTTACTCAAATATTAAAATAAAATAATGAATCGAATTTTTTTTTTGTTTTTCAATTCGGTTTGGTTTTTTAAATTTTTTGTTCGATTTTTACTGAAAGCAGAGATTTTTTTCTAATTTTTTTAAAGTTCGGAAAAAAAATACAAAAAAAAAAACTTACGCTATATGTGTGGGCGAGAGATATTTTTGGTCTGTTTACGTTATTTTTTAAAAAATAAAAATTTTGAAAAAAATGAAACTAAAAACCCAAAATTTGATTTTCAAACCAAAAAATTGAATGAAAATTTAATTTGAATTCTTTTTTTATTTTTATAAATTCAATTAACTAAAAACCGAGTGGAAATTATTAAAAATCGAACAAAATTGATTACCCCCAATTGTGGTGGAGGTGTTTGGTATTCTCGTCAAATTTTGGACGGGTGTTGTGCTTTAAATGTTGTGCTTTAATAGATGTTCCACGTGGTGGTCGCTATGCTGTCCTGATGTCTCATGCTCTGGCTTTGTTATCCCAGACACGTGCACTAGTTATAATCTTTGTATCGCAAAGTCAGAATTCGAACTTTCGCAGAAATGGACTCTGCCTTGGGATCGTTTCAGCAGTCAGGGGTGTGGGACTAGCTTTCATAGTAGCTTTCACACCATCCAAACCGATGAATCACGAGGCTAAATACTTCTTTAAGAGGCAATGTTTTCCGATGCGCTGAAAAGGACGCCATGTAACGGTGGATGTGTTGCCCTTTTCTCATTGTTTACATTTGCGCCCACGTATTGATCTACAATGTTTATGTCAACTTTATAAATTGACCAATTGCAAAACTCAAACTTCCAAATAATAGTTATCAGGAAGGATTCGCTTGCTGTTCTGTCTATTTCATTGCCAGCAGTGGACATTATCGGAAATGCAAATCAAGTACTTGAACAACCGTGATGACACAAAGCGGAGAACAAAAAGAATTAGAACAGATGTGGATTTCTCCTCTCTTTGAAAAGAAAAGATCTTTTGTTTCGAAGATATGAGATCAGTTCACCTAATCTGACGAGCAATAAAAAGATGCTATAAGAGGCTTCCATCCATCTAAAGGAAATTGTGCCTTGATTCTGCAGTTTTGGGAAAAAGAGCTAGCCGATCACCGGTGGCCCATCAATCTACCTGCGGCCTAATTCTCTTTCGTGTAGAAGAATTTTTAACAATGCATGGATTGCAAAGGAATCGGTCAAGCAGACACAGCAATAAACAAACGGTAGCCATTCTCTACCAGTGAAAACAAAGTCATGATAAGAGGCTTTCACAGCCTTAACACTACACAAGCAAAGTTTATTCGGATTTTATTACATTGCAAACCAGCTTCTCCAGATAAACACTTAACACAAGACAGGGCTCCCATCAATAACATGAGGAAGCACTCGCATAAACATGCCAAATACATCTATAAGATCCATAACTACGTACTTATGGACAGACAACGATTGAAACCCATTGAGGATCAAGCATCACCCACACTTCCTGCAGCAGCAGTCCCAGCGTGCTTTGCAATCATTCTTGGGAGGCCATCTTTATCAGCACCCACAATTTTGTCCACTTCTTTTCCATCTTTCAGGAAAATGAAAGTTGGCATGGCCTCCACCTTCCATTCTTCAGAAACACTCTGCAAAACATACAATATTATCAATTAGTAAAGAGGATATAACCATAATTAAGCACAAGATGTAGCATCAATTGGGTAATGGCATAGATTTTTTACCTTCAATTCATCCACATCCACCTTCAAGAATATGACATTGGGAAACTTCTTGGCCAACTCCGCGAAAATTGGGGCAATCATTTTACATGGTGGACACCATGCAGCAGTAAAATCCACCACAATCTGTCCAAGTATGTTTCTTAGTCAAATCCAGATGAAGCAGAAACTCATGGCAACCAAATTAGAGGGATAAGGCATTTCATGAAGAAAATCTCAAACAATTTACCCATAAAAAATTCATCTAATTCAACTTTCAATCAATCAAACAATCAAGATTCAAGTCCTTTACATCAAAACTACTGTCAAAACCAGGTAAGACTTTCGGGTAAATTTTTTTTAAAAAAAAACCCATTAATTAAATTCGGGAAAATTAAAGATTCCACAATGAAAAAAAAATCCACGTAGATTTAACATACAAAACCACTATCAAACAGGTATAACTTCACAAAAAATAAATAAATAAATATATATATATATATATATATATATATATATATATATATATATATATATATATATATATATAAACCAAATAAACTATTTTAATTACCACACAAATAAAATCCTAATTTTAGTGACAAACACAAATACTAAAAGGTACAAAGAGACAAATAAATACCAGTTTCTTAGACTCTTTTCCCTTCTCAAACTGCTCTTTCCAGGCATCAACGGTATGGCAGGCAATCACTTGTCCTTCTTCCGCCATTTCCTTTCGCGTTAATCTGAAGAACGAAAAAAAAACCCGTTTTTTTCTATGTTTGATTAGTAGTTTTCAAACTCGGCACGATTAGGCTTGAGAACCTGATCCACTATATATAGTGAGCCTCGAATTGTTCGTTTAATAAAATGCGTCTTACTTTGACAATATTACAGGTATGCCATTTGGGATGGCTGTGGACGCGATAGCGTGCTTGGTGCACGTGACGTACCCCTATACGTCATGGGACCTTTTCTTTTATTAGGGTTGGTGGTGGGAACAAAGTGTTTGGGCAAGCAAGGATTGAATCTCTTTTTAGGACGACGCGATGCTCACGCGGCTTACCCAATGGCGGAATGCTGCAAGAAGCTGCAAATGACCACGTGCCAGATTTTTCCTAGTGGGTTTTAATCGTGGGCTTTGATCTCGCTCCAGTTTTGTTTGTTTCCAACTATGGTGAAAATGGACTGGGCCTCGTATTTTCAAATTAGTTGGGCTGTTAATGATGCAACTGCAAACCTTGCTTTACAGTTTGTTGGCTCGATGTGTGTGAATAATTTATTTATTAATTAATTTATTGAGATTTTTTTTTTTAACAACAAAGATTAGATGATAGATTTGATTGGGTTAGTTTAAATCCTCATATTAAGGCTCGAAATAGGTTAATTGGAATCCACATTAAAGTTTAAGACATGACACACATGTAATCCGTAACGTCTGCAACCAAAAGAGTGTTACAGCGGCATCAAACATTTGTAGTGCACTAGATGCGAATGCAACATGCTCGGCCAGCAGAGGCTAGGCAAGCCGTGGCAATGTCCTATGCTTGTCGAATGCACGATAACACCTTATGACATGAGACCTTGTATGGGACATTTAATGCATAATAAAAAATCTTTTCGTTTAAAGCTCAAAGGTATAGAATTAAATATGTGGCGGTCTTGGTTCAACTTATTAAAAGCCAACGTAAATTTGCAAAACAAATTTTTATTTCATAAAATGTTAACTCAATCATACATTATCATAGTAAAAAAAACTATTTACACGTCATTTTTACAAACCAAAACTTAGCGATATATACTACATGAAACATGTCTAGACTACGAGCTTAAACTTATGTCTATAGTACACTTTTCAGCAAACTCAAAAGGCATTCAGCAACACTTCCAACGTGGCAGCATGCTCTAGGCCTCGTTACGATCACCTATATCATAAGACATAAACCATGAGTTAAGGCTTAACAAATGCAACCACGCATGAGTTTGTTAAACATGTTTTGGCGATAAAAATTCTTCTATGTCTTTTGAGCATGTCCTATTGAATGTTTGATTCGATCCTTTTTAAAAACTTTGATGAAAACATCGTAAACTAGACATAGCCTAGCCAAGAGCTAGATCATTCATGCACTTGACTTAGTTGCTTGCTTAAAACATGAGTTCATAAAATCTAATATCAATGTCATGTCATAAGTTAAAAAAGTTCAATGTCAATTCATTAAGAATTCATCCCACAATGCTACAAAAATTTACCATGTCAAAGAATTCACAAATTCGTCAAACAATGCTTACAAAAATCTAGGACAAGTCATTCAAAACAAAACATCAAGCACTTATCCATTAATTCGGTAAGAATTCACACAACCAACTTAAGCAAACACACCATCACATTGTTACAAGGTTTTTACTTGCGACACACAAAACACAACATTTGACAAAGGAATATTCACAATTCCTCATCAATGGAATTCATATACATTAGGTCTTGTGATGTAAATGAGAGTTATACTTTCTTTGACAAGTTAGACATGAAATAAACACTTTAAGATTCCTCAAGAACTTTACCTTGTCCCTTGTCCTAGCTCTTGGCCAACTCGTCCGAATTTCCTCTCTCTCCACCAACTCCTTCTTAAGGTTTTTCTATTAGCTTTTTTTTCCTTTGCAAGAAACAAATGGCCCGATCCTTAGCCAAAGCAACCCTTCATCTATTTATAGTGTTAAGCCATGCATAAAGAAATGTTCAAAAATCCTAAGTGATGACACGTCCGTGGTCGACTCACCCATGCAAGCATAAGTAGAGACGCTTGTCTTTCCATTAACTTAAGGAAAAACGAGCTCCCTCCGGCTTGTTTGATTAATTCAATCAAACTCCTTTATTAAGCATGAACCACTCTAGGGTTTACGTAAGGTCACGTACAAGCAAATACATATAATATTAAAGACAATTAAAGCATAACATTCAGCAATGAGGCATACAACAAGACATGAAAATCATCAACGAAAATCTCATATCACGACATGACAATTTTCATCGACATAAATTACGTGTCATGACATAGCATTTTTGTCGGCTTAGGCTCACATGTCATGATGCGGCTATTTTTAGTGACGAGAAAAACACATCGGACCCAAGTATAGAACATTAAGTAAATCTCTCTCTCTCTCTCTCTCTCTCTCTCCACACACACACACACACACACACACACACACACACACACACACACACACACACACACACACACACACACACGTCATGCTTAAGGGATACTATTACACAATCTACTTTGGAGTTTGATATGAATTGCAGCAAGGCTATTTAATGATTCAAATCATTGGTTATGGTTTTTCTTTCCTTGTTTTTTAAGATCTTCAAACCACAATCAATAGTTAAGTATTTAAAAAATCAATGTTAATTATTAGTAGTTGTTTAAATAGAAAAGTTATGAAACCACTTAAATGGGCTGAAATCAAGTTATTATAGTTACTTTCCTATCTAAATTGGTAGCTTTCGTATACAAATAATTAAAATCAAAACTATTATTCAATGGATGATACCCATAAAATCATTGATCAAATTAGACTTTGGCTGGTTTAGTTTAAAAAACAAGTCTTGTAATTGATAAAAAATTAAGTATGTTTTTGTGTTGGTTCAATATAAAAAAATAAAAGACTCAATATTGATCGATATGAAAACTAATCTAAAAATATTCACTATCTTTAAATATCTTTTTTTAAAAAATTATCTAAGATTTCGAGAAAAATGTCATTCTTAGCACCAAATCTAGCCAGAAAAAATTGAACCTAAAGTTTTTAAATTAAAATTTTTTTTCTTATTATTTCACGAGGAATTTATTTTTGAGTTAACTTTTGTACCTTAAATCAAAATCTTTTCTGGAGTTTAAATAGGTACACGTGAATTGATGCATTTGCAATAATTTCTTTGTGATTTTCCTTCAAATCTAAACAAAAACTAAAGTTTATTAAATAAAAATTTAATATCAATTATTAGAGTGGTCTTTGAGTAATAAAATTTATGAAATTTGAACATTCCAAGTATAGTCACTAGAATTTTCTTGGAATTTAACCAGTAACCAGAAAAAATTCATGCGGCTGGAATTCGAAAACCTAAATTATCGACCTCTTAAACAATGAGATAATCAAAGATTTTTCTCTTCACTTGGAAATGATTTGGCCAACAACAGCCACTTGGATGACACATTTGACATTGCAGAAGAAGCACAAGATAGCCCAACTCCCACGTGGTCCAACTCCTTCCCACACCACGAAATTCCTACCCCACCCCTTCCCATAATATCCAGTTATCCACACTTCCCTTCCTCTTCTTAAAACCACCAGATCTCCAAAATCCAAAACTTTCCAACACCATAATCACATGAAGAAACATCATTGAACCACTTCCAGGAAACAGAAACATTTTACTCATGGAACTGAACCGAACTTAACTAAAGTCAAGTGTTCTGTCTCTCTACAGTTCTAATCTCCCAAAATGGCTCTTCCGCAGCTAATCTCCGCTCACAAACCCTCATTAAACCCCAACACTTCCGCTCTTTCCTCATTAAACCCTAACAATCTCAATTTCTTCTCCAAATCGCCACCATCTATTGATTCACTCGTCCGCCGCCGCCGCCACAAAAGGCGTACCGCCTCATTAAAATGCTCGGCTTCATCATTCTCTGAGAAACACCACAACACAAACCATCCAAAATCAGGCGACGTCGTTGAGCTCCCACTATTTCCACTCCCACTGGTTTTATTCCCAGGCGCAATCCTCCCTCTCCAGATCTTCGAATTCCGTTACCGCATTATGATGCACACCCTCCTACACACCGACCTCCGTTTCGGTGTCATCTACTCCGACGCCGTTTCCGGCACCGCCGAAGTGGGTTGCGTCGGCGAAATCGTCAAGCACGAGCGCCTCGTCGATGACCGATTCTTCCTCATTTGCAAAGGGCAGGAACGGTTTCGTGTAACAAATTTAGTCCGCACAAAACCCTATCTTGTCGCGGAGGTGACGTGGCTGGAGGACAGGCCGTCAGGGGAGGAGGATGTGGACGCTTTAGCGTCGGAAGTGGAGACGTATATGAAGGATGTTATAAGATTGTCGAATCGGTTGAATGGGAAGCCAGAAAAGGAAGCGCAGGATTTGAGAAGGAATTTGTTTCCAACTCCATTTTCGTTCTTTGTAGGTAGCACTTTTGAGGGAGCTCCGAGAGAGCAGCAGGCCTTGCTTGAATTGGAGGATACAGCTACGAGGTTGAAGAGGGAGAAGGAGACTTTGAGGAATACTCTTAATTACTTGTCAGCTGCTTCTGCTGTTAAAGATGTGTTTCCTTCTTCATAGTGTAGGTAATCAATATTGGGCTTTTGACTGTGTTGCTAATGTTATACAGCGTGTTACACAATAGAATTTTATGGAAGTTGTAAATTTTGATTTTTTTTTCCTTTTTTTGGTTAGACGTTGAACTGTTGATATCTTATAAAAACGAATTAAGATTTTGCACGTAAGGGGAAAGTATTTATCTGGCAATGCGATCTGCAATTATTTAATTGCTAGTTTGGGTTCGAGTGATTTGTGAATTAGTTTCCCATGCCAATTTGCTGCTCTGCTCAGGCTCAGCCATCCTTAGAAGTCGAAAAAACCATTAGTTAATGTTAATCATGAGTAATTTTGCATGATTTTGCAAGTTTTCAGGAAGTATGGGATTAAAAATTTGTCTCTGATAAAATTTTGTGTTCAGTGGGTTTGTTTATTGCTATATTTGAGCTAACTATCAAAGAAACTAGCTTTGGAGGGTCAGAACTGTGTCGTGAAGTCCATTAAAAGTTGTTCTTCATTCTTGCAGATGCTCCCTTCACACTTACTTCTTGCATAAAACTATTTTAAGTGGCTCATAAACTATATATGTAGCATTACTGGACTGCAAAATAGCATGATTTTGTGTCGGTTTTCAGTTTAGATTTCCGGGAGGAGATGAAGAAAATGACGCAGCTCATATTTCAAGCTTTCTGATATATGCTATAGCTAATGTTCTAGCGGGCCAGTTTCCATGTATTTGAAAAAGGTTTACCAGTTGTTTGTCCCCTAAAGCAATCCTTCTGGTCAAGGATTTTGTGACTTATATTTTGATGCACCATTCACTGTAAGTTCTTTATCTCATCAGCTAAATTTGCATTTATGGTTGTCGAACTTTGTGAATTTTGATGGATACAGAAAATCCTAAAATGTCTAGACTCTGAGCCTGGATTGCTCTTTGCCGCATACCACAAGCGCGTGATGCCATGAAGGCATACTGGGAAATGGTATACAATGTAGAAATTCATACCAGGACGCAGGAAGGTGCAGCGATGCAAGAGATATTCAAGATTTTAGCCCAACTGGAAAATAAATACACAAGAAGGAAACCCGTTATGTCTATGGAAGAACTACAAACAAAAATACGCTCACAATAATCTCTGTCCACGCTGCTGATGAATCTAATCTGACATAGTTTTTCTGACTCCTTTCTTCATCCACTAACGAATTCTGATGGTTTTATTAATAAGCTCTAGCGCGTACAGAGTTTTATATCCGAATCGACAGTTTTTTCCCTTCAATGGTGGCCATACAACAAGAGCTTGGAATCGGACAACAGCAACAGAAGCATGACACAAAAATTCGCCGAAATAAAGGTGGGTTTACAGAATCCAGGCTTCAAGAAGGGAATTCCAACTGCCAAACTTCCCAGACTTTTTTCCCTCGATTGCTTCCATTCTAGTGGCATTGCCAGCACGCTGCAAGCACAGGAGATTTTTTAGTCTAAAATGGCAGAACACTGAAAGCGATCGAAAATATGTACTATTTGGCTTTCAAATTCTGGGTAAGTTACTGCCAAAATGATAACATCGATAAAACTATGCTAAGAATTTTCCTAAGAAAGTATTCCATGAACTACTCTGTTATGTTCATCCTATTTTTCCTATAAAATGACTTCAAATTTGTTCATCACTACCAAGTACCAGAACCCAAACAAGTATGGTTGCCTTTTCAGAAAGAACCAAAGGCTAAAGATTCCGAAAAATACCAAAATAAAGTCAGGTTATTTGTACAAAAACTTCAAATGGAACTTAATGGTGCAACAAATAAGAATTGAATCCAAAGATCTATAATTATTATATGATTATGTGCAGCTTTAATGATTCACACACATCATTCTCGATGCCTATATGAAAGCGGAGAAGCTATACTGACCTTAAAGCACATGTTCCTGTCTGTGTCACAAACTGGATAATCATGGGGGCAACAGTGGAGTCGGTCTTTACAACATATGGCAGAATCCAATTCACAGCACTTCCATGAAATGCATATTCCAATAAATGTGCGTGCACAACAGCAGGTCTCTCCTGCTGCACAGTAAGTAAAAAGATTACATTTAGTGGGTCCTGGTGGAGGTGGAGGTGGTGGATTTGGGCTCGTCTTTACTGGATAGGAAGCTAGCATGTTGATTCCACAGACCCCTTGAGAATTGCCACCGTTGCGCAGCATATGCATATAACCACTCATTCCCCAACTTGTTCCCCATGAGTTCTTCAGAATCCAGTAATCCACTCCATTCTCTGACCCATATCCTACAATCAATACAGCATGATCCAAAGAAGTTGAACATGGGCCAGTGAAAATCCCCTATCACACAAAGTAATCAGAACACTTGCAATCATAATGGTGTTTGTTTTACAGATCTCAGTAGTCATTGATATTGCCACAAGGTACCTTTGAATACGATTGAAACACTCTCTCACTGCCGCATATACCCACGCTCACAGGTTGAGCTGCCACAGCTTGTAAGAGCTGTTTCTCGTTGTTTTGAGGCACATCAACATATTTATCAATAGTCACAACATGCCTTTTTAACTGCAATACAATAAGGCATAGCATGAATATTGAAAATGTTAATTTAATCCAAAGTAAAACACTGCAAAAATCTACATGGCAAACAGCCAAGTACATACATATGCATATGCAAGAGGAGAAAAGAATCTGAACAAAAGAACCGAAATGATTCAATGACATGTGCGGAGGGGGATCTTTAATAGTGGCGGGGATTTATGCCTATAAATTGAAAAATAAAGAGTATTTGGAGCTTGCAAAGCCCTTCTGGCTGTTCTTGGATTTGGAGAAAAACTCTTAAATATAGAGAATGTGTGTGGGGTCAAATAGAACACGTGACTGGGAATGGAAAGAACGCATTCTATAGTGGGATTGCTGGGATCTTTTTAGGCCATTAGTGAAAAAGTTTGGCTCAAGGATTATTTGCAACTCAAAGCTTTCTGAATATGCAAAGGCGGCTGATGCAGTAAGGGACAATGAATGGGTATTATGGCCTACTGTGAGCTCTGCTAACATAGTCGCTGTTATTAGTGCTGTTAGTGGCATTATTATCCCTGAATCCTCTGTTAGTGATAATCTCATCTAGAAGTTGAGTGCAGATGGCAACTACTCAGTTAAAATTGCCTGGGAAATTCCTGAGAAAGAAAGGTAACAGGGTGGATTGGCATAAGCTAATCTGGGGAACATTGTACATCCCTAGACAGCTTTATTTCCTGGCTTGCTGTACTGGACAGATTGTCTACAAAAGTTAGGCAATTTCAGCATGGTAGATTGATTGATACCACTTGTGTTCTCTGCAATAGTTGTGATGAGTCCATAAATCATCTATGCTTTTGAGTACGCCTACTCCAAAGCGGTCTCTGTTGCAGAAATGTGGTGTTAGAGGGAATGTTAGGGACTGGAATTTTGATTTTTCCTGGGCTGAAAGCAACCTGCACAAGAAACGTTTCAACTCTGTTGTGTTAAGGCTTGCATGGAATGCTACTCTTTATGGGGTATGAAAGTAGCGCAGTGGCAGGGTTCATGGTAGTTGCAGCAATACCTACAAAGTTCTTGTTAAATGGATTACCCAAGTTGTCATTTACAGGCTTTGTAAAACTGGGATTCTGCAGAACGTTAGGGTAAATCCCAAGTATAAGTTCATTTGTTGTAATTGTTCCTTTTTTTTGTTTTAATATATATATGAAAATCAATAAGATTAGATTAAAAACCAGCAAGAAAGTGGCAGAAAAGATGCAAATTAAGTTAGAAAGATTAGAACCAGGCAACAAAATTCCTCTTGTTTGCTAATACTATTCTTACCTAGGCTATCAACTACAGCATTCCTTGCTCTATTCACTCTGACAAAACAAACATATCTGAACCTATTTACAGAGGAAGTAATGATATTGAAATCATAATCTAACTTTCAAGGCCTGAAATACTTAATAGGCACCTGAAGTTGTATTTAATCTATGAAATACTTTCATTCATTTTTTTAAAAAAAGAGGAAAATCAAAGTTCTCACCTTTTGCTTATTGCAGGTTCCATCCTGTGCTCGGTATGGATAATCTTTCTCAGTATCAATCCCATGATTGTCTATGACAAATTGGAATGCATAATCCATGAGTCCACCGCCACAGCCACTATTGTAACTTTTATCACAATCAACCAACTCTTGTTCTGAAAGGCTAACAAGGGATCCAGTGACAATCTTGTTGACGCCTTCGATGGCTCCAGTAGCTGAGAATGACCAGCAAGCACCTAGATAATACAGTAGCTGATTTATTCCCCACGTATATTAAAAAATTTAGTTCTTATGTAACTGATGTAGTTTCGATAAAAAACAAAAGATGTTCTAAAATGCACAGAACCAGCTGTATGTGCAATTTTATTCCTATTGAGGGACAGGCGGCAAGTGTTGCCACAAAATTTAGTCACTTTTAAGCTAGAATAAAATTTACTGAAAGCAATCAACAATGGTGCAAGTTAGTGATTTCAGTCGGAACCCAAGTATCCATAACTGATGAAATTACAAAGAATCAGCTGCAACACAATAAAATAACTTAGAGGTGATAGTATAACTTAGTCACTTTTAAGCTAGAACAAAAGTTACTGAAAGCAATCAACAATGGTGCAAGTTAGTAATTTCAGTAGGAACCCAAGTATCCATTACTGACGAAATTACAAGGAATCAGCTGCAACACAACAAAAGGCAGTAAAGTATATTTGACAGAATTATAACTAAAAAAGCGATAGAAGGAGTTATGAAGACAAGCTAATTAAAAACTTAAAAGCATTTCATGTAAGCCAACTTCTCCATAATGCAGGCATCAGTTTTATCTGTTTAAAGATGAACACTAGAAGATCAAACACCGTATAAAAGAAACATCAAGCACCTAATACAGTTAGCCATTACACTATATCATGACAGGAATTCAATTATACAAACTCCAAACCCTCCAAATTACCTTCGTTTCTAATATATATATATATATATATATATATATATATGAGAATTGATTTTGCATAGAGACTAGTAACTGCGCTTGTTACTCCTCGTACTACAGTCAAATTGAGTATCATATGACTAAGCTTTAAAGCATAAGTTAAAAGTTTCTACCACTAAATCCAATCTATTACTCACGTACCACAGCTCCCTTGATCCTTGACATTGGTCACAACCCCTTTCTTCCTCCAATCAATTGAAGCAGGAATATCACCAACAACCCCAGTAATTTCTAGATTTCGCTGAACAAGATTCGGAGCAGCAGAGAATCCCAACCGAGAAGTCTTGAACTCATGATGGGTTAGATCAGCAAAGGCATTAAGAGCAAGGGTATAAGAAGAATTACCCTTGTTGTTGTGTTTTGTAACAAAATCATAGTTGTCTTCGAATACTTTAAGTCTATAAGACTTTTCTTCCTGCGAAGTGTAAGCTTTACCATGTTCTTTGCACCATGTTTCAAATAGTTGAGAGATGTCTGAAGAAGAAGAGGAAATAGAAAGGAGAGAGAAAAGGAGAGTGAGTGCAAAGGAGCAAAGGAAGTTCATTTTTTGTTTGAGAGGAAATAAAGGATGCCTGTTGGCTTTTTGTTAGATCGGATTGACTACAAGCATGGAAAGCCAACCAAGTTGTGAAACATGGCTGTTTAATAATCGGAACTTTCCTTTTCAATTTAAAAAAAGAAGCCGTATCTGGATTTGTTTCACGTGCTGACCAGTAAAATAGCGAAATGGTAAGAATCGTCGAAACGCTTCTCAGTTCCGTGTCTTTCTTGTCAAGGCCTTGCTTTGTTTTTTCTGCAGGTTGATTTGTAATACAGGCACCTAACTACCCTTTTACAAATTGAAATTTATCTATGATATTGATTAAATATTTTCTGCGTCCAAAGAGATAATTTATACTTATATTTATTTTGTCAAAATTGTAGTTGACGTGGTCTTTTTTATTTTACAAAACATTATTTGAATATAATTTAAAAAACAATAACAAAAAAAATTATAATAATTAATAACTATTACTAGTAAAAAAAAAAAAAAAAATTAGACAAAGATTTTTTGGAATTGCTTGGTCCCCACCAAATATCATGCAATGCTCCCATTCTCATTTATTGGTAACATACAAACTCATTTATTGGTAACATACAAACGTCTTCAAACGAGTAAATTATAAATTAGTCTTTCTTATTTAAAAAAATAATTAATTTTTTTAATTTTAAAAATTAATTATTTAATCATTTTCACTAGTGCTGGTCATTACTAATTTATTATTTTTTATTTTATAAAATATTTTTTTCATCAATCTTTTTATATTTTTAATTATTTTTTATTTTTTAAAATAAAAAATTAAAATAAATTAAAAATAGTAAAAAGGATTAAATAGTTAGTTTTTGAAAATAAATGGACTAATTAATTCGTTACCCTAAGAAAAGAGGGATAATTTATAATTTACTCTCTTCAAGCGGATCCGCTAGATTGGGGGAAAAAATGGAACGGAGACTTTCAGTGCAAATGGGTAGATATTTTGTTGGGAAAATATTAGATTAGTCTCCCAACTCTCTACCGGTTCTCATCTGATACCAAAAATATTAGTTGTATCAATTGAGTCCCTAAAGTATTTGATATTCATCTAGTAACTTTTTTTCTACGTCTGATAACGTTTTCCATCCAGATTGCGTATAATATGTCATTTTGAGGGGGAAAAAAAGATTTCTTTTCAATCAAAGAAAAGGAAAGATTTTAAACTGTAGATCCAATTGAAAAATATATGATACTAAGGGGATCCAAACAATAAATATTGAGGACTAGTTTATAGTTGGGACTTGGAAGACTAATTAGAGGTTTGCCTTGGTTTATTTACAATGCCTATATTGGAGAGTAAATTCTTAAGTTAGTCCCTCTATTTTTTAGAAATGAATTAATTAGTTTTCTTTATTCCAAAATTAATTTTTAATCTATTAACTAATGTTGATCACACTTAATTTAATATTATTTTATTTAAAAAATGTTATATTTTTCATCAATCCTTTCATATTTTTTCTTTTCTATTTCTTAATATAAAAAATAAAAAAATAATTAAGTTACAAGAAAAAATTAAAAAAAAGAGTTAAATATTTAGTTTTTGAAAAAAAAGAGACTAATTAATTCATTTCTCAAAAGTAGAGTGACTCAATTATAATTTACTCCTATAGTGGAGGATTACAGAGTAAATTATAAATCAGTCCCTCTAGTTTCAAGAAACAAATTAATTAGTGTCTCTTGTATCAAAAATTATTATTTAGTCATTTAATTAGTGTTAAACATGTTTAATTTAATATTATTTTTATTCTACAAAATTTTTTATTTTGTCATCAATTTTTTTCATAGTTTCAATATTTTTTTCTTTTTCTATTTCTTAAAAAATCAAAATAAATTAAAAAAGGAGCAAAATGATACAAATAGATTTCAAAATGTAATAATTAATGATTTGTTTTTAAAATAAGATAAGCTAATTAATTCGTTTCTCAAAATGAGAGAGACTAATTTATAATTACTTGATGATTGCATGTTGCTTTTTTTTCCTCAAGAAAAAAAAAAGAAGAAAATCATCCAAACAAGTCATGGATAAATCCACTAATATAACCACACGTGTTTAATTGAGAAAATTATGAATTGGTCCATCTAGGTTCAAGAAATTAATTAATTAGTCTTTCTTATTTTAAAAGCTATCATTTGGTCTTTTAATCAATTTTGATCATGCTTAGTTTAATATTATTTTTATTTTATAAAAAAATTTATTTTTTCATCAATCTTTTCATATTTTTTCCCTTTTTCTATTTCTTAAAATAAAAAATTAAAATAAAACGAAAATGATTAAATTATAAGTATATTTCAGAACACAAAGACTAAATATTTTTAAAATTAGAGGAATTAATTAATTTATTTCTCCAAACTAGAGGAAATAATTCATAATTTACTCATGTTTATGTGGATCTATGTCATGATTACCGTAGCAACGATAAAAAAATAAAAAATAAAAAAATCCACGACTTAATTGGAGGATCCGGTAAATAAAAAGGCGATGCATCTTCTTCTCTGATTGAGAATTTGCACAGTTTTGCCTTTGCGGTATCATCTCCGTGGCAAGTTAGTGATTTGGTTCGTGGGTTTCCTTTATTATCCTGGACTCTCTTTAATTGTTTGGTTACGAATCATATATGGATTTTTAACTTAACTTTCAATGTTATTCTATCTTGGTGGATAGGATTTTCACGCTAATCAGCAGTTGTGTTTAAAATGCATTCCTCTGTACCAGCACCTTCCACGTTGTAATGGGTTTTAAATGCTCGGCAAAGCCTTTTGTGAATCTTCAAACTCCTGAAGGTTTGGAAAAGTTTACGCAATTTCTCTTGTTTGACATTTGTTTGGTTTTTAAATTTTAATAGATTAGGTTTGTTTGTTATAAACATGAATCAAGTTATTTAATTAATTATGTGCTAATTAATTATGTTTTTTTTCATATATATATATATATAAAGAAAATTGATTTGATGGTTTAAAAACAAATTCGACTAAAAAATTATTTAATTTTTTTTAATCTTTATTGATAAGTTGAAATAGTTTGGTTTAAAAAAACATATTTTGTTACGAGTTTGTTTTTTCTTATACCTAACCCAAATCCCACCATCAAAATCTTGATAGCATAATATGATTTTAATAATAAAAAATTATTATTATTTTACTTTAAATCTTAACCTCACATAATTAAATACTTAAGAATCATCCTTATTTTCCTATAAATCTAAATCTCGTATGATTGTGAGGAGATTAAGCTTTCATCTATAAATAAATATATATATATATATATATATATATATATTTTTTGCATATTATTAGTATTGCTTGTCCTTTCTGCTACATCTCTCACTAACTCCTCACATTTTGAGCAATCTATTAACTTGTGATTAATTTAAAACCCCTCACACATGTATCAATCTAACTTTTGTAAGCATTATGCATCTTTTGTTTGACATGGATAACAAAAACTAACGATATAACTTGTAATTCAAATCCGTATAAACAACCTGGAGAGCGAATACAAGAAGCGAGGGAACCAACATTTTTCTCGTCTCAAAATTATCTTCTTAATTACTGTATACTTGGAGGTGGTTTTTTTAGGATCCACGATGATGTCCATATGTCTTGATTCTATTGGACTGTTGCATGACTTAGTTGGAGGTCAGATCACGAAATAATTTCTCTGCTTGAGTGGGAGCTGGGCCTCACACTGCTGGAATTCCGAGCTGTAATTTAGTACCCGTCCAGAACATTATGTGGTGCAGATTTTAAGTTGACGAAGCCTGTCCATCTCCGATATGATTGCCAAGAAGTACTCGGCTAAAATAAAAAAATCGAACTGAATTGATAATTTTGCTTCGGTTTTTTTTTTTTTAATTTAGTTTTTAACGAAAACTGAATTATTGTTTTTTTAACACATACATATAAGATTCCTGACAGAACTAACCTATTAAGATTTGAATCCGTGATCTCTTACAAAAGATCATTACTACTTGATTACAAGCTATTTGGTACCAAATTATTTAGGAATGACCACTATTTAAATTGTTATATCTGAATTTTTAATAGACAGGAAACCACTCAAACTCTAGCAATAATATTTTTCTATGATTTTTTTGGTTAAAAAATCAATTTAAGCTATTATTATTTCTTAAAAATAAAAAAAAATTATAAAAAAGTGACCGTTCAGCTTGATGCAAGAGAAAATTCAAAATTTAGAAAAAAAAGATATAAAAAAAACTCGATTTTTAACAAAAAATCGAATAAAAAATTTGGTTTTAACAAAAAAATTGAACCTCAATTCGATTCAATTTTGATTTTTTTTTATCAATTTGATCGATCGAAAATGAAAAAAATCAAAATCAAATCAAAAAATTAAATAATCGCTTCCCGTATCAAGTGTCAAACCCTCCTCGAAGGATTTGCTATCATAAATAAGCTTGACAATTGACCATTTAATTGGATAGCTTTATTTATTTTTTATTTTTTAATGGAGAGCTTTATGGGACACTAACGTAATTCTACTCTATCCCAAAAATCTTAAAATTAATTAGATACTTCAAGTATTTCGTAGTTTAGCAATAGAAACGGATATATTTTTTACCTTGATGAAAGATTAAAATAAGATTCTTGAGGTGTTGGTTACTGTAGTAAGTAGGTTATTTTCTTATTTTGCCCCTTTATAGACTGGATTGTAGAAGGAGGGTTACAAGAAAAAAAAAAAAAAATTCTAAATCTAATTAGGAAGAGATATAACAGCAACAACCTTCATTTCGGTGAAAAAAAAAAAAAAAAGCTTTCCAATAGTTAGATGTGGAATTTATGTAAAATTTCACATGTCAAATGTTGATTTTGGCAATTTTTTTCTGTCACGGTTCATCTTTCTAACTTATATATATATATTTATTGTTGGATATACAAATATAACAAGTTTTTTTAATTAATTTTTATTAAACTACAGTAATATATATTAAAACATGTCACTACTCTTCGAGCCCCGTCAATACCAACCTCCACCCCAAACTGAAAAATCAAGAAAAATGAAGTTAATTATTTTACCTCAGAGGAGACAGACTTCAACCACCCAAATTTTCTCCTTTCATCCTTTCATCCTTCGCCCTCCTCGCAAGAAGAAAGAAGAGAGAAAAAAAAACAAAGGTAAAAATCCGCAGCGAAAGAGATGCGAGGCACGTGTACAAGCAAAACCGGAGCATCAAAATCAGCAACAGCAGTTTAGAATAGAAACAAACACACACTCAAAGCGCTTCATTGCTTCTTTTCTCGTCTTTTCTTCTATTTCTATATCCTTCGAGGCAAGATATCCCTAAAAACCTTAACTCCAACCAACAAGACAAACACCACCAAGCCATCAATACCTTAATCTTCTCATCCTGCCTCTAATCAGCTTCCTAATCCAGACAACCATGGACGTTGATCCTCGTCACTACGAACAAATTGTTAGTAATATTTATTTATTAGCATTATAATGTCAGAATACCAGTCGTTTCTGTCTAGTTGCATTGCAGTATTACACCCAGTAATTACTATTATTAATGATCGGAACCCAAATTTATATTTTACATCATATGCTTTGCGATATTGGGAATAGATGGTTTTGGATATTACTGATGCTGATCAATCAAATTGTTTGAAGTAACTGTTGGTGTAGATATTAATTAGGGTTTGAGGGTTATGCTTAATCTTTCTAATGTGTGGTTGTGATGTTTTTATATGTATTTACAGGCCATCAAAGATAATGATATCCACAATATTGTGCTATCTTATCTGGTGCATAATTGTTATAGAGAAACTTTGGAATCATTCGTTGCTTGTACTGGGATGCCAGAGCCTGCAGATTATATTGAGGATATGGAGAAAAGGAAAGGTATGTGGATCTTCTTAGTTTCGACAGCGAAGTATGACCACTAGCTTCTTTTAATGTTTTCAGTCATACTGCTTGTAGCTTTAAAGTTTTGAACTTCTTTAGTTACGAGATTTGCAGGTCGAGCATGTTAATGTATTGAAAATTTGTGAATATTTAAATAATTAAAGGAATTTATGTGGTCTTTTTGTGTGTATCGTGGGCCATTTGGTAACCTAGCCCAAATTTGGTGTAAAATGCACTATTTACCTTGCTAAATTGATACACTTTACCAGTTCCATCATATCTTCTTTCTAGACATTTATCTTTCTGGTGACTTTGGTTGTTTTCATGAAGATTATTGGAAGAATTGAGCTGTTATGCAATGTTATTTAGTGCATAAACACAAGTAGTGATAAACCATAGATACTGTTCTTTTTAGGAAAAAAGGGAAAATCAAAGATGAGTGGTGATAAACCATGTAGTTTGTATCTACTTTTTCTTGCCTATAAATGATCCAGCGATTTTCAGTTTTGTTCCTTTGCCAATCTCTGTTTTTTTTAATTATCTTTTTTTTATACCAGTGCTAACCGTATGCTATGTGCTCAGGAATTTTCCATTGTGCTATAGAGGGGAATGCACTTAAGGCTATTGAACTGACAGAACAGTTGGCATGTGACTTATTGGAGAATAACAAGGACTTGCATTTTGATCTTTTGAGCCTTCATTTTGTCGAGCTTGTTTCTGCTAAGAAGTGGTAAGTAGTATAAGAGCGATACTTCCAAAATAATGATGTCCCCCACTTCCTACGTTAAATCGTTACATGTTTACGGACAGCACGGAAGCTTTGGAATTTGCTCAAAACAAGTTGACGCCATTTGGGAAGGAGCAGAAGTACGTTGAAAAACTTGAAGTATGTTCCTTCCTGAGGAAGCCATTATAAGCCATATCGACTGTTTTTAGTCTAATATTGTTGGAAAATGAAAAATCATTTCCTATTGCTGCAGGATTTTATGGCTCTGCTTGCTTATGAGGAACCAGAAAAATCACCAATGTTTCATCTGCTTGGCTTAGAGTACCGGCAGCGTGTTGCAGATAAATTGAACCAAGCCATTCTTGGTTTGTTCCCTTAGTTCTTTTTCCTTGTTCCACCGTTTTTGGAAGATTCCATACTAATAAATGTGCTTTTTGTTGATTTGATCATTATTTTTATCATTATCATTGACGTCCTTCTTTATTTATTTGTTGGTCATGAATGATATCAGCCCATACAAACCTGCCAAGCCATACAGTTATGGAGAGACTGATACAACAGACGACAGTTGTCAGGCAAAGCTTAAATCAAGATCATGGTAAGGTAAGGCATGTTTAATGGTTTTCCCCCATTGAAACCATCAGAGGCCGATGATTTTAGTTAATTCTACTGACGTCTCAACTGTTCTTGAGTTTCTTCAGGACTAATTTCTTATTGGTATAGTGATGCTTTACTCTTTTAATCGGTGATTTCATAGGATGGGATTTCACCATTTTCTCTAAAGGACTTTCTCAAAGGCTAGATTCTGGAAGCGATTAAAACATTTTGGTGAAGAGGTAATGAAGGCTACTTCATATCCTGTTGCCACTGTATGGTTTTGGTGTAAGGTTTGTTCATGGGAAGATAACAATTATCAATGCCCTCACATCTGTAAAAGTTGCTGAGTAGGCTGTCAGCTGTCTCATGTGTCTGCTTCTTCCTGCATTTGGTGAGGTATGCCCTTTTTCATGATTGATCAAAACACTAGTGCATTTGAGTTTCAACTCTCCGCTGATTGGATTTGTCATCGTTCATGGTTTTGGCAATCCAATGGCTTGTAAAATTTAGATTATTTTGTGTCATAACGTCAAATTAATTCTGATTTGACGATATTGGAAGTCTTGTTTAGTGGAGCAAGGTTGAGATGGAAGGGCCGTGCCATTTCATGGCACCATGACTTCACATATGGTAAAAAACAGCGCAATATTGATTGTAAAAACTGCAAATGGTTGTTGTGCTTGTATTTCTATTTCAGTAACATGGTGTACAGGTTGCACCTTAAATCGAATTGTAATTCTGGAGTGTTGATGTTGGATTTTTGCTTGCTGGTACTTGATAATTTTGGTAATTACGATTGTAGGTTTCGATCATTTGATTAACTAGCTGCCCATGATAGAGGGTTCCGCTATCTTCCCGTTCAGCACCATGGGGTATTCTAGTTGGTTTACAAGTTGCTTGGAATATGGGCTGTCGTAAGGTCTTGTTTAAAGTTGATCCAAACATGGCTTTACATAAATGCCATATTTGGACAGGATGATGAGGTTACAGATAATTATCCTCTTATTGGCAGCATCGGACTTTTGCTATCAAAAGACAGGATTTTTACAATGCAGCACATTAGTTTGCGTGCCTCTTTACATGATTGGTTAGCTAATTTTGCTTTTTGTTTTCATCTGCGTAATCTTTTTACTTGATGGCCTTCCTCAGGGGTGTACTAGTTTTCTTTTCAGTAAATATTAGCGGGGTGTTGTTCCTCGCATGTGTCACAGTTCCTGTTCCTATTTTCTTTTGTAACCAAAAACGGAAAAAAAAGAAGAAATGTCTGACCTGAACTGTTATCTTTTACCTTCTTGTCTTTTAATCGTATCCAGTCCATGGAAGGAACCAATTACACGACCATAATCGAGGCTGCGAACTACAGGCAAACGACTGCGAAATGCCACGACAATATGATTATAAAAACCTGATTAAAAGTCTCAGAAATATTTTGGTTTGAATATATTGGTGGATTTTTACATTTATAGTTTTAAATATTTTGGTAATTTTTAATTTTATGAAAATAAGTATCGAGAACTAAATTTTCCAGGCATTGATAAACATTGGTTCACCGTTTTCAGGCTTAAATTTTTCCAGAGTTTCTTGGGTTTTTGGGATTAAGGACAGTAAAGAATGGGCCACTTGGGCTTTACAGCTTTTGGGCTTAGAAATCAAGCAACTGATCCAAATCTTAAATGGGCTAAACTACATCGACATAAAGTTCATTGTGGACTTAGAAACAACGCAACCGGCCTAAATCTATAAATATCCAGTAACCTCCTAAATAAAATATCTCACCCATCTTTCAAATTCAGATAATGCTGTCTGTAACTGCTACTCCGTCTTCTTCGCTTCTCAGCCTTCACTCCTGCAACGACACGTTGCCCCTCCCCCATTTTCCCTCCATTAGGTACTCATTTTCTAGGGTTTCAAAAAATTTCGAGCGTAACATCCCGAACCTGAGATTCTGCAAAATTTCTTGCAGACTTGCTAAAGTAAAAGAGGCTATTTCTACGACAAATCCTGACTCTTTAATCAAAGAACCTCACAAATACTTTGATCAAGTAATAATCTCCGTCCGATCAGGAGATGGAGGACACGGTGCAATTCTTAACATGCCTAATCAGAGTAACAATGCTAGTAGGGGAAAACAGGAGAAAAAGAGGAGAAATAAGAGCTCGTATAAAAGAGATTTTGATGGATCGTTAATTCTTCCTGTGGGTGGACATGGAGGTGATGTATTAATATATGCGGACGAAGGAATAGATACTCTACTGGAGTTTCATAGCAAAAGTAGATTTAATGCGAAACGCGGTGGAAATGTTGACGCTATGGGTGTTTTAACTTCTCAATTGCGTAATGGATTCGCTGCCCCGGCTTTGCGTATTCCTGTGCCTGTAGGTTTGTATGTTAAGGATTATATATATTTTACTAAATTCAATTTTTGCGTATGTTGCTTAAGTGTTTTTTTTTTTTTCAAATTAATGTGATAGGTACGGTTGTGAAGCGTAAAAGAGGGAAGTTGTTGGCTGATTTAGCGCAACCGTGGGATGAAATACTAGTTGCGAGGGGTGGACAAGGAGGGGTGAGAAATTTGCGTAACTTTTATTTAAGATTGTGGAATGGGAAAATTATTGTATTGTTTTAGAATTAATTTTTAATGGTTTGTGGCAGATTAGCTTGATTGAAGCCCCAGAGCGTCGAAAGAAAAGATTAATGGCTGTAACAACGAATGTGATGAGAGATGATAGTGATAAGGTGAAGAAGATGCTCTTTGATTTATTTATTACTGTTTTATCATGTATTTAATGTATCTGCGCTGGGCTTGTGCTAGCTTAAGTTGTTGAGTGAGTCTCATCTGTATTGTTTTCTTGCTGGTCATGATTGCAGTTCCAGTTTTGGTCTTCTAGTTACTTTTATGAGTTAAATATATATGAAAGGATGATTCTTTGATTGGACAACTATGTAATGATTGCTGCATATGGGTTTATGTTTTGGTTTCGTGCTTATTCATATGGTAAACAATCTTTCATCATTTGCTCATATGTTTTGTGAGGTTTTGTTAATGCGAAGTTAATGATCTTGCCCTTTCATTTTTACTGCTGGTCCACATAGGACCTGCCCACAACCCTACCTGAATCATTTACCTCTTGAGCCGAGGCTCTAAGGTGATATGTTGATTGTTGACCGCATACCCATGAAGCTAGTTCATAACTCTCTATTTATATTTTATGATAAATTATAACGTTTTATTGGAGGGAAAGAACTTGCTCATCACGAAATTCTAGACTTTGCTATAAAGGAATAAATAATCGACCGCGATAGTATCTATGGTTTATCACTACTCGTGTTTGATTTTCCCTTCTTACCCTAAGAAGAGTGTAAGCATTTATGATTCACTGCAGGTTTTAATTCTCGGTCAGCCTGGGGAGGAGGTCAGTTTAGAGTTGATTCTACGAGTCGTTGCTGATGTTGGTCTGGTGGTAAGTGTTATTTCTCACTTAAGTTTTCATGTTTGTATGCACATGCCTAGGTGTTTTATAATTTTAGGAATTGGATTTTTTCAGTTTTTGTTTTAATAAACAGTAACAAGTTTTCTTAGGGCTTCTAATTCATATCTGAATCAGAGATATTCAAACAATAGAAATTTCCATATTGTAGAAACGACAAGTTATAGATGTTGAACTAGAAATTTACTTTATATGTTTTCTTGGATTGCTGTGACTCTGACCAACGTTACTCTTAATTACTATATTGGTAGAAGGCATTACTTTAATCTTCAGATTGCTAGAGATGTTAACTTGCTTGTTTAGGGACTTCCAAATGGTGGAAAATCTACCCTTTTAGCAGCCATTACGCTGGCAAAGCCAGATATTGCCGATTATCCTTTCACAACTTTGATGCCAAATCTTGGACGCCTCAATGGTGACCCAACTTTAGGAGCAGGGATGTATTCATCTGAAGCAACATTGGCAGATTTGCCAGGCCTTATAGAAGGTGCTCATTTGGGGAAGGTACTGTGTTTTCATATCTAATTCAACCATTTATCTAGAGCTACTAGTTGTGAAAACTGATTCTCTTATCCTTCAGGGTCTGGGTCGCAATTTCCTGAGGCACCTTAGAAGGACTCATGTATTGGTCCATGTTGTTGATGCAGCAGCTGAGGACCCTGTGAATGATTACAGAACTGTCAAAGAAGTATACCTTCCCTTAATGTTATTATTTTTGGGTTTTTATATGTTTGTTTTGTAAAAATAGCTTTCCATTTCACTTGTGTGCACAGATTTAGAAAGTACCGATGCTGCTTCTGTAGTTGATATGACTTGTATGGTTAAGTCTATGGGTATTGCTAGCCTATTTAAATAAAGATCTAAGATCTCTGTAAACTGCTTTAGGGAGTGGTGGACCCAATTCAATTAGCATTTGTTATTTTTTTAATTTTTTTGGCATTGTAGTACTTTTCGATACGTTGAGAAAATACAATAGTTTGTTCTTTGAGCATGCTCTGTACCTGTGTAGAGCTGTACGCCTGTGATTTCTTCATCCAAAGCAATTAAGTCCACTCCCAAATCCTGCCAGGATGTGGATTGGACCTAATTGATGGAAATCCCAAAACAAAACAGGGAAAAGAAAAGGAAAGGCTGATGTGCAATGTCATGCAGCTTTTAGCTCATTTGATGATGAGGCTGATATAACATTGTAAGGCTAGCTTATAAGGTTAGACATGATATTGGGCCATGTTTGAAGGGGTTGGCTTGCTCTTGGTAGTTTTTATGCATGATTCATTATTTCCTTTTGACAATGGAAATTCTAAGGAAGTTGTTTGTCCCCATTGTTTGTCACCTAGACATTTCGTTTTCTAAATGAAGTTATATAGGTGATCCTAAATAAACCAATTTTGTGGTTCTGCAGGAATTGAGGATGTACAACCCGGAGTACCTTGAAAGGCCATATGTAGTGGTGCTAAATAAGATCGACCTGCCTGAAGTATGTCCATATGCAGCTTCGATCACTTGTACTCAAATATTCTTTCTTTCCCAGTATTTACATATATTCATATAGAAAACCTATATTTTTGCATTAATACATCAATTATTCTTTAGGCAAGGGATAGGCTTCCGTCTTTGACTGAGGAAATATCAAGAATCGGTACTGATGAGGTGCCTTCTGAGCCAAAAATAACATCAAAAGGTGTAGTTCATTCATTGTCCACTGAAGATGGCAGCGAAGATAAGTTGTCTCCTCAGATAACCAATGAAGATAAAAGGGATAAAGAGATAGAGGACTATCCTCGTCCCCTCGCTGTTCTGGGCGTTAGTGTTCTGTAAGTTAATCACGTTTCTTGGACTTCACAAACGTATTTTAGGCGTTATTATTCCATAAATCAGAGCACTTTTCTTTTGCTTTCTCTACTGCTCCATGCATGCTTTTCTTTGTTAATCTGGATCTTCATGATTGTATCTTTCTTGGCTTATGTTATTCGGGCAGTCCTTATAATGCTAGAAATGATGCTTACAAGATAAAAGAGTATGCTAAACTTTGATCGGACCTTATTGTTAGATAGGATGCTTATAAGGTTGCCAATGTCAATTCATTCATGCCTAGATTTTCATGAGAAATCAGTATCCTATTGATGTGGGGGGTGGTATCTTGTAGGAAGACCAAAGTATGCTGGTTCGTTTTGAATTCTGTCTTTCCAACTTTCTAGAAATCATTGTCCTCTCTCTTTTCCTGTAATTTGCTCTGTACGTTTCTTTGACAACCTGGATCTACACTGTTGCTGACCGCAATCATTCTATCCACAATTTCAAGTCAAATAAAAAAAAATATTTTTTTTTCAGGATCATCTCTGGTACGAAGATCAATATCATCGAATCTATGTACTCTTATATTCGCACTTCACTTATTGTAGTTGTCTATACGTAAAAGTCTTTAGTTTTTACCAAGAATTTGGTCTTGCATCTGACTGATGGTTTGTATGGGACGAGTCAGATTGGAAGTTGTTTCATTCATTTTCTTTCTTTATTTTTGTTTTTATTTTTATTTTCTTGATTTCTTCAGGAAAAGAATCGGGGTAAATGAGATGTTGAAGGAGATAAGGGCTGCCTTAAGGAAGTGCAGAGATTCTAATGATGCATTGGAGACCATGAGAGCATGATAGTAGCAAAATGTCTAACAGCCATCGGTTGGTCAGCTAAAGCTTAACACAATTTTTGCTTGATGGATAAACCCTTCAATCGTGTTAGCTTGCTTGTCGCTTAAGAGCTGCCTCATTGCAGACTTGCAACACATTTGCTGAAATTCTCACCAAGCTGGATATGCAATTCCTGCTCAGGTGCTTACTATGACCCAGTTCTTGTAGTACTTTCATAATTACCAATGCTTTTGTTTTAGACCCAAAAGATTTCGATCCTTCCCACTAACCTCTTACAAAATGTATGTAGATAATTTGTATTGAAACTTCATATTTGTTTGTTACAGATTGACATACTTGTCAGTGTGGATCTCTGTCCTATATCTTATGCCCACTTAACATTCTATTTGATGGAAAATTGGAGACGTATATAGGGAAAATTCTCTACCTAGTTCCACTGTTCAATGCTAGAAAGTTTGTTGAACATCGCGAAAACATTTAGGTAGGACAAAGTGAGGAGGCCAAGTCCCAGTTGGTAAAATATCGTTCCGACTTTGAAATGATCTTTTAGACCGTTTCATGGCTTTTCACTTTTGTTGTTTTGCCATTGTTGCTTCATTTCTAACCAATCAGTCATATTTTATATGTACCAGTGTATGTGGGAGACATTAATCAGATATCTCCATTTGGAGCTCTAATTAATCGGGAGGCTGAACCCTAGGAAGGGTAAGGTGTAATTTAGGTTGGGTGAGTACTATCTCGATGAGTAATCCAAGTTGCCATGGAGCCTTCTGTTTGAAGTGAGATTAATCAGAATTTCCCCCCTCTTTCCAATAACATTACCGGCAAACATGTTACCTGGACTTGGTTTGGGTCGGGAATGATGGGTTCGAAGGCCCAAAGGAATAATGGTTTGTTCGATCAATTCAGCCTAGTCCCTGCCTACTAACTAGCTTTTCGTTACATCCGTATATAGCAGATTGGGCACAGCAATTTTCCCTTATATAAAGCTCTTCTATTTGACTTGGATGCAGGAGTGGATTTCTGTCGTGTCAGAAAGCTTGCCTTTTTTTATTATTCCCTCTCACACATCATCTCATCAGCAGTCAAGAAGGCTAGAATCTGTCTTGTGCATGACCCATGCTTGAAACCGAATGCCAAGTATCAGCAGTCATACTCATAGCTGTAGATTCATGCATAATTTTTGGTGTCATGCACTAAAATCTTTTTTGTGCATGACCCAAGCTTGAACCTGGATGCCAAGTATCAGCAATTATAGACTCGTAGCTGTAGATTCATGCATAATTTTTAGTGTCATGCACTTAACTCATTTTTTGCATGACCCAAGCTTGAATCTGAATGCCAAGTATCAGCAGTCATAGACTCATAGCTTTAGATTCTTGCATAATTTTCAGTGCATGCCCTTAGTTGGAACCTGATCCTAAGGATCGACCCAAAAAGAGAGATTCAGTGTACGGTGCTTGTGTGGAAAAACCTAGCAAATGGGTCCCACATTAATAGTGCATGAATAATAGCGGCTGCATTCACACAGAACTGAATTCCAATCCCCCACCACCTCACTAGAGGCGGGAAGTCCCACGTATCAAACAGCCGTTGCAAAGTTGATCATGTGCCTGTTTTGGGAACTCCAATGTGTTCTTATCCCCAACCGTTTGCCCAGAAACATACAGCCCCCAATAATAAATGGCCTATCATCCTAACTAAATTAACAATAAAAGGCAAACCCAAAATTCTTTCCTCTGTTTGCCACCTGAGGTTGTGTACGGACAAAAACCATTAGCCAAGTGTTGTCCATGTAAGAAAGCTTTGAGCCTTGCTGTAGACACGATCTTTCTGGTTCTTCTTGCCAAGTGTAAGCCCCAACCCATGTGAAGACACGTTTCGATATCCTTGCTTCTTTACTGCATTCAAGCCCTTATCCTTGCATGCTGATTACGGCCACATAAATAAGCCCTTTTGCTGCACAATGTGCTTATCACCAACGTTACTGTTTAGTTTATTTTGTTTTTTTTATGAGACGAATGCCAAAACCAATCATGAGTGGTTCTGGGGAGAAAAAGCAGTTCAAGAAGCCTGCGCAGGCTAGTTCTAGGAAAGGTTGTATGAGAGGCAAAGGAGGACCAGAGAATGCTCTTTGCACTTACAAGGGTGTCCGCCAGAGAACTTGGGGCAAATGGGTGGCCGAAATTCGGGAGCCCAACCGTGGTGCTCGTCTCTGGCTTGGCACCTTTGACACCTCCCATGAAGCTGCCATGGCTTACGATGCTGCTGCTCGTAAACTTTATGGCCTTGAGGCAAAGCTCAACTTACCTGAGTTACGAGTTAATAACACCCAGTTTCCAGCCACTCCTGCCAATTCTCAGGTGGCCCAAATTACAAACCAACCTTATCAACTCATGTATAATTGTAGTCCTGCATCTACATCATCAAATACCCCAAGTGTGGAGTCTAATGAGGCGACGCCAATATTATACAACCATGATCCAATCATGTCTTTCTCTAACGAAAGCGTTGATTCGATTCGAAAGGAGGCAGAAAATGAAGTAGATTTTGGGCGAAGTGATAAGGAAATCAAAGAATTTTGGGCAAATTTCAATGTGAACATGCCTTTCGATGATTCGATTTGGATAGAGGCAGCAATGTCGATAAATTTTCCAGTGGTGGACGATCCTGGAATTTTTGCCAGCTATCTCATGGAAGGAACTGGCTGGGACACATCGCTGGCTCCTTGGTGCATGTAGATTGAAGCCCTTGTTTACATGTCCTTCTGGGTCAAAGGAAGTTAAAATAGAAATAAAAACACAATCCTTGTATACACGCTCAGTATTTAGTCCAGCTATAGCCATGAAGCCAAGTTGGGTTATTTTGGCTCTAATCGTGGCTCGTGTACATATGGCTCTAGTCTTGGCTTGTGTACATATGTATTTATGTATCTCTCTAACAAGTCACGTGCTTCTGCTATTGTGATTTATGTTTCTGTAGTGGTCTCTGGCCTGTCATGTACACAAAGTTAAGCCAAAGCAATAAAAGAAACGAAGAGAGAAAAAAAACTATTGTTCATAAAACTATATGCAAGAACGATGGTTTGGCTTGAAGTTGATTTTATAATTTTAAATTTTCATCACACATCATAGAAAAATCTTCTCTCAACTCTTCCAAATTTTCGCATCAAATTTTTATTTTTATTTCTTAATTTCTCTCTTTCTACGTTTTTATTTATTTATTTATAATTTTCTCAACTTCCAGATATTTTTCAACCAACTTTTGAAATTCGGATTTCGGAAGGGTCTGTCGTTGTTAATATCAATACTGTATTTTATCATCCATGATTATTTTTTATTTTAAATGGTCGCAAATTTGTATCAAAAACGGAAAAGAAAAATGGGGCAAATTGTCTAAGGGGGTTTGGTCATCCATCTGGAGCAAGCGTGGAATCACTGTAAGAGTAGGAGGCTGGATCTATGAAATCAGCTGGGCTAAGGATAATCCGCAGAAGAGAAGTTTTTTGTCACTTCCTGGAATGCTACCGTACGTAGCATTTGGATGGATATAAATAATCAGGTCCTTGGAGGAAATGTTTCTACTGTTGCTGATTTGATTATTTGAATTATGCAGAAATATTCTGCATAGAGCTTTATTGAAGCCCTAGTTTTCTGGCTGTATGTTCAAATTGGAGGTTGTCTTGATGTGCTTTTGTAATCTGGGACTCTCTCAAATTCCTTTGCAAGTGTCACAGACTAACATAAAAATCAGATTCTGTGCAACAGTTTCAAATCCACAGCAGGTTTCATATTTGATACGAATTTTTTAACCTCTCTAGTATCAAGAAGCTAACACTCTATGAACTTCTTGACAGGGTTGAAAGAGCTATTTTTATCCTGGATTTACGTAGTTTAATGGCATCATCATCACAAAAAAAATTGATGTGTAAGGTAATGCATACCCATCCAATTGCAATGGCAAAAGATGTAGCTTCTGGGCATACCTATCTTGACCGAAGCTGGACCTTCTGATAAGCTGAGTAGTTAAAAATGCGACATAACCCCAAGCTACATGACCGAGACAATTTCCTTCCATGCACAGAACACACAAAACAAGTTTATGTATAATGTCCTGAGCTAACCACCAGTTAACAAAATAGATATAGAAATATCATTTCACAGACAGCTGGAAAGCTTTTGGTGCACCATTGATTGGCTTTGAATTTTACACTGGCTAAGCCTGATACAAACTATTCCATGCTTTTTCACTCAAGTGTAGTAGGTCAGTCCTTCGATTTCAATTGCTTAGAACAAAGAGAAGCCTTAAAATCGTTAGAGTGGCAAAGTTTGGCGCTATGCAGCAAGCACTGTTTTGAAGGAAACATGGTCACAAAACAACCGAGATATACATCGTCTGCATATTATCTGCAAGATTGTACATATGACACGAGATTTTGAATCATCTGGAGAAGGATTCTCGAATATCCACAACGAAACTAGTACAGTCTACATGCACCTTCTGTTCAGGCTCATGAAATAGGATCGCATCATAATGCAGCCACTGATGAAGCTTTGAAGGAGTTCCAGTATCTGTTATGCAGCCATAAAGAATCAGCTTCTACAGCATACCCATCTTGATTACGATGCCAACCGAAATGCGCATGGGTCTTGTTCTTTATATCAAGAATGCCATGACCAAAACTATGTTCGCGAAAAGCTGAGTAGCTGGGCTGTGGCTCTGTCATGCTGCATGAAGAAAAAACCATTTACCATTGGCTGTTTGTTTCAACCAACATATACTTGTTAACCATTCGTGAAACAAAAAATAAACATAATCGTAAATACCCAGTCACTAATCCTTCTAGGTTCCCTCCATCTCCGATGGTTATGTAAACCGGGGCAGATTGATCTCTTATGGGAGTGCACAAACCGTTCACAATATTGTATGCAATATTTGAGATACGTTCCTGCAGTGCGAAACAATTCAAATGCTGTTACATGTAAATATGATTCATTGCATTTTTCCTTTTCCATTAACTTAAAAAACTTATCCTGAACAGGACAATTTACTCAAGAAACATTTGTATACTGTTCCATTTATCTAATTTACTAGTCTTGTGTCCACATAAATAGCAGCATTTGCACCAGAAATCTTTAAAGAAGCTTCAATCCCCTGCATAACATTCTGAACCTATCTTAACTAATGGAACGAAAAGGGTAAAACAACTTCACTTTGAGATTTATGCTTGTTCTGCATCAGCCAGTAGGAGACTTTCTATAAAGTAAAATTACAAAAATGTGTGAAGAACAAGTTCTTCACTAAGAGCCCTTAACAAGGAAGTGATTGATTCCTAGATGGCAGGATTCATGCTATCTGCCAGTAGAGCATAAGCAATGAAGGGGATACCTGCACAACTGACACCAAGTACCATAAACTTATGTTCTTGAATCTTTCGTTTCAGCCACTAGCACACATTATCGAACTGATTCCAAAGCATGAATAGGGGATGGATGGATAGACAACAAATAACATAGGGAAAAACTCGAATTTTTTTTAAAAAGGCATGGGCATTATTCACTGTCACTGAAGTTGAAAAGGTCCAAAATGCTTTATATAGAGAAAATATCATAAATGGAGAATGTGCGTGCACTTACAGATCGCTCATAAGCATGAACATGGCCAGCAAAGACAACATCGACTTTGTACTCCACAAACCACGGCTCATACATCACTCTCATGGTTTCCCCTTCCATGTAATGATGTACATAACTGTTATACATTGGCGAATGCATAAGAACAATAAGCCATGGTGTCTCAGTCCTGTTTACTTTCGGCAGCTCCTTTTCTAGCCATTTGTATTGAGGAGTGTATTTTCCTGCAAGTAGCACTCTACTCTGAGATTCTTCCTAAATCAAGTCTTTGACATAAGTACAAGCAAATGTAGTACCATCAGCAGTGACATGTTAAGACGAGTGAAATCCAAGTCTTTTGCGGCAGAAAATTATGTTCAATAACAGTTTAACTGGCTTTGCCTTAGAAGACACTTTTTAACTAATTCTAATTCAGCGTAACAAGAAGATGAGCATATAAATTGCAAATGATGGAATGCATCGCAAAATTGTCTGCTACTGAAGCCGCAGAGAAAAAATATCTTATCAACTTCTTTAATGGAGTATCTAAAAGGACTAAGAATGGAAACCAACCATAAGCTGAGTAAGAGGACAAAGCAATGATGTATGCTGAAGCTCTCTTGATGGAGTGCCACAAAGGAGATGTACTTCCCGATGCTCTATATGGGACATGATAACGGTGAGTATAAGGCTTAAATGGTTTACGTTCACCCTGCCATGACATTGACAATGTTCATTCAAGAACACATGGTTAAAATCTCAGAGAAACACAAAATATAAGCATCAACCTCAATAAATTGGAAACAAAAGGCTAAAGTGAAGTAAGAATTAGATGCATACAATTTGAGGAGCAAAGTCAAGTTCATGATTCCCTGCAGTCCAAATCCAAGGTTGATAAGCAGCACTTCTTTCTATGAACCTTCCCCAAGTATCCCACCTTGTGTTGTCATGAAATGGATAATCATCGGCATAAGAGAGGTCCCCAACAAACAATAATGTCTGTCCCTTTGTTGGATTTAATTCGTAGTGGGTAACTGTCCTGTTTGAATCATGAGTCTGACCAAGATCCCCTGCTCAAAATGTTAGATCAAGTAAGACGAACATATAATCTTAAAGAAACATTGATACGAGTATAAATTAACCAAATTGTTTTCTAGAAATTGAAATTAAAAAATGAAAAAGAATCTGAACTATACCTATGAGACCAAAAGTGTATGGGACATCAGGGCCAGGTCTAGGGGGAGTAATAAACCAGAATTGTCTTGTTGTGTTTCCAATTCCAACCTCATAGTAATATTTGGTATCAAACTGCAATAACAATAAAATTGAATTACAAATTACAATCTTGTTATTTCTAGTTCATAAACAATATTCTTGAGTGAAAAAAATAGCGTAGCGCATACCTCCAAATCCTTAATGGTGCAGTGGTGAATATAACCAGAAGTGTAATTGAAGTATTTATACTTCAAAATAAAGCCATCTGCACTATTCTTGAACTCACTATTTTCAGCCCAGTAAAGCACTGTCTTCGAACCAGGCTCGTCTGGTGTAACCCAGGACACAATCACACCCTTTCCCTCGTGGTCTCCTTGTGTTATATGAACCTTCGGTCATTACATAAAATATGAAAAACAGAACATCATAGTATAGCAAGTAGTAAAATTCAGAATCTGAAAGAAACAACACTCACCTGTTGAGGAGCGTTATATCCAGGAGGAACTCTAAACACATCACTGTCTAATGGCATATCAAGAGATAAGTTGGCATTTCTTACATAACTGCTTGTTATTCCTCCGCTAGAAATCTCTGCAAATCCCAATATCAATCCCACCAAAAAAACCCCAGCAAAACAGCCCCATCTCACTTCCATCTCCACCTGATCAACTTCCAATGCCAGTGACTAATTGAATATTTAAAGATCCACTTCTCCCACGGCAGAAGAGCTAGATTTTTTTTTGCGATGCTAATAAATGGCGCGAGGAATATTCATGCTTCGATACGGATATTTAAGCGGTGAGTCAGACCCCACGTGGCACTTTTCAGACATTGAAGCTGGAACCCCGTTGTTTTTTATTAGTAATTTTTAATTTATTTTACTGTTTAATTTATCACGGAAAAGGGTGAAGAAGAGTGTTAGGTAACTTAGATTGGATTAGTTACCGGACACGCAGGGAAAAACTGTCAGTCAAAGAAGCCACGTGGAGCCCTTTGGTCAAAGCAAATATCCTTCCCAATAAAGGACGACGTGTAGTCTATCTCCTAGTAGTTGTTCTCGTGATCAAGACAGGTCGTCTATATAGATCGGCATGGCCTCTAAAACCGACATGAGCCTTTTTTGTTGCCTTTCGTTTCGGTGTAAAAAACTGACAGAAATGAGATGGATAAAAAAAAACAAAACAAATGCAACTCTCAGTCAATACATGAAGGCAGTAAATATTGAAAAAACCTATTAAAGAGGAGAAGAAATGTACTTTCAAGAACAATCCACTCCTAAAAATTGAACGGAATGTTCATCTGAAAAAAAAAAAAAAAAAAAAAAAAAAAAAGAAGAGGGATGCTAAATTACATGAAATCATATATCTATAATTTTTTTAAAAAAATTATTTGATTACCATGAACTACACATGATAGCTTGAAAATTGACACGTGGTGTTATTTTTTTCAATTTAAAATTTTAAATGAAAGTAACAATGATTCTTGAAAGAGAAAAAAGAAATGCAATCCGAAAAAACATTGTAATTTTTAATTCTCTCTCTTCGTCGGGGAGCAACATGACTTTTATTTGAAGTTATCATTTGATACAACATAATAAAAAATCCTAGTACGAGTCATCGAATAGGTACCAATGTCTAACCACGTAAAATCTTTGTGTTACATAATTGTTATTGTCTCTCCACTTATTTTTTTGCTTGATTGGTTTCTTGATAAAATAAGAGATAATATGAATTTCGTCGTCAATATGGTCGTTGTTATTTCCAATTTTCTAAGTGATCAAAATTCTTTTTCGTTACGGATTTGTTGAATTTGTCGCTAAATAAATCTAAACAAATCATCTATAAGGTCTTATATCTATCATCATGCCATCACTATTTCAATTTATATTCATTGCTAAATAGCGATAGAATGAGTGTCGCTAAATTATAATCGCTAAAATCCTTGTAATTTTATCCTTAAATCCAAATCTAAACAAAGGAATTTTTAATTTTTTCTAGCTACCGTATAAGCAAATAATTAATATGTTATCATGAACTCATTAAAGTAGAAATCTTCCGTCTCCATGGAGAAAGACATCTATGTGGAGCTAGCGACATCCAATCACTTCTTGAAAATTACGAGTGATTTTTGTGGAACACTTAATGGAACCAAGATGTCGAACAAAACAAATAAATAATAAATAAGTGAATTAATTATTTCAATATAATATATAAAAATATAAAACTAGTAATTACATGTAAAACGTATTATTTATCGGTTATTCATGACTCAAATGGTTCGTCCATCATCGGATCGGCTTCTTGGAACTTAAGAAACTGTCATGGTGACACCCAAAGCAAATGACACTACCGAAGGAGGCATAATTGGCAAGGACACTACCGACGGGGATGTAGACGTGCCGACACCACTATCAAGGTCATGACCTCGTATAATAGACGATTCTAGCAAATCAACTACAACCCTAGCTTTAATCTTAGAAACATCCCAACAATCTCGAAGATCGCATTTCAAACTAAGATACGCCATAGAACATACTTAAGCCGTTTGTGTTGTTAGAACAAAAGGTTCGTATATATTAAAACTCGTTTTACGAGTATATCTCAATTAGTCTAAATTACGGATGAACTCTTATTCGATGTACGATCAAACCAATAGCATTTGAACACAACAATTCTTTTGATTGATAGTGCACGATACTCTAATCGTAGAATTTTGATCAATATCCCGTAATAGTCACTCTCACTTGCATTGCAATTTTCTCATAATGTATCCAAGCACAAAATCATATCTCATTAAAAGGTATTTAACGGTGTCAAACGTTTCAAAATTTCGATTCCGACACTTACGAGTGATTGCAAGGGTAACTTAACTTTTTTTCCGTCCATACATTAAAGATAAGTAATAACAAATACAATAAATTTTTCAACCTCATTCATGAAATCATCATTTAAATACCCATCGATATGCCTTACATTCATGCACGATTGGACTTCATTATTTTGTTTCTATGTTTCTAAGACAACAAAAAATTATTTGATCAATTAATAATTTTTTTAAACATCTAATAAAATTTTGACAAAATCTACCTTGTAAATTGCACATTTTTCAATTAACGGATACTTGAAATAATCACGGACATTAAAATTAAATCAACCAACAATCAATTTGTGCATGCCGAGATCTATAATCATCTCGGATACTCCATCAAAATTAAATTTCAAGCTTATCCCCCGAGCTCTATCGCGAGCATTGAACCAATCTTATTTTTTCTTAATTTTTGAGAGTCTCCAATCCCTTAGGTTCGATACATTACGACATATCTCAACACACTTCAATAATTATATACAAGATAATTAAATTAATTAATTCTAATTCTAACTTAATTAAATTTAAAATAACAATAAATTAATAAAATTTTAATTTGACTAATTAAAAAAATTAACCTAATTAATTAAATAATTATAAATCAAATTAACTTAAATAAATTTAAAATTAAAATTAAACAATTAAACAAAATTAACCTAATTGATTAATTAAATATAAATAAAATAAAATTAATTAGGTTTAAAATAACAATTAATTACCAAGTTCTAATATAAATAAAATTAAAATTTGATCAATTAAATAAAATTTTAATTAATTAATTAGACATAGATCAAATTAAATTAATTACATTTAAAATAACAATCAATTACCCAATTCTAATATAAATAAAATTAAAATTCAACCAAACAAAAAAAATTAATCTAATTAATTAAATAGATATAAACCAAATTAACTTAATTAATTATAACTCTAACCAAATTAAATTTAAAATAATAATTAATTAAAATTTTCAAATATAAATAAAAATAAAATTCAATCAATTAAACAAAATTAACCTAATTTATTAACTAAATATAAATAAAATTAACTTAATTAATTAAAAATCAATTATGATTAAATTTAAATAACAATTAATTAATAAATTTGCCTAACAATTAAAAAAATTTAACAATTTAACAAATTAATCAACAAAATGACAATTAAATATATACAAAATTCAACCAATTAAATAAAATTAAAGTAATTAATTAACTAAACATAAATAAAATTAACTTAATTAATTAAAAATCAATTATGATTAAAATTAAATAGCAATTAATCAATAAATTAACTTAACAATTAAAAAATTAACAATTTAATAAATAAATTAACGAAACAATAATTAAATATTATAAAATTATAAATCAAACAGTTAAATTTAAAATTAACCTAGCAATTACATTAAATTACTAACTTTAATAAACAAAATAAAAGAGAGAAAAAACTTACGTAATTCGAATAAAATTAGAACAAGAGGAAGGGAGGAAAAATGGGTTTTTTTTTTTTTTTAAAAAAAAGAGTTTGGTGTGGGTGTAGATTGATTGAAAGTGCCATAGAGTTTGGTGGTGATTTGAAAAGGAGGGAGATCGACGACTAGTTAGAGAAGGAGAAGAAGAAGAAGAAAATGAGAAATTGGAAGAAAAAAAGGATTTGAATTAAAGATTAAAAAATAACGATAGACACGATGCTCTTGCTGATACTTCACTAATTTATCAAAAAATAAGTAGCTTATTAATTAAAATTGACCGTCCATTTTTTACATATCATGCTAATTTGATAGCTTTAACTTTAAAAAATCAATGATTTTTTCCATCATTAATTTGCAAGAAATATTTCTTTTAACAACAAGTAATCCATCATTAAAACCAAATTAAACATTGAAAATAGCTATAGATAAGCAATTTCATCACTATATTTTGTAAAAACATTCGTTCTACATTATTTCTAAAGCTCTAAAGAATATTTTGTTACCAAATTTAATTACGAATTAGTATCCGTTCCTAACAATACATCACTAATTTTATTTAATATTTAGCTACGGAAGTTTATTGATCACTATTTGACACTTATTTTATAGCATCATCATCTTCCACCACCAAAGCTAATCCATAGACAATAATACTACCATCAAAATCAACGACAAAAAGAGAGTAGAATCTTTCATCTCACCAAGTTACGAAACTTAATCAATCATTGTTGTTATCGTCATCGGATGTCGACGTCGTCGTTATTGTTTTCATTTATGAAGAATTGAGTTACCAAAGCCTAAGGCTTAGTATTCTTCACCTCAATGTCACCACTCGCCGACCAAACGGTTCTCTGTTCATGTAGTGTCAAGGTTAGCAAGATTTGTATTAGTCAAATTAGTCAATTTTTCTTTATTGATCAATTTTGATGTTGCTCCTTTTTTTTTTTTTTTTTCTTTATGAGGCAATAGACCATAAAATTAAATAGTAAATAGTAATTGAAAAGACCGAGATGGTAAGCGAGAAATTTTGATATTACATATAATTATATATTTTTTGTAGAGTATTTAATTTTTTTTTCTTTGGTATGAATATTTTGGGACGAAGTTGAAAAAGGGTGTCACTCGAATACAAGTGGATGAGATTGCAACTCGCCGTTAATCAAATGCTCGTACGAGATTGAAGAAGCAACTACTTTCACTCGAAATTTGTAACCCTAATTTGTTTGTGTTCCGCAATAGTTAATTAGGTTGTTAATTTGCCTCTAGTAATGTACTTTGCTCGTTTAATTTTCCCTTCATTTTAATCTCCCTAATATAACTTTAGAGGAAATCTCAATGTAGTCCCAAACACACATTATATATATATATATTGAATCGCAAGACCAATAAAGTTTATCAATTAGGTACTAAATGTTTCAAAAAATTTCAATCGAGTTTTTTTTATTGATGTTCATCAACATTTTTATCATAATTTGTTCAAGATGATGTCATTTTAGTGCATAAATATGCACATTAGATCGAAAATATTAATATACATTAATTTTTTTAATCAAATTTGAGATCATTTAAGTGCATTAAATATGCAAATTATATTTAAATTATAAAATAAATCAACAAAAAGACATAGTTAAGACATGCGATAAATATTAAAAATGTAATTAATAAAATTTATAGGTTTAAGATGTAATTAAGAATTGACATATAGATTTAGAAAAGCAATTTTAACATTTAACTACTCTAGACATAAATTTTCTACAAGCAACAATAGTCAACACTAGCATAATAGTAGTCATCTTGACTATAGGAGACAAAATCTCGAGTGTGTATAGCTTTTTTTCTTTCCGGTAACATAGTTAAAGTCCATGTCCGATTCTTCTCAAAAAATCTCATCTCTTCTTCCATAGTCGACTCCCACTTGATAGAATTTTTCACTTGCATTGCTTCACTAAAAAATCATGGTTCTCTAGCATCGGTTAAAAGCAAATAGTTCCAAAAAGGTGAATACCTTTGAGTGGATTTGGTCCGTTAGACCTCCTTAGCCGAGGAATAAGAGCTAGTGGTTCTAGTTCAATTTTAGCTTCTCTATCTTTGTCATTTGAGCTCTCAAGAGACCTTATCTCTTCTTCCATGTCTAACTACCACTTGACATAATCTTTCACTTTTGTTGCTTCAATAAAGAATTCGGTTCTCTAACATCAATAAGCAAGCACATTTTTCAAGGAAGGTGAATACCATTGAGTGGGTTTTGGTGATCAAGGTGTTCATGATCTGGTTTAGTGCGAGGAATTCATATGTGTTTAGGGTGGTTTGATGTTGTAGGATAAAATATTTATTATAAGGACAAAAATCAAATATAATAAAATTTTAATATTTATTATAGGAAAAAAAATCAGATATAATAAAATTTAAATGACTAAAATAATAAAAGGTTACAAAATAGGGAGTAAAATTAAAATAAAATTCGCTAAAAGCAAAAGGAGGGGCTAAAAAAATGTTAGAAGAGAAAAACAAAACTCGATTTATTATAGAGAAAAAAATTAAATATAATAAAATTTTAATGATCAAAATAGAAAATGTTTAAAATAAAATGTTAATATTTATTGTAGGAATAAAAATCAAATATAATAAAATTTTAATAACCAAAATAAAACAAGTTAGAAAATAGAGGCTAAAGTAAAAATAAAATTCACTAAAAGCCAAAAGAGGGGCTTAAAAATGCGACAAGAAAGAAAAAAACTGATTTATTATAGGGAAAAAAATCAAATACAATAAAATTTTAATGATCAAAATTAAAAAAAGTTACAAAATGAAGACTAAAATATAAAATTTATTAAAAGCTAAAAGAGGGGTTTAAAAAAATACGACAAGAGAAAAGGAGAAAAAAGAAAAAGCTCGACTTGTGTTTTAAAGTATTAATAATTTTTTGGTTTTATGAAACCAGGCATACCATTAATTAGAGACATATACATTATTACAAAAGTTTTCAACTTTTTTCAATAAATGAACCATTTCCCACTTAGAACATTATGGAAATTATGATACTACCCAAGTTTACACCTTATCATCTCGTAGTTCTAACATTTTTTTTTTTGTGGTAAAAAAAAGAGGATATTGAACAAATCATGATTTCTTCCTTTCTTTCTTTCGTTTTTTAAAATATACTAGTTATCTTTCCGTGCTACGTTATAGGTCCGGTAGAAAAAAATTATTTTAAAATTTTTTATTCACTTAATTTTTTTATTTATTTTTATATAAATTTTTTGCTTAAAAAAACATAAATCATTATTCTTTATGGATTCATTTTAAAATAAAAAATATAATAATTTTAACTAAAATATTAATCAAGAATTAAAAAAATTTAAAATATAGTTTTCATAATATTGTATTCTAAAAATTAAAGTTATAATTAATGGATAGACTCTTATAAAAATTAACAAATGAGAAAAAAATTCTTATTTAATGTTGATGAAAAGATTAATTTTTAAAATTATATGCGCAACGCTACTAATAGATAGAATACCTAATTAAATAAAAAAATACATTTATGAAAATTATACAAAGAACAAGTAAGTACAAAAAAAAAAGAAAGAATATATCATATAACTATAAAAAATATTCAAAAATAGCGATTGATTTTTTAAAATTTTAACACTTAATTAAATAAAAAAAGAACATAAATTGATGAAGCAAAATTGATTTTTCAAAATAACATAATTGATGAAAAAAGCAAAAGCAAAAAACCACGTGTAGTGCATCGGTTAGAGGATTAAAATTTTTATTTTAAAATTTTAGAGATCAAAATAAAATAAACCTAAAAATTAAATAAAAAATCTAAATTGATTGAAAAAAAAAGAAAACAAAAGGAGAAAAAACATGTATAGTGAAACTAAACCAAAAAAAAAAAAACAAACCTTGCTTGTAAAAAGTTGAAGAAAGGCCGGCAGAGGAGAGAAAAAAAAGGTTAAAAGTAAAGTGTTTTAGAGTAAAAAAAAAAAAGCTAAAAAAATATTATCTATTAAATAATGAAAGAAACGATAAGTATATAGTAAATGTGTTTTTTTGTTTTAGAGTAGTTGTAATGCCGGTTGAATTTAGTGCACTCAGCGTTTACGCCTGATGTGATTATTAAAACTTCCAACAGAAATTGCCCGGACCGACAATTCTCCTCTTTCGCCATAGACCCTTGAAAGATGCTGGATTGGATGATAAGCGTTGGGGGTCAAAAAATTCAGTCGGAGAAACAGATTCGGTTGAAAGGACAATGTTCAATTGGGCCGCTAATAAAGCGTTACACGGTCAAAGCTCTGTGTTCTGGGTTCAGTGCTGGTATTCTAAAGCTGGATGTGCTAGTTCTGATGGAAAGGGAATTCAGGGCCATTTGTTGACTGCCACGTGGGTGAGCGAGTGGTGGGAAAGGATAAAAAATTGGAGGGAAAGCACGTACAGATGGTCTTATTGTGGTACACGTGTCAATTTTTCAGATCATCACAACATGTGCCGTTAACGTCAGAAAAATGATGGGACAGGCTTATCATTGATCGAAAAACAATCCAGTTTGACCATCAGTTAAAAGGTGTTTTCGGATAATTTAGCCAAAAAAGAGTTACCGAAGATTTGCTGGTGGAGATAACTTTCACTTTTTTCTTTTTTCTCTGGCCCCTCGATTGCCTAAAGCACTAACTCCGTGACCTCTCTTTTAATTCAAGTAATTAATTGCAGTCCTCTTCTCATCAAAGAGTCGAAGAATTCTATGTTTTAGAATTTATTTTTGGTTCTATGAAGCAAGGCATATGACTAATTAGAAACAAATTCAGATGGAGAACCTATGCATTATCACAAAATTTCCAACTTTTTTCAGCAAATTAACCATTTCCCAGTCTACAAGATTAATTATATCGATAATCTCCTGTACGTATGACACCACCCGTGACTAAATTCATCATTTACTTCTGTATATGGAGAGTTTTATACTTTTTTCTTTCGGTGGTTAAAAAAAAAAAAGAATATTGACAAAATCATAATTTCTTTCTTTCTCTCTTTTTTGAGAAACATACCCTTAGCATTTACCGGTTTAATTTAGTGTGTACTAATCGTTTACGCTAGATATAATTATTAAAACTTCTAACAGAAATTGACCGGACTGGCAATTCCCCTTCTCTTTCGCCATGGACCCTTAAAATTAAAATGATGGATTGGATGATAAGTGTTGGGGTGAAAAAATTCTGTTGGAGAAACAGATTTGGCTGAAAGGACGTTTTGAAGAACTAACAATATGTATATGGTTGTATTCTTCTTCTCTAACATTAACATAATTATCAACTTTGGCATTTTGAACAGTTCCAACAATATCAATTTTTTGCCAGTTTTCCAAATTCAGTAACATATCATTTGCGAAACCGGTAAAATGCCTCCAAACACAAATCTGAAAAAAAAAAAAAAAGGTGAAAAAATTACCACTTTAACGTGATCAGGACAAGTTATTAAGGATGTCAAACCAATCGTATGCAATGCAAGCACACTTGGTTGCCATGAAGACAAGAATCCCGGTCAGCTGTCCAAAGCAATGCCACTTGTTAAATTCCAAAAGTAAAATACCTTTACTCAATCAATGAACCATACAGCTACTTGCAGAGAGATATAGATTGTACTATGTGTTTTGATTGGAATCTTGATCCATCTTTCAAAATGCAGAGAATTGAACCGGCTGGTGATGAAGCTTCTTCTAATCAGCCTCTTGTTCAACCATCATTAGAGAAATTCCCACAAGGGCTCCATCAAACCGAAATGGTAATAGATCTCGAAAATTCTAATCTTTTTTTGATACACACCTGCTTAGTTCACTTTAGTAACATGAATTTTGGGAGATGATATTGCAGGAAGAAAGCTTGTTAACGACTTTGGTAAGCAATGGTTGTGTTGATCTTCGAGGCAGAATTGCGGACAAGCAAACTACTGGAGGATGGAAAGCTACTCCTTTTATTATAGGTTCTTAATTAAACCAGCACTTGCAAATTTGTCAATGGTTTCAGGAATAATGGAGGCTGATATGTTTTCCTTTTGGTGCTTGAAGTGAATGAAGTTGCTGAGAGGTTAGCATTTTTTGCTACATCTGTGAACATGGTGGCTTACTTGGTCACTGAAATGCATCAGTCAATTCCCAAAGCTGCAACTCATGTGACTGACTGGATTGGAGCTGCCTATGTACTTACACTCCTAGGAGCGTTTTGTGCTGATGCATACCTGGGCCGATTCAAGACCATCATTATTTTCTCTTGCATCTATACAGTGGTAAGAAACCAGGATTTTCCCTGTTTCATTTCCTTTCTACATGACCTAACACCGATTTGGAACTAGCGCCTCTGGCGTCCCCAATTTTCAATTGGGCCTCTAATAAAGGGTTACACTTACACAATCAAAGCTCAGAATTCTTGCCAGCAAATCATAGGGTGTTGAATTCTAGATGCTGGCCTATATTCACTGTTGTACTCAATCACGATTCTTCATTTATTGTTTTGCATGAATTTTTGGGCCTTGAAAAAGCTTGGATCCGAGTACTTGAGAATTGAGATCGGATAAATTTGCTGTTTGACCAAATTGTCTCTGATGGAGTTTTTTGTCTTGATTGCAGGGAATGACATTAATGACAGTGTCAGCTTCTATAGACAGCTTACGTCCACCACAGTGCAAGGTAAGGCCATGCCCAGAAGCAACCGATGGCCAGACAGGGTTCCTCTATGTTGCACTGGCACTAATAGCTCTTGGTACCGGCGGTATCAAGCCTTGTGTCTCATCTTTTGGGGCTGACCAATTCGATGAGGCAGACGAGAAAGAAGTGCCAAAGAAATATGCGTTCTTCGATTGGTTCTTCTTTGCAATAAATATGGGTGCTATCTTGGGTTTAACAGTATTCGTATATATCCAACAACAAAAGGGATGGATTTGGGGTTTTGGGCTACCTACAGCGGCCATGGCTTTCTCCATCATCATTTTAGTAGCTGGCATTCGTTATTATCGTTTCCAAAAGCCCATGGGGAGCCCTTTCACCAGGTTCGCGCAGGTCATGGTGGCTTCTGTAAGGAATCATTTGAATGGAGTTCAGGTGCGACATCAAACCGAGCTTTACGAGGTTAATACTAAGGAATCTGACATCAAGGGCGCCCAAAAGCTGTCTCACACAATACAATATGGGTAAGTTTTTACCCATTGTGGTTGCTCTCTCCCCGAAATGCAATTAGTTCAGTTTCTTGGACAAGGCAGTTTTACTCTGTGTTCGCTAACGCTATTTTTTAGCACAAGAACCACAATCTTTCTTTTCTTTTTTGCTTAATTCAAGTGACGTGTGTATCTTGGTGCAGTTTCTTGGACAAGGCAGCAGTTGTAACAGACCCTGATGCCGACACCAGTGACCGTTGGAGAGTTTGCACAGTAACACAAGTAGAAGAATTCAAGTCTTTTATTAGAATCCTCCCAGTATGGGCATCCACAATTGCCTTCTCCGTCATCTATGCTCAGCTCTCAACCTTCTTCATCAGCCAAGCCACCATCATGGACCGAAAACTCGGCTCCAACTTCACAATTCCGGCAGGTTCAGTCCCCATCTTCTGTACCCTCAATGCCCTCATCCTCGTCCCCATCTACGAAAAAGTAATAGTCCCTGTCCTCCGTAAACACACCGGCCTCACCCGCGGCATCACATCACTGCAACGTATAGGAGTTGGTTTATTTCTTTCAATATTTTCACTAGTATCAGCTGCGTTGGTCGAAAAAAAGAGACGTGACAGCCCTAACCCTTCAGCGATGAGTTTGTTTTGGTTGTTTCCACAAATATTCTTATTAGGCAGTGCAGAAGTCTTCATCTACGTAGGACAGCTAGAATTTTTCTATGATGAAGCAACTGATGGAGCACGAAGTATTAGCAGTGCAGTGTTTCTTAGTGAGGTTGGGATTGGAAGTTGGTTAAGTACTGCATTAGTTACGATCATTGAAAAAGCAACTGGTGGAGAAAAAAATGGGTGGTTAAGGAATGATCTTAATAAAAGCAGGCTTGATTATTTCTACTGGGTGTTATCTGTGATTAATTCGGTCAATTTCCTAGTTTATTTGTGGGTTGCTTGTATTTATAAGGGTAGGGGTGTCGGAGTTGGGAGTGTGAGAGATGAGAGTGTGGTTGGTGATTGTGATGGGGACAGTGATGGTGGAAGAAGAGCGGATAAAGATCAATTTCAAAGGGTGGCCTTATAAGCAATTGCATTTGCTCGATTTAATTTTAATTATTGAATTTCAAAATTTTATTGGAGAAAAAATTGTTGAAAAGTCTATTTCAAGAATTACATAGCAAACCATTATTTATTTTTATTCATTAAAAGATTTGCGAGTTTTGAATTACATAATGAAAGCTGGTTTTTTCGAATTACATAATAATTAATTAAATTAAAATTATAAAAAAAATTGAATTTATTTTAATAAAAAATTATCTGATACACAATGGTTATACTATATTTAGCACTTAGCGTGTACTTTATAGCGTACTTTTCTTCTTCCCAATGTTTTTTTTTTAAAAAAAAAAGCAATCTCAGCCGATCATTGTATTGAATTTTTTTTCATTTTATAAGTCCTCGGTTGACTTCAAAAATATTTGTTGTCTAAAACAATTGAGAGAGAAGGAAAAAAAAAATATTCATGTTAAGAAATACTATTTAATATACGGTCTCAGATATTTTAAAATTAAATTTATAAAAATATTAATCACAAAAATTGAATAATATACTTAATTTATAGCGAATACGCAAAACTTTATGGTTATCTCATAGCAATTTTAGTTTTAGATATCTAGAAAATATAAATTGGCCCACAACTCTATTCTCACGCTATGATTATTCTTTTTGTTCCAAAATGTTACTTAATTTTATAAAATTTCATGCAAATAACCTTAGAATTTAGTTTCATTACAAATTCGTTTATCAATATTCAAAATGCAAGAATTAAATTGAAAATGAGGGATAACAATGGATCTTTATCTTCATATACATTATCCTCTCTCAAAGCAGTTTCAGACTTAGAAAATTTGCCATCACATAGTTGCTCACAGTAGGTGTCATGAGCAATTGAACCAATGCCAACGAATTAGAAAAATAAAAAAGTAATTCCTGAAATGTAAAACCTATTTGAATCAAAGATTAAACTCAAAATCTTGACATAATCCAGATTTCAACGTAAGAATGCGAAATTGTTCCGCTCCCTCTTCACCGCCAGGTCGACTCGTCTGGTTAGAAGCCAAAGAAATGTACTCTCTAATCGTTCCTTCAATCTGAGGCATTCCATACGTTACCTGAAGAAGGACTACTGACCATCGACTCATAGCAGTCCATTCACTCATCAGGACTTGCCATAGGTTCGTTCCATAGAGTCCTTTCCTTACCTCATGTGCCTGTGTTGTCATCCTTAGATAACTAAGGTAGGCCCAGGAAAAGCACAAAAAGAAGACTTAGATCTCGTTCTCATTTCGGTCTAATTAAACACCATCGTTGTTGTCGGTAAAAGTCCTAAACTAGTGGAGGAATTTTAAGGGGACGTAGTGTAGCCGGTCCCGATTTTCGACGAGAAAGGGTGCAACTGTCGATGAACCTTCTTTCTTCTTCGAGATTCGCTATGTTTTTTTAACATTAACATCAGCTTTGACAACTCTTGAATAAACATGAGATGTTGTGTTTGAAGTTTCTGATTAGGGAAAATGATCGAGGTTACTCTTCTATCACTCCAAGCTAAGGACGTAAAAGGTACAACTCTTGAATAAATTGTTAGGGTAACAAGCCATGGTTTTGGGAGCTGGTTCGGCCATTAATTCATTTGATTTGATTTTTTTAAAAAAAAAATTACCAGGCATTTTCTTCTGTTAAATTTTTGTTGTCTTGGTTGATTATACGAACTTTCATAAGTATTAATTAGATTGACTCCATCAGAAAGCCAAAATCTGCCGATTGATCTCTACTAAGTTTTTTTAATCTAAAAAGTAGGGCGGCACTTTGAATAGTTCCAACATCATAGTGCATGTCTTCTTTTTGCCAGTTTCCCTAATTCAGGAACAAATCATTTGCAAAGCCGGCAAAATGCATCCAAACACACAACTGAAAAAGGTTCCAAAATTACCATTTCAATGTGGCATCAGATCAAGTTATTGAGGATAAGAGAACAATCGTAAGCAAGTGGACTTGGCTTTCATGACAAGTAGTTTACAGCTGTCACAAGCAATGGTGCATGTTATATCAAACTCTAAATGGACATAAATTAACTTTATCGCTAATACAGAGAGAATAGATTCTACTACGTACTGTAATTAGAATCTTGATCCATCTTTTGAAAATGCAGAGAATTGAACCGGTTGGTGATGAGCTTTTTGATCAGTCTTTTATGCAACCATCATTAGAGAAGTTCCCACAAGAGGAGCTCCATCAAACGACTATGGTAATGGTTCTTGAAATTTCAAGTGTTTTTTGCTTCACGCAGGCTTAGTTCTTTTTAGTAACATGAAATCTGGGAGATGATTTTGCAGGAAGAAAGCTTGTCAACAACTTTGGTAAGCAATGATCTTGTTGATATTCGAGGTAGAATTGCAGACAAGCGAACCACTGGAGGATGGAAAGCTGCTCCTTTTATTATAGGTTTTTAATTAAACCAGCACTTTCAAATTTGCCAATGGTTTCCGGAATAATAAAGGCTGATATTTTTTTTCGTTTTGGTATTTGCAGTGAATGAAGTTGCTGAGAGGTTAGCATTTTTTGCTGTAGCTGTGAACATGGTAGCTTACTTGGTCTTTCAAATGCATCAATCACTTCCAGATGCCGCAACTCATGTGACTGACTGGATTGGAGCTGCCTATGTCCTTACACTTCTTGGAGCGTTTTGTGCTGACGCATACCTGGGCCGATTCAAGACCATCATTATTTTCTCTTGCATCTATGCAGTGGTAAGAAATCAGGACTTTCCCCTTTTAATTCCCTTTCTACGTGGCCTATGACCAAGCTGGGACTACGGCCTTCGGTTTCCATGATGTCATTGGGCATTTAATAACCAAGACAATGGTGTCATACAATCAAGGCTCTGAATTCTGGACCCGCAAATAAATCATCGAGTAAATTCGTGATGTTGGTCTATGTTATCACTGTTGGACTCGGTCATGATCTTTTATTTACTGGTTCTTGAAAATCATAGAGCAGTACTCGAGAAATGAGATGGGCCTAAATTTGTTGTTTGAGCGAATTGTGTTTTTGGTCTTGATTGGCAGGGAATGGTATTGTTGACCCTCTCAGCTTCTATAGACAGCTTACGTCCACCAGAATGCAAGGCAAGGCCATGCCCACAAGCAACCGATGGCCAGACAGGGTTCCTCTATGGTGCACTGGCCCTTATAGCCCTTGGTACCGGCGGTATCAAGCCATGTGTCTCGTCTTTTGGGGCTGACCAATTCGATGAGGCAGACGAGAAAGAAGTACCAAAGAAATATGCATTCTTCAATTGGTTCTTCTTCGCCATAAATATAGGTGCTCTCTTGGGTATAACAGTATTGGTATATATACAAGAGAAAAAGGGATGGGCTTGGGGTTTTGGGCTACCTACAGGGGCCATGGTTATTTCCCTCATCGTATTAGTAGCTGGCATTCGTTTTTATCGTTTCCAAAAGCCCATGGGGAGCCCTTTCACCAGGTTCGTTCAGGTCATGGTGGCTTCTGTGAGGAATCATTTGAATGGAGTTCAGGTTCCACGTCAAACTGAGCTTTACGAGGTTAATACCAAGGAATCTGCCATCAAGGGCGCCCAAAAGCTGTCTCACACCTTACAGTATAGGTAAGTTTTTTTGCCCTCTGTCGTCCCCTCCCTGAAATGCTATTGACCTTTGACGTATTCTGTTTTTACCACAATCTTGCTTTGGTCTTTGATTAAAGCCAAAACGATAACCTTTGGCGTTAATGAAGTTTAATTTAATCCTTTCAGAACGGTATTAGCTGTTAATATATGAGATTTCCATTTGAAGTTCTCGAGTATATACCCCGAGAACAAGAAATTTAAAAATTGAAGCATAGCTATTTTTATATTTTGTAGCTCACTGCCATTTGATCACATATTAGATGGGAAAAAAAAAGAAAAAGAGAGAAAAAATGAAAGTTCCATTTTACCCTATAAATGAATAAAACTTGAAATGCCATTATACGGGTTTTTTTTTTTTTTTTTTGAATTCAAGTGATTTGTATATCTTGGTGCAGTTTCTTGGACAAGGCAGCGGTGGTGACAGACCGTGAGGTCGACACAAGGAACCGTTGGAGACTTTGCACAGTGACACAAGTTGAAGAATGTAAGTCCTTTATTAGAATCCTCCCAGTATGGGCATCCACAATCGCACTCGCCATCTCCTTTGCTCAGCTCTCAACCTTCTTCATCAGCCAAGCCAACATCATGGACCGAAAACTCGGCTCCGACTTCGAAATTCCAGCAGGTTCCATCCCAGTCTTCAGCGCCGTCAATGCCCTCATTCTCGTCCCCACCTACGAAAAATTTATTGTCCCTTTCCTCCGTAAGCGCACCGGCCACCGCCGTGGCATCACATCATTGCAACGTATGGGAGTTGGTTTATTTATTTCAATATTTGCAGTAGCGTCAGCTGCATTGGTAGAAAAAAGAGACGTGAGAGCCCTAACCCTTCAGACATGAGTGTGTTTTGGTTGTTTCCCCAGTTCTTCTTAATAGGCAGTGCAGAAGTTTTCACCTACGTAGGACAGCTAGAATTTTTCTATGACGAAGCAACTGATGGGACAAGAAGTATTAGTAGTGCAATGTTTCTTAGTGAGATTGGGATCGGAAGTTGGTTAAGTACTGCAATTGTTAAGATCGTTGAAAAAGCAACTGGTGGACAAGAAAAAGGGTGGTTGAGGAATAGTCTTAATAAAAGCAGGCTTGATTATTTCTACTGGGTTTTAACCGTGATTAATGCGGTTAATCTCGTAGTTTATTTGTGGATTGCTGTTCTTTATAAGGGCAGGATTGGTGCAATTGGGAGTTTGAGAAATGAGAGTGTGGCTGAGATGGGTGATGGTGGTTTGGTGGGAAAAGAGAATGATGAAGGTGAATTCTGAAGATTTGCTTGTTTTGATTCTTAATTTCGATATTTCTCCTGTATGGTTTAATTATGTATGTGTGAAGACATGAATTTGTTTCTATTGAATGTAAGATTTTACTGATTTTAGTTTTATCTATTTATGGCCTAGATCAAGTCATTTTCTTAGCCTGATGTCGAGTGAAACTTAAGCAACTCAAGCTAATGGACAAAAATTAATGCTACTTGCTGGGATTTAACTTTTGGGATCTAGATTTTCTGTTCTAATCTCTAGCTGGAAGACTAATTAGACACGATAATTTTTTGAAGAAGGGAAAAGTTGTTGAGATAATATGGATGCCGTTCACATCATGATTAAAAGGGAAACAAAAAATCCTATTCACAATTGCTTTTGGAAAAGTAATTTGATAACTGTGGATACTAATGATCAATTATCCTCTTTAATGATGTGATCTTGGGATCCGTTAATCCCACCTTAATCTTACCTAGAATTTTGTCAGTTTGCTTCTGTCTTTTACTCTCGGATTGTAGAAAACGTCGTGTTGTACTAATGGAGGGAGACACAGGACTTCCAGCTGGAGATTGACTAGAAACAGTCTCCAAGCTCAGGATTTGCAATTGGCTGAAGGAAGAGCTCCAGAGTCTGAAGAGGAGATCAAGAGCATAGATTTAAATAACGGTTTCGAGAAAGTACATCACCGATATTTTGCATTATATAATGATTATATAATTGTGATTATTATTTTATTATTATAATAAATTATTATTATTATTTAGCATTATATATCGATTATGATTGTTATTTTATTACTGTAACAAATCACGATCTATAATTGTTATTGGAATATGTTTGTGATTTAAAACTATAATCAATAGCTTTATCAAATTCTATGCTTTATAGAAAAAGATAAAAAAAATATATGTTGATGTCTAACTTTAATTTATATGGAATGAAGGAAAATCCAAAGGCATGAAAAATGCACGGAAATGGCATTGAACAGTATGTTTGACCATTCCAATGCCTACTAGAATAAATATAACTCCAGGTATTCTTTGACAGAGTAATTTCATGGTATATAATGACCATTCTATTCGAATTGCAACTGTGAGGAGCCAGGAAGGAGCACTAAGGATCTTCTTGAATCATGGACATATCCACGGGTCAATGGAGATGCCAAACTGCCAAACTTACTGCAAATCGAGAAATTAACTTGGCAAAAGCAAAGTCGAAATTCGAAATCAATCAGACCACCGGCATGGTTGTGAGTCTGAATTGTCTTAAAGAATGCTCCTAGCACTAGAGATGTCTTTCTTTCTTTGATTTTGCCTATTTTCATATGCTAATACCAGGGGATCTTTACATAGCCAAAAGTTCAAGTAAATTTAGACTCAACAGGCCTAATGGAATGAGCTGGTGGTCGTCAAGGTAGCTCGAATTAGTGGCATGATATTTACATGTATGGCATCAAATGATATGGTTTTTTTCACTAACCCAAAAAAAAAAAAAAAAAGTTATTCTTCTGTCGTAAATGATAGTCATTTTGACATTTTATACTATTTAAGAAATCTATTAATTATAATATCATAACAATATTTTTATAACAGTAATTTTCTAAGTATTTTTTTTGTAAGGAAGAAATGTAAGAGGTAATTGATTTTTTATTAATTATAAATATTTTAAAAGCATAATATTAAAAATTTTGACCAAACAAACATTTTGAAAAAAATTAAATTGAAAAGGAGACAATTTTTTAGGGCATGTGAAATACTTTATTTTTTTCATGCAATAACAATCCTGTTTTCGTAATTTAGCTATGCCAGAATGCATCTTTATTATCATTAGGTCAACACACCAATTCTCGTAATTTCATACTTCGGTTCCTATTCATTTCATGAGAGCTCTTAGCCATGGACATCTTTCAGACATCATCAACGCATCAGCTTGGGCAAGATTTAGAAAATATAAATATTCTAAATTGAAGATAGGTTGTTTTTTTTTTTTTTGAAAGAAATGGGATTCGTTCCCGGTCTGACCATTATCGCAATGATTGCTAATTTTATTTCTCTCTATCATTAGGCTGCCCATTTAATTTTTGTAATTTTTATATATATGTCCTATCTTAAGAAAGAAAAAAAAAACTATTGCAGCTACAGAAAAATTCATAGAATGCTGCTTACAAGTCATTTTGGTTCCTGTAAAAAAAAAGAGAGAGAGAGAGATTCTGCTAAGCTTAAAAAATATTTGTAACTTATTTGAAATATATATATATATATATATATATATATATATATATATATATATATATATATATATATATATATTGATTTTCAGGATATCTTAGATTTAAAGGTTCAAACTAATTAAGATATCTTAGGCTTAAAGATTTAAATTAATCTTTTGTTATTCGATCGAACGCATGAGATAGACATAATAACTCACGAGTTTTTTAGGTATACAAAAATTTAAAACAAAAAATTATTTAGATATATGTGTATATATATGTATATTAATTTTCAGGATATTTTAGATTTAAAAATTTAAATTATTCGGTTAAACGCATAAGATGAACATAATTACTCAATAAATTTTTTTATATATATAAAGATTCAAAACTAAAATAACTTATTTAAATGATTAGAGCTGTTTTCGTTCAAACCAATGCTCTCATGTAACTTATACGAGGGTTAGTTGTTTTCTTTAATTAATTTCTTTACTTTAAAGGAGCTGGTACGTTGTCATTTATGTACATGCCAGATAATTTTCCTGATTTGGCCTATATATTTATCTGCCTCGTCTCAAAAAAAGATTAATTGCCTTGAATCCATGTGTAAATTACTGAAATTCGAATTCCATATAGCCAAAAGAAATGTCCAAATTCCAAATAAAGCACTTTGCCTGCCTCATCTAAAAGAAACATCGATGAAAATCACAACCGATCAAAAGTGGAAAAGCAGTGAAGAATTAGCATGCAAATTTCGCACTCATTTCTCATACGTCAATTCTCGCCACCGCTTGTGGAACACGTTGAAATGTATTCTTCATTGTCCTGTATGGACACTAGAGGCCAAATTAAGGGCTTCGGCTATTAATAATGTGCTTGATATTTTGCATGCATATCTCTATACATCATCATGATCAAATTAAATGATCAGTACTTGCCGACCAAAATTATTTTCAATATGGGCAACGTTATGATGGAAATATGAATATGAGCGTGCTTGAAAAATGAAAATACCTATCAAAATGAGCAAAGTGGGGTCAAATCCATGATGATCTTGGAGCATTAGCTTTTCATAATCTGCATATCTTTTTAATTCCGAAAAACAAACCATAATTTAACATATAAAGAAAACATAGGGGATTTCAGGCCTCAAGAGCCAGCCACATTAGTGATAATAATCATCATTTTTATCCCCCCAAAATCTCCCCATTCCCAACCTCCTACTAACATAAAAGGACTGAAACATGAAAAAAAAAAAATCAAAAGAACTTCTTCATACACACACAAGCCATCTTAAGTAATAGAGAAGTGCTTTCTTTTTTCTTCTTTTTTTGTGGGATCTTGGCTCTCCAGCCAACTGTGTAGTTAAGCATTACGGGGGTTTGCCAGTCAAACATTTTCTGTCGACGAAGGAAGCAGTGGCTGAGTGAGAGAAGTCTTGATGTGGGTTGGAGCTCTGCTGATTCCATGCTCAGGAATGGACTGAATTGCAGCCTTTTCCAATGCCAAGAACTTCTTTTCTTCACTTTTGCCCCATAGAACCAGGTACAATCCTATTATAATCAACACTGCCCCAATGATCCTGTACAGAAAAAATCATTAAAAAACAAACAAGTATATCCCATCAGGAAAAGGAATATAAATATACACTCCAATGTATGATCAGGATACTGTTCTCTTGTAACCTTAGCAGTTGTCTGACCAAACTTTACCCCACCACCCTCGTGACCTTGTCCTTTGAGAATTTTATAAACAAACAAAAATCCCATCAAATGGCAAGGATATTTGGGTCATTGAGACTTGTCATAGATTGGTCAAAATTCCAAAAATATTACCAATCCCGTGGTTGGGGATAGACGTGGAGGCAATAGAATGCATGATTAATAGATAAATAGAAGATTGCAAGAGATATGATAATTAACAGCAGCAAATAAAGGACCCACCCTCCTAAATAGAACTCTTCGCCTAAAGCAATGGAGGCCATAATAGCGACGACAAGAGTCTGAACGGGTTGATAAACAGCCACGAAGACAGGGCCACCTCTGTCAATGCACCATATCTGTACAGCGAAGGCAATCCCAGATGCTACCACTCCCTGCAATTTTCCACCCAGAAAAGAAGTTTCTTGCTCATTTCATTTTCAAAACACCCACCACTCTACATTATTGCATAACCACTTTTGGATCATATCATATAACAACTAAAGAGAAGAGTACAAAGTAAAGGAAAAAGAAGAAAAAAAAAACTATATCATATATCAAGAAAGATAAAGGTTCATGACTACTTGCCAGCAACTTCTTTCCACATGTTCAAAAGCTACAACAAAGTTACCCTTTTATTTCTGACCGAAGACCTGACAGGTTTTTAATAGTCTCAAGTACACACTGGACTCTCTTTCAGCTTAATTTGACAACCCATCTTTTCATCATTTTTTTTTCAAAAAAAAGCAACATTTAGCTCTTCTGTGGTGTGTTTAATAGTTTTTTTTAGCAAAACAAATTTGAATTATAACAATTTTAATTTGTTTAATAATTATGTAACAAAAAAATACTTTCGATTATATATCTTAAAGCCTATAGGATTCTGAGATATATATATATATATATTGTAGAAACTTGGTTCGTGTTATTATTATTTCGACTTTTTGCTAAAACAAATATTGTATATTTAAACCCATTATATATACTTATACAGGACAGGATTCGTGTTAAGAGAAAAAGGGAGGAAAACTTTGTCTAATTAATGAGTGAGCAAGTAATTAAAAAATTATCACGAGTCTCAATTTATCTGGCTTGTTTTACGTTGTCATGATTAATGTTCCCTAAAAAGAAAAAACAGGAATACTTAGGTCCAAATTAGTTAAATTGACTAATTTCATGCTGTATGTAATACCATAATGATGGGTTTAACTCTGGCTAGGAGACTGAATCTTAAAGAAGAATAAGTATGAGATACTAACTGCATAGAGAATAGTGAAGAGTTCTCCACCAGAGTGGAAAAGCCAAGCCTGTGGATCTCTCTCCATGAAGGCAGCAATAATCAAGAACTGAATAAGTCCAAAGAAACAAGTGTAAGAGGTGACCGAGAGCCTGGCAGGGTACTTCTTTAGAATTGGTGCCTGCAACACAAGCCAACCAGACCAGGACAAGCAATGGCCAATGAGGTAGATGCAGCCAAGGGTCCAGTTCTTGCCCTTAGCATCTCCAAGCGAAACAAACATTGGTGTGGGTCTGTTTAGATGTGGAGCTGGGCTGTATATCACTGGACCGTTGTATAAAGTGATCACTGAGGCCCCTGTTACACAGAAGATAGTTCCTAGTACTTTTGATATTCCATCTTTTCTGTTTAGCCTAACTTTCTCTATCCTGCAAAATAAAACATTTCAGAAAAAGAAAATTAGGTGCATGGGAAAACAAAAATGTACATTTACACGTGCTGCAGGTCATGTGTTTGCTCCAAATAGATTAAGAGAGAGAGGAGGGAGGGAGGGAAAGGGGGCTTGCCGGAGTAGAGCTGCCATGAGAAAGGTGATGGCAGGGACAGAGTTTTGGATTGCTGATGCAAAGGTGGGTGAGGTGTTGTCCAGACCCAGCAAGTAGAATCCTTGGTTTGCTGTTATTCTGTTCATATGGGAAACAAAAAATTTAAAATAAGTACTATTGGTCCCTTTATTTTTTTCAATTTGAATTGTTTGATCTATTTTGAGTCAAATATACCCGACAAGTGCAAGGAGGAAGAACTGAAGGACAAGGTTGAGAGTAAGTGCTGGCCTCTCCTTCCTGAACAAAGAGATTAAAAAGATCAATAAATATTCCTTGGATAATGTATAAAGGATGGATGATTGAAGAGAAAATTAATGGATATTAGTGCTGTACTTTTCTAGAAAATATGCAAAGGGAAGTAGCAGAAGCAAAGCGATGATGTTCCTATAAACTGGGAAGACAAGCTTGCTAACTCCCATATTTAGGGCAGCCCTTGAAACGACGTGGAACCCAGCATAACCAAACTGCAAGGCCAACATGGCCAAGTGCAGTTGGAATCTTTCAGGAACAGAACAAAACATTCTCCCCGAAGAGGCCGAACCACCAATTTCAGCCATCGTAAACCAAGACTGAAAAAAAAACACTAACACTTCAAGGATAGATTCAAGAAAGAGATGAAGGGGGTAGTGGAGAGCAAAGGATGGGTTGGGGTGGTATAAATAAGTTGGAAGTGAGTGAAATAAAAGGGGAGAGAGTGTAAACTGTGTAGGTAATGACCCACAAGGGCCCTAGTAATTTTGGAAAAGGGCCCACATGGGCCCCCAAAAGACGTTATGTCAACTGTTAGTAGCCTTCAAATGTTTTTGGCTGTCTCCCACATTCTTTCCTATTCCCCTAGCTCATTATTTTAAGAGAGAGAGAGAGAGAGAGAGAGAGAGAGAGAGAGAGAGAGAGAGAGAGAGAGAGATTATTTTTTAACAGGTTCTGTTTTGTCACCATGCCATTAATGATGATAATTGCCGAGGGAGAGATGAGCCGCCATTGATAGATAGCCCGCACGAGGGGAGGTGGCACCCTATGCGTTCTCATGCCCTATGAAGCCCTTTAACCCCACCATTCTATCTCGCATTTACACATTACTAGGGCTTTACATTTCTTGTATTTTCCTACATATTATTTAAAATTATTTCTAAGTTATTAGTATTTTTTGTGTACAGGTGATTAACACAATCATTTTTTTCAAACTAAAAAAAAAAACAATCATATGTCATGAGTAAACTATAAATTAGTCCTTCTTGCTTTGAGAAATTAATTAATTAGTTTCTTTGGTTTCAAAAATTAATTATTTAATTATTTGTTATTTTTTAATTTTTTAAGAAATAAAAAATATATAAAAAAGTAAGTAAAAATATGAAAAGATTGATAAAAATATTTTATAAAATAAAAAAATATTAAATTAGTCATCGCTAATACTAATTAAAATGATTAAATAATGAGTTTTTGAAACTAAAGAGATTAATTAATTCATTTCTCCAAACAAAAGGAACTAACAATTTACTCTACATATCATTGATACACAATTAATTAAGTTTGTAATAAAACTGTCAACATTTTTTATTCTGTTGAAATTGTCAATTATAAAATATTTCGTAAAGAAGTAAATGGAATTAATGGTATGTTAAACCATGCATCGACATTCTTTTACTTTATAGATATCATTGATATGGAAATTTCTTTTTTTTTTTTTAATCTTGAAAATATTAAAATTGTCTATGTTTTATTTAAATTTACAAATATCGCTTAGAGAATTTAAGGAAATTACTTCTGTTAACCATTAACGTTTCTTAGTTAACCTCTTCAGAAGGGTGTAAGTTTGGCAATTTTTTTTTTCTTTAAACAATGTAAATTTACAGATTACTTTTTGTTTTATTGCTATTAAAAAAGATTTTCTAAAATAAGATCATACATATCGAGTTGTAGAGATAATGAATGGGGTCTGCATGCAGTTTAAGACGCTACACATATGTTATTGGACCACGTATATAGATTCTTTAGGTGTTTTTTTTTTTTTTTTAACTCTAGTGGTCCAATTATAAATAGATATAGCATCATTTATATTTATAAGTAGTTGCTTGATAAATCCCTAATAAAAAAAATCATATTACAACTGTAAAGTATGCATAATTATCGAACAATGTAAATATTTATATTATAATTATTTTTATCTTTTTATTTTATTTTCTTACTTGATTTGTTTTCTAACAATACACTTCTTGTATAGTCTCGTATTATAACATGAAACCGTGTTCGACAAATATTAAAGCTCGCATGATAGATTAATGGATTTACGATGGATTAATTTTAGGCAAGAAGTTCGATTGCCGGCTTCATCCATAAGGGGTATATTAATTAAGTTATTAGTACCACGGTGGTAATAGTTTAAAATTTTAATTCAGTGAGAAAAAAATTATGTTTCCGGCACGGTTCAAAATTTAAATAAATGCTTCCCTAAAAAAAATTGAAACAAATGAAAGAGTAGCATTTGCTACTCTTTCATTTATTTCAATTCTTAGCTTAACAATTCAGCATAAATGAGTTGGAAAATCTTCCAACAAAAAAAAGATATTTTTGGAAAAAGTAATTTTATTTGTGAGGATAAGAAAGGAAAAATAATAGTTAGATTGAATTTTTCTATAGCCATATTCGGAGGTTAATTCCTTTATTTATGTGTCTTCATTCAATTGATCAGGCTTTACTAGCAATATTACACTAATGTCAATTGGTTTAATGATAAATTCTGCTCTTATTCTATTACGATTTAACAATTTTAGAAATAATAATTAACAATACATAATTTCATACCTTAAAAAAAATTTATTAATTAAAATAAACATAATTAAGGGTTGACTCTCTAATTTTATAAATTATAAAAAACATGTTTTTATGAAATGTTTATAATATTTTGTAAAAAAAAAATTTTAAATCAAGGAGGTTAGAAATATTTATAAAATATTTTTTTATATCATTTATAAAAATTTTATAATATTTATAAGAAGCAAAAAAATTTTAAAAAATCAAGATTAAGGAGTTCAAAATATTTTTTAAACATTTTTTAAAAAATATATAATTAATAGTGAAATATCAAAACGACATTTCAAGTAACGGTTAATTGGACTCGATTGTCATATATAAAGAAAATTGGATAATTTTGATTACATTTATCTAATCTTTAATATTTAAACTTTTAAATTACATGAATTGATATTGTGGATCTAAAATTATTAAATCATAATAAATTGGTGGCAAATTTTGTTTTTAAACCAATTTCAATTGGTGGTTTAGATTTTCCTAGCTTTTTGAGAAACGGAAACAGCTTAGTATAGTGTATGATTCCATCTCCATCGATCCAATTTATTTGATCATCAAATTCACGTAGATCGATCTATAGAACATTATACTATATGCGTGGTATTTTACTCATATATGGCAATAAAATTATTCGACCTTATCATGTTCTTGCATTCTGAACGAGAATCATGGCGATAACTTAACCATAATTCTAAGAAACGAGGAACTCAATCCACCAATACCATGCTTAATATGGAAATGGTCAAACTTTTTTAAAGATATATAAAATTAAAAGTGATCGTATCATCGTATATTTATCTCATATACTCTAATGAGGAACTCAATCCGTCGATATCAAGCTTAAGCATCATATGGCAACGGTGAAACATTTTTTTAACCATCATATATTTATTTTATATGCTCTTTCTTTCTTTAAAAAATTATACTTTTTATTATTCCAAAGTGATCATCCTATTTGACTTTTCCACTATTTAAAAAAGTATTAATTGTTATATCATATTAGTATTTTTTTCATACTCTTTTAAAATATATATTTTTTAAATTATTAATTATCAAATTTAATTCTAATTATATGAAATCAATATTAATTTAATAAAAAAATCTATTCAAAATTAGGGTGCTAAATAAAAGAAAAGGTCATTAAGTTGATTAATTTTTAACTTTAAAATAATTAAAAAAAATAATATACTAATGAAAATATTTTTATATTAAAATTTTAACATGCTGTAAAGTCTTTGTAAAAATAAATATTTTGCATGTAATAAAAATATTTCATTAAAGTTTTTATGTTAAAAGTATTTGTATATATAAGGAAAAATATAAAGAACAATGATTTTTCTGTTAGTAAAGAACGAGAAATGGAAGAATTGATATTATTTATCAACTAGAAGAGTTTTAGAAAAGTAATTATTTAAATTTTTGACCAGATAGATATTTTAGGACATGTATAAATAGAAAAAAAAAAAAAAAGCAGTCTCTTTGGAACACAGAGATTATATCTTTATCTTTGTATTTATTTTAAAATACTTATTTGGTCAAAACTTTTATTTTGTGTGCTTTTCAAAGATGCTCTTAATTAAATTTTATTTTATAAAAAATATTATCCAAATACGATTCTTAAAAAAAAAAAAAAAAAAAAAAAAAAAAGACTTATATAACATAAGAATTGATAACATTCTAAATCTGTGTTAAAAAGAAGAAGAAGATAATTTTTCAATTTTTTTGAAACAGAAAAAATATAATATTTTATTCTGTCAGTCTAAATTATATATAACTCTGCAAAATTATTCTCGCGCGTCCACCAGCATGTACCTCGCATTATCAAAGGGTAATTATTATTAAAAAAAAAAGAAAAAGAAACAGTAGAGGATCATTCCTTTCCTTCAATTTTTTTTAATATCCATTTTTATGGAAGTTATTTGGATTGGATATTTGAGAATTTTTTTAAACCAACAATAATAAATAATAAGAAAAAACTTAAAGAAGGTTGTAAGTCACTGGACTGTCATGTTAATATGTGAAACCCAATAGTCTTGAAGTTTAATTACATCTATGTATTTTTTAAAAAATATATATTATTTTTTTTCTTAATATTTAACATTGTTCTTATAAAACATCATTATTGGACCTCTATCACAGGAATCCTCTATCAATCATGGATCTGGCTGGAGACCAAGAATCCAAGCCGATGCCACGAGGGATTTTGAAAAATCGGTAGCAATCAAAGCATAAAGCAAATTTCAAGCACTCCACTTACTACCATACCATCACTTTTAGTTCCTTGATCAAAGTTAATTTGAAGAAAGAATTCCGTAGCATAGTTGTGCAAAAATTAATATCTAAAAAATATAGTTTGGTTATTAAAAATGAAAAGTCTAAAATGAAAATACATGAATCAAAAAGAAAATTAAAAAATCGAAATAACATTTACTTTCTTATATTGTGTTTGAAATAATAATAAAAAATTATAATAAAATTAAAATTTTTTAATAACTGATTTTAATACCAATAAGAATAATGATCGAAGAAGAATGACAATTGAAAAAACAGTGACAAAATAATAATAATGATAAATTTTTTTTAATCATTGTCGTGAGAATTGTGATATAATAAAAATGATAATAATGATTTAGATAAAATGATGACAAAATAATAATAATAATAATAATAAAATTTTATAATTTTTTTGTCACCACCTCCAACGAAGGTGATGACGGCGGCTATGATAATGGTAAATGTAATGATAATAATTTTTTTATAACCACTACTAATAGAAGTGGTGGTAATGGTAATGCTAGTAATAAAAGTAATTGATATACAATAAATAAAAATAATGTATCATTATTTTGAAAAAATAATTTTTTTTATTCTCGTTTTTCATATGAAAATAAAAATGTGTTTAATTTTTATTCATGTTTATACTTTTTATTCATATTCTCATTTCAATCAAACAACTAAAAATAAAATTTTTATTCTCATTTTCACAACAACATTTCAGACAACCAAACAGCAACCAAGGAAAAAAAAATCTACCATCAAAACTTTTCCAATTTCATCTATTAACCAAACTGATCAACTATCCTCGCAAGAATATTTGGAGACCAAACCTCCTTACAGTCCACAGAGAGAGAGACGCAACCTCCTTTGGAATTTAGATGCAGGTCCACCATTGCTAGAAAGAAAGGAAAAAAAATGCACATCGCTTTGGTCAAGGACTCAAGGACCATAATATATATGGGAAAAAAAAAAAAAAAGTAGCCGCCAACAGGAGGAATCCAACTTTTTTGTTAGGGTCCTTTTTATTTATCTAGCCAGTACTATATAACATAAACGAAAAAAAGAGGGGGAAAAAAAAACTTTAATGAACTAGTTTTTTCTGAATTAGGAGAATTAAAGGGTAAATTATGTTTAGTTTTATAAAAAATCGATCCTGATATCGAGGGACCTAATGAAGTGTTTCCACCAAGGTTCCCACTCCCAAAGTTTGCACAAATGTGGGCTGTTTTCTGAAATCAACTGGCCTTGCTTTAAGAGACATGCTGCCCCCCATCAATTGAGACCACCATCATTCTAAGATTCAAAAAAAAAAAAAAGGAAAAAAAAAAAAAGAGAAAGAAAAGATGCCTTGCCCAGGAAGAATATTTTAAGCCTTTTCATTTTTACAAAGTGTTTCTATCTGACACCAAATGCTTTTATTATAACCTCATATGTACGTATGCATAAGATATAATAATAAAAGCTGGTCTCGGAAGAGAAGAATTTGGTCTGACCCTGCCTGCATGAGCCGGTCGGACACCGCCCTGACCATTCCAGTTGTGAGCTTAATTGCATGTGCTCAGCTTCATTCTCTTTTGGGTCACATAAATACATGCCTGACAGCTAGAGTAGATTTAGTTTGCACGAGAGAATCTTCAAAGCCTTTGTGGCCTGCCTGGTCGAGGTTTGAGTCGACTTGATTCTTTGACTCAAATTCTAATTAATTATTAAACACCTTACATTTGCTTGAAAGTAGAAGGCAAAATTTTTGACACGATAATGATACTTCTGTAGTGATGTTTATTTTAATAGACAAAGGTTGAGAAACATGGGATTTCATTTTTGCTTTAATTATCAACCTTTATTTGGTTTTCGGAGCAGAAAGTAAAAGATCCCAATTTTTCTTAATGGTAGGACAACGAAGAAATTATAAAAGAGTGTAGTGGACTTTCATTCATCGATCTTTGATTCTGCCTTGATACAGAAAAAGTAGAAAGATCCTGTCTAGAAATATAAGGGAGTATATCCATCACTTTAAGCCAATTTCTTCTGAAACTTAATCAAAAGATTTCTCTCCTTGAAGAAGTGAAAAAATATACTCGGAATATACCATTACTAAATTTATCTTTCCAATCAAATGAGACTAACAAAAAATTAATTTCATGATCTAATTAGGAATATAAACTTCCATGGGTAATATATATATATGCTTTATTGATCAAAAGAAGATTTTTTTTAACTTAAGAGGATTAGTTTGAGCGGAATAAATTCTAATCATTTAAATAAATAATCTTGATTTCGAGTTTTTTTTATACATAAAAAATTCTTAGATAACTATATTTATCTTGTATGTCTAATTGAACAGTAAAAAATTAGTCTGAATCTTTGAATCTTTAAATATGAGATATTTTAAAATAAAAAAAAATATTTTCTTACATGGAGTCAGCCACCAATACTATTCAAAAGATAGCTAGGATTTCATTTTCTTTCTTTTTTTATAGGTGACACCAACATTACATGTGCAAATTAAAAGGCAAGGGGTGGTCCAAAATCGTACTACAGTCTAATTCAGCTATAATCTCAGTCGAAGAAACCATACTTTATACTTGTTTGGTACGACCATGCGATGCTTGCTTAAACATTCGTTAAACTTCCCTATCAGAAAGTGATTAAAAAACTGTAAACAGTTTTGGCTAGCCATCCTGCATGACCTCTAGAGTTTAGCACTTTAGCTAGCTAGCTTTCGACAAGATGTAAAGAAAAAGACCTGGATATATATTAGTTTGCAAGCCACAACAGGAAATTATTGTTAATTGTGGGGGTCAAGTTGATCTTGTCATTGACCTTGCTTCCGTTTGCGTAATTAACTCATCTTTAATAGTACTTACATGCTTAATTATAAGTTCAAGCACACAAGCATGGGCATCGTCTCCCTAATGCATAGTATTATCCATCATATTGCCCGCATTAACACAAGCATGGGCATCGTCTCCCTAATGCATAGTATTATCCATCATAATGCCTGCATTAACTTTAGTGTTGGAAGTTAAGTTTGTGAATTAACCTTAAAAGTAAGGAAAAACAACAATAAAACAGGGTTTTGAGATCCATAATGACTGTCTTGATATTATCGACAGAGAGATAATTATGAAAGCAATTTGATTTATTGCTGGATATTATCATTTATTTTTTAACAAAATTTTCATCAAACGGGAGTAAATTATAAATCAGTCCCTCTCATTTTGAAAAACAAATTAATTAGGCACTATGGTTTTAAAAACTAATCATTTAGTTTTTTTTCTTTTTTGCTATTTTTCAATTTATTTTGATTTTTTAATTTTAAGAAATAGAAAAGAATAAAAAATATGAAAAGATTGATGAAAAAAGCCATGTTATAAAATAAAAAATATTAAATTAGTGGTGATCAACACTCGGTTAAAAAAAATTAAATATTCGAAACAAAAGGAACTAATTTGTAATAGTGCATACCTGAACCGTCAAGTATTAATAAATATTTATATTTTTCAGTTTTCTTTTTTTAACTCACATATCCAAAATTGTTTATTAGGATTTGAATCTGTGATTTTTTGTTGTAAGAGACCACTACTACCTGAACTATAAACGCTTTGATATATTTCTTAGTTGTTGGCTGAAAAGATTCGTTTAGATATTTACTTCTTATATCATCATTAAAAATTCGAATTCACAAGAAGACTAGGAAAATGTTTTTTTTTCCTTCAAAAAAGCGAACCAATTTAATATTCTAGTAGAAGAAAGTTAATTATAACAAGGATATCCTTATTATTAAAATTAAGAAAAATGATATATTAACCTAATAATACTTATTTAAAAAAAAAACTAATAATACTTGCCCTGCAAAGAAAATAAATGAGAGACCCTAATGATCAAGCGTGAGGCACTACTTTATTATGTAATTGAGGAAAATAAGGAAAAAAAATGTTTACGTACTCGATAATTCTATATATATATATTTATATAGCTCAAGAGACGTTGTCTATAGGAAAATAAGGAAAAAAATTGGTTTGATTTGGCTAAAATTAAAATTTAAGTATCATTATTTACAGATAATTAGTAATAATTTTTTTTAATAATACTAGGTTTAAGCTAGTTTGACGTATAGTCCACAAAGTATTAAATTTAATTTATTTTGATAAAAAAAAACTGATTAAAAAGTATTGTATCATCTATAAAGGAAAGAGAGAAAGCAAAAAAAAACTCAAGTTTTAAACACGGAGGATTAGACAGTACATTAGAGCGTTGAATGTGAACAAGAATGATCATTAAGTAGTTGAAAGAATCTAGAACCATTTTCCTCACGCCAAAACATCATGTTGAGCACTTTGTGGACAACGTGAAGCTTTGTGTTCCCGTTAATTAATTTGCATGGACAGTGTTGCCTTCTTTCGATGATTTAATATCGAATTGGTTGCTCATGTTAAGTCACCTTCAGTGTGCCAGTTCTACATGAATCTTACCATTAGCATTCGGTTACGCGCTAAAGGTCCAAAGATTCATTTTATACCCATCGAGTTTAGCTAGTCTTTCAGCTTAAAGCTTCAAAAGCTGCCTCTTATTTTGCGAACATAAGTCAGTAGCTGAATTTCTGCCACTCCTTGTGAGTGGGTCATCGCTGAATGCAACATTACCTTGGAAAGCACTCACCCAGTCTATACATTAGAAGAGCCAAGTAGGGCTGGAAAAAGGATTTTGGAGATGAGAGTGCAAAAATGAAATTTTTTTGGGGGGTGCTAAATGTAGATATTCTCCAAAATAAGCCATCAATTCAAGGGCATCTTTATAAAAATTGGAAGTTTAGAATTAATATGAAATCTTGTCAAAATTTGGGGATTCCATAGCATCCTGCCATAAAGTTGTTCCACCTTTAGGTAGATGAAGGTAAGGAAAAAGACCCAATGTCTCTCTCTTAATAATGAGACGAGTCTTGAGTTACACAGCTCCTCTCTGAATTTCTAAATCCTTACGGCTCCTATTCCTATTCAAAAAGAAAAAAAAAAATCCTAGTTTTAATTATCAGGATATCCATGTAGGTACTAAATTGCAAGAGTAATGGAGTTACTTATGCTCATTTTATATCTCACAAAATAGACTAGATAATGCTGGTTTTTCTTTTTCCGACTTCACAATAGTTTTCTTAAAAAAAAAAAAAAAAATCACCGTCACGTGCTATGGGCAGTTTCGGATTTTTTTTGTTTTTTAAATGTCCAAACTGCCCTTTAAAATTTCCTTTTAGTTTTATTTGTTGTAGATAAAATTGGAAATTTCGACTTAAAAAAAAAGAGGAAATATTAGGGGAAAAAAACAATAAAATTATGTTGAAAACTAACCGAATTAGGACTAAGTAATAAACAAAATAAAAAACACATAATTGAACAAAAATATTGAGATGGCATGAGTGAAGACTGGAGAAAGAACGGTAGAGATACGATGAAAAAAACACAGTGAAAGTGCTTCGATCGTTTTCATCTGCAAGAGCTTATGTAATTATCCTGTCCCTTGCCCTTGATTTATTTGCTCTAGTCCATATGCAATGTCAATTCTCAAATATTCAAACAGCATATTATGTGCCTAAATTTCGTCGGCTGATATGATATTTGAACCATAGGCTACATGCACCTTGCCACCAATGAATTAAATTAGCAAGTTCATTCTCTCTTTTTTCATAATCACCCATCAGAATTCAAGAGAGAAATTTTGATAAATTCTTCTGAACTGAAGATCCGAATCAAGGACATGCCCTGATGAGGTAGATTAAATCCTGGAACAATGTTGCCACACCTTTAATCCTTTTTTTATCTTCTTTTTTTTTTGGGGCTGATTTTCCTGCGAGGAGGATGAAGGAGAGGTGGTTTTTTATTCGCAAAAATCTTCAGAAACATTGAGAATGACTAAATTATTACGTATGTCTCTAGGAATAGGTTGACTAAATTATTAGGTATGTCTCCAGGAATAGGTTCGGTTTACGTATTTTCATCGTGCCCTATACAGTTCCAGAAGAAGCTAATATCACCAAATCTAGTTCTCGCTAATAAATTGCTTCTGGGGACAAAAACCCACCACCACAGTTATGAAGTTCTATCTATCTTTGTAAAGCTTTGATATAAAAGGTCATGAGATTTTGATTTAGAACCAAACCAGCTACCTTCCTTTGGAAAGATCCCTATAGCTTTATGTGGGTTGGCTTTTTTCTGGTTTTCACTCACTAGCAGATAAACGCACTAGTGATTCTTTATTGCTTTTGTTTGGCTCTTTTGGTGGCTAAAGTGATTCCACCCACCACGCTATAACCATAGAAGAGGTTAAGACGTAGAGATATTCGCTGAAAATATTTTCCATGCTTTTTTCTAGACACCCAACATGATTAGATGGGTTCATGTTATTTCACAAATTGCGTGTGATATAGTCTATAATTTGAATTAACAAAGGTTATTTGTACCAAAAAAAAAAAATTAATAAAGGTTTTGATCAATCTTTTATGCATTGATGTCTATCGTTAATTTCCTGCTTTTTGACTGGAAATCTTTGTTTATGATCACGGCAATAAGGTCATCAAAATTGACTAACGTGCTCAATTTGAGCGGCTCTTTTATGCTTTTCTGCTTCTGCTTAGATCTACTTCTATAAAATAAATTTGTAAAATAAAAAGAAAATCTTCTTAGAAAGATGCATATAGCAGAACTAATTAAACACCATACCCAGAGAATTTTATATATTTAACATCTTAAACATCTATCAAAAACAAATAAAACTCTACTTCATGAATCTGTATGTATGCGGTATATTTAAACCAATAGTAATGCACGAGCACGCACTAAAAGGTGTAAAAAGATGCACTTCAGAATTTTATTCCTAATTAGGAAATATGTGATCACTCATGAGTGATGATTTTTTGTAGTGCTTGAAAATCAGTTTTGGGAATGCAAGGTGCTTGAAGGGGAGAATTGTGGAAGGAAAGTTATGCAACGAGTTGTCCCTTTTTCAGCTTCTGTTTCTATTGATGAAAGGATTGGACTTAGGGAACCATACCCTAACCTATATGAAACCTATTTCCCGTCAATATAATGCAACCGTATTTGTTCATCCAGATCAATCTTCACCAAGGTCACCATTCAATTATTTAAAGATTCAAGGTTCAAGGCACTAAACAGAAAGCCTAAAAGTTCCAAATACTTGCAGTAGCTATCTGATAATGAATTAGAGAGATTACAAAGAAGAAAACAGAGTTCACCAACACAACATCTGCACATTAATACACACACTTACACACACACACGTGTGTGTGTGTACACATGTGCTAACACTGTATAGTTTCACCAGAAGTGGATTTGCTAGAGCCTAGATCAATCAATTCCAGCAGTTGCTAGACATCAAATAACATATGGAACAAGTAAATCCCTGAATGAAACACGATATCAAAATCCATATAAACAATTTCCCCATACACAAGAACAAGCACACAATATAACTTAATGGCTTGTGTATTTGCTAGGTCAGTCAATTCCAATAGTTGTCACACCAAACAGCACAAGGAAACAACTAAATCCCTGGACAAAACAGAATATCAAAATCTTCATATTCTTATATCCAATAATAGCAACCAATACACGAGCTGGTGGAATTTCACTAAGTGACAGCTAGAAAAACAAGAACAAAGGAATATCGATTCACAAAAGAATTTTCATGCTTATCTTTGTAGGGCAGATGTTTTAATATGCAAGATATATTGTGGCTTGAAGCTTCAATACTATCCTCAATCAAAACATCTTTGACTCTTCCCGTCTCTCTCTCTCTCTCTCTCTCCTCATTTATTGCTTTTCCACTTTTAGCATCCACGTTCATGGGAGTCACAGGTCTCCATTACCATTCCCTTTCAACAGCACCATTGTGAGAAAAGGGTCCCTTAACTGGGGTACCCCAAGCCCACTATACTATAAAAAGTCCAAGTTGATGAAAGCATTCAATTGCATGCTCATTCATTTTGAGAAGATGGTATTGGAATCTTTGAGCAAAAGATGCTTCAAAAATCTTCCATAGGTGACACAGAAGATTCCTAGTCGGTCATTTTCAGGATCCTCATCCCTGTTTGCGTGGGTCTAATAGGAAGAATCAGTGGGCGACACACCAGTGGCTATTCGCACTAGACAAGAGCTCATTTAGGGCATGAATATTGCATTCAACATCCACTCACTAAGGCACTTCTCTGTATTCATGAAACATTATCAATGTCAATAACAGCTACAGGTTGGCGGGCATGAGCAGTCATATCACAGCAAAACCACGTAACTGATAAGCTACTAGAGATGTAATAACCTCCACATAATCAGATGAAAAATTCCTTTATGGCTTTGGTTAACATAAAAATATTTATAAAAGGTCTGTTCTAAAAGCGCATCAAGAATAAGTTAAATTCCTCTTAGATAAATTTATTACTTACTGTAATCCTATTGAAGGAAAAATGTATAACCTATTGACAATTTGGCAGTCAAATTTTCTTGAACTCCCCTTTTTTCTTTTTTTCCACGAAGTACAATTGATGGAAACACCGTCTTTCAACTAGATTATATAGATAGTAGTTTTAGTGTATGAGAAGTGTTACGCAAACTTTACAAGCCTTCGTCTTACATTCTTGCCAAATAGAGCATATATGTTCTACTGCATCAATAAAAGCCAGTTTCTCACCAGTTGCTTCCAAACACTCTTCAAAGTCCATTTATATATATTTAATCCATTATTATCTTCTCCTAATTAAAATCATAGTAATGAGATTACCCTAGACAATTTGGTTCCATTCAGTTGCAAGACATTGTATGGAGATCAGTATAAGGAGACTTTGGATGGATCAACGGTTAGAATGACAGAAAATTTGATGAATCACCTGATTAAATTGATATCAGCACCACATTAGCATAGAAATGCGCACAATGATGATATTCGAGAAAGTGATGGCAACAGCATCGAACGTTTTCAAACTGCCAATGTATGCGTTCATCTAGTGGACAACTATCATAGAACCTGTATTGATTAGGTCTGTTTCTTATCATCCAGACATGTCATATTGTTAAATGAAAAAGAAGTTGAAACAAAGAGATGTCTATCCTTCTTCTTATGATAACAAATTGAACTTATGAAGAAGTTGAAACAAAGAGAAGTCTGTCCTTTTATGATAACAAATCAAACTTGTGAAGGTAAAATCTCAAGTTCTAAAACTATTATAGACTTATTACCAGGTCAGTATGGAGATTCTAATGGAGCTTGTCTCTAATTGTTTCATAGATGATTAATTAAGGAATTTAGCATATTACATTTCAATTTATTTTCTCTTTCCCTAAATGCCTTGACCAAACATTTATATGATCGTATTAGGAGATACAAATTAATACTGTTAAAAGGGTTCCAGCATATGTTCAATTGCTAGACATCAGCCCCGAAATTCAATCCCCTGGTTCCTTTGGTTTTGTCATGTCTCGAGCACATTTACAACAGTAAAAAGGGAAGAGCAACCATCACCAAAATTGGATCAATAGTATTGCAATTCAAGAAATGATTCAGTATTAATTTTGCAATGCCCAAATATATAGGAAATGATGCCATTGCTAAGACAAATATTGAACCCTGCATACATGCAACGATTAAAAGATGCACTTACTGAGTCTCTTGGGGTTTGGTTCGAAACGGTATCCCACAGAACAGCAGACATCCATCCATTTACAGGCTATAAGGACAAGTCTTTCTTTGCAGCCAGCAAGCACCCAGTGTAGAATCTGCAATATTAACCATCAGGAAAAAGTGGCAAAATGAGATCATTAATAAATATCTTAGGCGAGCATGTAAAAAATGGAGAAAAATCAGACGTCGTTGATACTCACAGTCTCACACAACCGTATCGATCATTCTTCTAACCTTAAAAAGAAGACATTGTTCTTATCTGCTTCCACTTTTAATCACTCATCGCGCGCCTGATAAAGTTGATTAAGGCATGAATTACAGGGGAGCCTACGCGTTGCCTTCGCTGGTGGCCGTTCTGATTTTTCGGAGTTGCTTGTAGTTTCATGCGTCTTCAGTTTCCGAGGTTGCGAAAGCAAACAGTAGTGCTAGTCGACTGGATTTTCCGAGGTGGGCCACAGCCCCAATTAGGTTTCAAAATGCATCCAATTCCCAAATGGGCCTCCAAGTCCAGACTCCTAGCCTCTTTTATAATTTACAAATCCATTTAGTATAAGATCCAATAATGAGATTCTAAGAACTGTTTGGGTCTCGGATAAGCGAGCCTGCTTTGTTGTAGGCCATAGCTGGTTCTGTGACACGGCTAGGCGAAAACCATCAAATTTCGAGTCTCAAAATCGTCTTCAGCCACTTCTGTTGGCTTTGTTAATCGAGCAACGATATGTTGGTAAAGGAGTTCTCCATATTCTTTCCGAGTTAAGCTATCTACCACGAAAAGAATTTAACGAAATTAACACGAACAAGTGAAGCAACATGAGTGACTTAGAAATTAAATGAAATTACACCAGTTGCCGTCGTATTTTGTGATTATTTAGTTTTAACTTCTATCCGCGCTACATAGCATTACTCGTTTATTTAGCATTTAGTCTTCATTCATCATGTTCAACTTGTCATCTGAATAGCTTGATATTTTGAATTAAGAAAAAAACACAGATGTCCTAACTGGACATTCAGAATAACGTAGGTTATATTGAAGGAGTTTACTGGAAAATCAATGCCACAAGAGAGAGAAATAGATTTGCCAATTAGCAAAACTCAAGCCAACTACTTGTTTCAACCAAGACGAGGGAAAAGTCATAAAAAACGTTGCCCTACAGTCTTAATCATGTCGCACAACCACGCCTACAAACTTGCAGAAGTTTCCTTCTTTCAGAAAGCTTTTAATTTTAGGTTTAACCAACAATATGAAGAATGGAAAGAAGCTCTCAACGACAAATTATGCTTCTATTGCTAGAGAGATTATGAGGAGTTCAGCACTATTGTAAACAATTCATACCACTGGAGAACATTCTATTTCAACATACATGCCATCCAAATCAAATTTTACATGTTACTTCAGAAAAGATTATCAAGCTATGGACCACAGTAAAGGGTTTTTATTAACCAACCCGATAAAATAATCCCTATATAAGTCTCCACCAAATGAATGTCACAATCATGATGTTGAAGCACCTTTAGTATATTCTGAAGCACAGTACTTCCGAGTTAAGACATTCCCAGCCCAACTTTTTTCTTTTTCCATTTTTTGTTTCATCTCCTCCCTTAAGGGTTTGCTACTGGCTTATATCTGTTGGGAGAGAAATGGTAAACTTTTGATCATTATAAATAGAAATGAGACCATTATTCAGCACCTGTATCCTCGGCAGTTTTCTTATATTCTGGCTTAAGTTCATAAGTTCCTTGGTTTGTTCCCCGCTTATTGTACACACAAAGCTCGTTCAGTATCTCTTTCAAGAATTGCTGCATTCAAAGAGAACACCAGAAAATTTGAGACATGAACAGCCTGGAGCTATATGATAGTATAATGAACAGAGTAGGTGTGACAATCATCCTTCTCAAAAAGAAGGATAAAAAGGGAAAAAATATCATCTATGTTAACGTTAGATAACAATGGACAACAATAATTATATCATGCAACCTTGGAGGGAAAATATAGAGACTAAGTGGCTAACATTTATCACAGATACAAAAAGTTTAAACCATCTAATTTATGAAACATGAGTTATGGCTTATTTTGGGAAATCAACCAGCAAGCCTCAGCAAAGGAAATGGCATTTCCATGGCAATATTCTGAAAAGCTGTAACCACAGCAAAACTTTTTACCCATAACGCCTCCATTATAAAAAGAATAGAAAGAACATACCGCAGGTTGATCTGTTTCTTGAACAAGCTGCTTTAAGGCCCAATTTGGTTGCCTTTCAAATAACTTGAACATAATATCCTCCAATTCCCCACGATCCCTCCTGGTTCTCTTCACATCTGATTGTTTAACTGGTTGTGTTCTCTTCTTATCCTGATTGCATATAATAGATAATAGATTACAGATGTTAATTATTGAAAGCAGAAGGCATGGATCTGTGGCTGAAAAATGACCACCATTATTCTTGAGAGAAGAGTGCATGCAGAAGAAAACACCACTCTGGCAATTACACAAGTTATCTTTTCCCATTAGTAAGGAACATTATTCCTCACAACTCCGTCAATTAAAGCCAATTAAAAGGGAACTAACTTACAAACATCTAACACAATCATGTGCAATGGAGGGAGAGAATATACCTTGGAGCCAGACGAAATCAAGCCAACCATTCCAGGCATGGGTCTCATGTGCACTCCACGGTCATTATTAATCACCTTTAAAGCAACCAAGGAAGCAAAAGTTCTGTTACATGCCTGTGTGATTGAAAATAGCAAAGTAAGCAAACAATGCAATCCTCTACCTGTATCTGCCTATTCTTAATCATAGACTTATTCATCCTTTCACGGCACATTTTACGATACTCCTCAATGTTCTCCTCGTGGGGCTTCATGTCAAATTTATGTTCCACCTTTCCTTCCATGGCGACCCTCCCTATAAATAATTACAAGGTTTTGCAGATTGTCAAAAAACAAGATCGAAAACAAGAACTAACAATGAGATCATAGATTGGATCAAAGACATGTAGGATGCATCTATTTAAAAATCCAATTTGCATACTGATGAATCAAGACCAAGTGCCTTCAGGAGTATCATGCTCATATACAATAAATATGCATGCAGCGACTTGACATCCATGATACAGAGTAATTAAGGAGGAGAATGCAAAACAATAACACCGGCCAGGTATCAAAATTTATTTAAAACAAAGTACAAATCTTATTCTACTCCATCTTTTGTAACACTCTTTCTCGGGGGAGCAATTGCACTTAAAGAAACCCTCATGTTAGTCTTCCAGGTTATAATTGCAAATCAAAAAGAGCAGAAATTAAACTTCAGAAAATCACTTTACAACGAGTAAATATTGAATATAATCTGATGTTTACTCGGGGACATTATAGTAGCACTTTTATTTTGAAACTGGTTTCCTGTAAATATTAGATCAACAAGATTATTGAAAGCAACTGTGATTAGTAGAGCAACTCTGCTGATGAAAATTCAACATGTTGACACAATGCTCAAGTCCGTTATTAAAACGGATATGAACTGCAGAATGAGAATATGTCTTCCCCTACCAAAACACGAGCAGAATACATTGGTGTTAAACAATTCTGTCAAGCATTTTATGTGTACATAGAATTAAAAGTCCCTTATTTATATTCTGCAAGTTGCAATGTTCAACAGTCACCTTCACGTCAATGCATCACACTTAAGTTAATCATAACAAATGACAGGAGATGAGTATCAAAACTCATGTGAATTATTAAGGATTGAAAAACCAAACACCCACAAACATCAATAAATGGTCAGCAAAGTTCCCCAATAATATTAGTTTAAAAAGAAAAACCATAAGGAGTAGATCCTCACCTTGAGGTGTCTCAGAAAATACACACATAGGAACGAAGTCCTTAAACATATTCAAAGAATAACTCTTCGGTACATTCCCAACCTCAGTGCGAGCCATCTCCATGGTGAACTGATTACCATTTGGAATCGTGTGAGAGCAACGACATGATGAATAACAAGGATGACATATCATTTAACAAGCAACAAGAGAAAAACTAGATGCTGAGATAAATCATTACAACTTATATCAGCTTCAAGAATCCACAAATACAACCCTCTGATTTAAATCTCCCAGATAAAAGTACAAACTTGACTGTTGCAATCACCACTAAAGAATTCAGATGACTACAGATATGAGATTTAAAAAAAAAAGCATCTTATAAACGCAAATTCAAGCGAACTGAGCAATTATCAGCTGATTGAACTATTGGACCAATTAGTAACGAACATCGAAGCTTCAAAATAACCAAAGCCACATAGTTTTACTGCTCTCTTCACAAAAATCACAATATAAATTCCATTACTGCTTGAAGTATCACCAAATTCATAATTTCATTGACCTAATTTAGCATCTCACTCAACGGATCCAAGCAAGAATACGTCACTGACTAAAATAAACTAGGGTTAGAGAGTTAAAAGATAGTTATCAATGGATGAAACCCTAATTAGGCAATTCGTTCAACAAGGATTAAAACGATATGTCAAGAATCAACAAGAAATTAGGAGTTGCGTGCAAATTGAGAGGAAGAACAGTACCTGAAGAGCAGAGGGATCGTCAGATTGGAGAGGATCGAGGGAGAGAACGACTTTAGCGAGAGGGGCAGAATCTGAAGAAGAGGGATGACTTTTCCATGACTTTGAAACCACTACTGGACACTTCATCAACCAAACAGATTTATCAGCCTTTGATGTTTCTAAATTAGCAATAATGCTGTTTCCGCCATTACTGTGATCTTCTTCCATTTCTTTGCTTTCTTTTTTCAGTTTGTTTTTTGATGAATTTTGTTTCTCGTTCCAGCTTTTGGAATCCAGTTTTACTGCCTTTTATTTTTGTTTTAGAGAGTTTTTTTTACTGCTTTGCTTTCTAGTTTCTGGTCTTGTCGCGTCTTCTGCTCTCCAGTCTCTCTCTATTGACAGCGCTGTCTTTATATTCCGATGGCTGAACCGGGAATGCATTTCTCGAACCGGATTCGAAATAGGCCCACGCGTTTGCTGATTATTGGATAGGCTTTTATCTCACGGTACGGGTACAACCTCACCCCATTTTTCTCGCTTGTTTGACTTTTAGAAATTGAGACAAATAACCTCCTCTCATCTAAGCCCAAACTCAGTGGGCTTCAGCCCCTCTGATCTTTAGAAGAAGAAAAGAGAGCCACCCAAACAAACGGAGTTGTGCTAAATTCACCGAATTGGACGCCTAAACAGACTCGTGGCATCCATTGTAATTAATTGCAAAACGGATGGCAGATTTTCATTCTGTCTTTCGAGCGAAGCGGAAGCAGCAGCCATCTGAGGTTTCAACTTTCAACCGCTTCTCGAGGACAAAATTCTATTAATTATCATTAAAAAAAACTATAAAGTATAGGGAGTAAATTGTTATTAAACTCAATCAAAAATCCTATTTTGTGTCCAAATTGTGATTTTGCACTTTTTAAAGGATAGCGAATATGATTTTCGATTTTTAGCTCATTTGAGGATGTCAAGTTATCGATTTCGCAAACTCGATCACAAATCCTATGTTATGTCGAAATCATGGTTTCGTGTTTTTTGACAGATGGCAAATATTATTTTCAATTTTAGACTTGTTTGTTGTTGTCATGCAATCGATTTCACATTTGGATAAAAACCTTAAGTTATGTCAAAACTGTTGTTTCGTATTTTTATAAAGATGACAAAGCCGATTTTTAATTTTTGAGTTGTTTAGAGTTGTCATGCTATTGATTACACAAATTCGAATGAAAATTTTGCTACAATCGTCAAGGTACATAGACATAGTAGTGTTATTTAATCCGAGATTGGTTTTTTGCATCTTTTCAATTTTATTGCATGAGTAGAAGAACATCTATGGTGATTGCTTGATGTAAAAGTTTGTGTTCGTGAAGTTGGCTTATATTTTATTGGCAATTGTACTTATAAAATGATATCGGTATGCTTGCTAAAAAACGTAGATTATTTTTTCTTTCTAGTGACATGACATGAGTTAATACTTGATTGCGGGTATGGAGAAATTGCTTGTGCTTGCTATTTTTATCGTTTAAAGATATACTATTTGGATACATATTTATCGGTTGTTCGTTATATTCTTTACATCCATAACAAAATCCAAAAATTGCTAAAAATAGCATAATGATGTAGTAGATCGATCCTATATAAAATTAGCCTTCTTGCTTTATATCTTATTTGTCATATATCATAAAAACTTACAATCTGTCTTTTGAGCGAAGCAACGAGTCATTAAAGTTTCAACCTTCAACAGCTTCTTGTGCCCAAATTTCTATTAAATATCATAAAAACAAATACTATAAAGTTTAGCGAGTAAATTTTTATTAAGTAATTTTACTTCACTAATGAAACAATAAGTCGCTTACTATCATAATTCCCAACGAACGACTTGTTAACTAACATACAAAAGAATGACTTGTCATTCTCAACCAAACCAATTCTAAAGCTCCAATATATTTCCAAAGCAAACCAATAAAAATAAAAGCATGAAGATGAACACATCCGATATCTTAACTAATCATATTCTCATTACATTAAAAACGATTACAACTCTCGATACCGAAAGTATAAGCAATACACAAGGAAGCGAGATCTAGCCGGATCTATAATAATACCAACAAAGATGACAACCACAAGGCTAAAAACATAAAGATCTTAATCTACCCGGACGAGTACAAGCAAACCCATTATCATTTAGGCCACTTTCACTCCTAATCCTTCCAACCAATCGAATATCCTTAGGCATGATTGTAACCATCATAGCATGAATAGTAAAAAGATTTGTGTCTTTGAAGAGACCCATAAGATAAGCCTCGGTTGCCTCTGGAGGGCTACAACAACACTTTTCTAGAGCCAGAAGATCAATCTTGAAATCCTAAGCAATTTCACTCACGAAGCCTTTGGAATAGAAAGTTATGGATCAAAAGCTTAGTACTCTTTTAGTACTTTCCGATTTATCCCAAAGCCACGGCTTTTGCCCCGAAACAATGGGATTTCTTCACACCTCCGATGGCTGGAGCGCATTTACGAACCGCTTTTCTGCCAATTACTCACGAAGGACTTTGCCTCTAATGAATTTTCTTGTAGTCCGCTTGGTATGGGCCATTGTTGATCGAATTGAAAGGGATTTATATACACTAAAACGCGTGGGCTTTTTCAACGGTAAAGTAATATTGTTAAACTTGTTCACTTATTGCTCCTCTTTTTTTTTTGCTTTTTTTTTTTTTGTAGGATTCGGTTAGTGTGCACTTCTTCCTTTTTGCTTTTTTTTTTCCTTTTCAATCAATATCACTTCATGCTAGATTTATTTAAAAAGCCATGTGGTACAATTTTTTTTTCCCTAAAATTTAAGTATCTAAAAATTAATACGTTAATTTTTAATTTCAAATTTTTAAAATTATTTTTACTTTTAGATTTTCATCAATTTTGACGCTAAAAGCATGCATAAGTTGTACGTAATTGATTTTTTAAATTTTCAAATATCTCAAAATATGTCAAAACATGTGAATGTTTTTTTTTTAACTATTTGTTAATTGCTTTTTAGTATCGAAGAAAAAAATTAAAAATAAAATATCCGTAATTTTTTATATACTTTTAGAAACCGAGAAATTGCACTTATTGGTTAAAGTTAAAAAAATATAATAAAATAACATAATTTCAAATAAAAATAATTAAAAAAATTCAATTTGAAATTAAATTGAAAATTTTGTTCTCAAATAATTAAAAATTAATGAAAAATTTTAACAATTTATAAAAAACATTGAAACAAAATGAGTTTTACTATTCACAAATCACTATTCCTTTCATTATTCATATAATTTTTTATACTTTAGTCCTTAATTTCTCTCTCTCTCTCTCTCTCTCTCTCTCTCTCTCTCATATATATATATATATATATATATATATATATATATATATATATATATATATATATATATATATATATTTCAAACTTCAATTGTATTGTGATTTAGTCTTATTTTGTTTGAGTGTTTTTTTATTAATTATCCGTATTATTTAAAATTTACTACTTTAGTTTGTCATTTTTTTTAATTCTCATCAAATTAATTTAAAATTTTATGTACTGACAATTTTGATTTATTTTTCTATATATGTAGATTTTGGAATAAATTTTTAGAACATGATTATTTTTTCTTTTAAAAAATAGATTTATATAATTTTTAAATTATAGCGAGCATGACTAATATATATCATTTATCTAAAATATATTTTTAAATTAAAAGTGTATTTTAAATAATTTTTTCTCGAATTTTTTAGGAAAAAAATCAAATTAGTTAATTAATAATTGAAAGCCAAATGTAAAAAACAAAAAGAGAGACGGTGGCTCGCGCATAAGGCTTGTATTCAAAAACTAGCCATGTATAGTATAAAAATAAAAAAATTATTTAAGACGAAGGAAAAAAAGAAAAAGAATTCACTTGTTTTATTTTTTTCTTCTTTATAAAATTAAAATTTATCGAAATCAATTTTGTAATAATTTTTATTTTAGTATATTAACTTTAAATTTAGTCGATATATTCCTTGCAAGTTAACCTTTTTTTTTATAGTGTTTTTTGTTATATGCTGAAAACTTTGAATCCACTTAGTATAGTTATGATGTATAAAAAAAATATTGAATCGTTATTTTTTATAAATTAACTATGCGACTACTACTACAATAACTATTTACTATTTATTTATTTGTTTTTTTTTGAATATTTTAAAATTAATTTATTTTAAATTAAATAATTAAAATTATTTTTTGGTTTAACCTCTCGATGATTTAAATTAATATATTTTTTATTTTAATATTATTTATTTTTTGTGAATAAATATATAAAAATTAAATTCATATTTTTTCAAAAATCGATATTCTCATCAACATTTTAAAAAATAATAATGTTTTTATTTGTTCAATTCTATGTAAGTTTTTATTAATTGTTATTTTAGTTTTTTGACACAATCTTATGAAATGCTAAAGTCTTTTTAAAATTTTTATTTAATTTTTTTAGTCAATAATTCATGGATTAACAAGAATAAATCTTTTTTTCTAACGGAAGAATCATGAAAACACAAATAAAAAATAGTTAAATACAAAATTTTGATTGAATAATTATAAATAATTTTTTTTTATTTTTGATTTCATATATTTTTATAGATTCATGTCATAACACAAATTATAAAATTGAAATGATTTTTTTAAAAATAATTTTATATATTTTATTCAATTCATAGCATAACGTAGGTAAAAAATTTAGTTTAAAACTAAAAGATGTGAGAATTTGTTTTTTCTTTTGTTTGACGAGAGATTGATGTGAAAGGGTCTAATTTAGGGCAGATTTAAAGAGACATATACGTGGGTAAGCGAGAATTTGAAATTTTTGTGCCTCTCTGAAAGGATTTGGGATTAAAGGAAAGTGCGGAGAGGGAATTTGGTCCGCTGATTAGTGAATTGTCGATGGGTAGGAATGTTTGGGTTGTCATGATGTGGATAGGATCCAGGTGAGTTGTGAATGGACCGATGAGAGATATTTTTGAGGTGAGAATTTAAATTTTGCATTTTCAAGAGGCGGGGCTAATGGAAATTTTGAACCGCGAATTGGTATGTTATGGATGGCTGATATTTTATGAAGGGAGGTGACAAGGATCACGATTGGACTGCATATGTTGTTGCTAAGGAGCATAATTCAAAATTGGTGTAAATAAAATTTAAGGAAACCTCGAATTTGACTCAAACCTATGATTCTCTCATGGATTGAGTTTAAAAAAAATTTATTTTAAATATATGATTTTATTATTGACTGAGTTTTGGATTTTTTTTATTGTATTAAATTTATCCCAAAAGTTTTTAATTTGAGACAAAATTATCTTAATTTGCACTTTTTGTTTGTGATAATTAGTAAATCCATCAAGATTTAGCACATAATTGTTATTTATTTGATCTAAAAACTAAAAAAAATATCAATTTGAAATTGAAAATAAATGAAAATATAATTAATTGATTGAGTGTGAATAACATTTTTTGCACTATAACTAAGTTAAGTGTTTGTTAATTATAATTTCTAGATGCAAGTACAAAGCATAGGATTAATTAGATCAATGACGATTATTGGTTGAGCAAATTTCAATGTTTTCATACATAGGAAATTCTTGAGAATTTTTTTAAATGTATTGATAATTTTGTTCATTTTCAATATATTCATAAACTATCCCTATGTAAATTTGATGGCTTTGTTATCATTGATGATTAAATATATCAAAAGGTCATTGTTTCCACTTGATAACAAGACCATAAGATCTCATAAACTTTGTCATAACCAAAAAAATGAAAAAATGAAAAAATGAAAAAAATTATAATAATAGCTTTTATTTTGAAATGTTTATTTCTTTATTTCTAGTTTATTTCATTTTATTTTATTTTATTTTTGGAAAAAAAAGCGAAGAAAAGAAAAAAAGAAAAAATATATATACAAAATCTTCAAGGGCATAATTGAATCGGTTAAAGAAATTCAATACTCGAATTGCTATTTGTGGGGACCAAATCGAAAAAAAATATTCCTTACATGACTGAAATTACGCAAATAGGCATGATTGCAAATAATTAAGATTTCCAAGGACCAAAGTAGAAGCTTGGAGCGAACGACGGGACCGAAACTAAGCGAATGGCAAGTCGTTCACTCCGACTCGAATTTCAATCCCGATTCCCTCCAAAATTTGATCAAAATTTATCCTAATCCTTTAACCGTTTTTGAATTTCTTCGAATTCAATTTATCCCAATTATTTAGATAATCAAGTTTGAAATCAATAACGGGATTTTGAGTTCAAATAGGATAGGTAGAAATGCGAGTTAGAAGGTGTTTGAGTTGGAGTGAAATTCAAATGGGAATGCCTATAAAAGATGTAAGAATTCGAGGAAGGAGGAAGGGGGATTCGGAGGAAAAAAGAAAAAAACGAGAGTAGGAAATTGGGGGAGAGAATTCGGTTTAAAAAAAAAATTGAAAGGTTTTAGAGGAGAAAATTGCTTTAAGTTTATGGGTTTTTACGGGTTTTTGGTTTGAAGTTCTTCGTGTTCTTCATCTTGGGTTTGAATTTCACTTCGTTGCTTGATTATGCTTGGGTTTGGATTCGATTGGGAAGAGTCTCGTTCATTTCAATTTCTGATTTTTGAGGTTTCAATTGTTTTTTTTTCGAGTTTTGTTCATCAATTTTTCTAGTCGGACACTTGAATTTACGGGTTTACGACTTGAAGATGCGGGTTTAGGATGAATTTTTGGGTTTTGCATTCTTGTGTTTCGAGTTTTAAATTTCCAAACTTCGGGTTCTCGATTTCTTTTGTCCCTAATTTTGTTCTTCATTCTAATTCCCAAACACAATCCATTTAAGTTTTTCTAAATCCTCGAAACACCACCAAACGCAACAACACAAGTTGGAACGTAATCATTCAATCAAACCTGCAAAATTAACGGTAAAGACGGTAACATAGTCCAAAATCATCCTTTACTCCTTCGGTTTTGCTCAAGAAGTTCAAGTAGAGTAACACTTGGTTCTTGTCGGTTCCTTTCGTTTTTATTGAAGCCCTATTCGGGTAAATCATCTCCCTCGATTTCTTTTGTTTTCAATTTCCATTAAAATGACTCGCTTTAATCTAATAAAAGAGAAAAATGACGAGTGGTTAGGCTTGGGTTTGGTCGGAATTGTTCGGTTCTTGTGGGATAAATTTAAAAAAAAAGGGTTAAAAAATTAGAAGGTAGTTGGTTTTGATGTCCGGGGAAAAGCTGGAAATTGTGAAGAGAAAAGGAAGAACTCGAATGAACACGAGAGAGGGTGAGCTACGGGTTTAAAGTTTATATTTTGATATGAAAAAAAAGAAAGTGGGCTTGTTTGTGTGAAGCCCATTCATTTTTTAAAAAGGAGGGCTGGACCGAGGTTAGCCCGGCCCGCTCCCCTACTTGTCATAACAAAAAAAAGGAGGGCTGGGCCGTTCTCGACTCAGCCACGCTCCCCTGCGACCAAAAAAAAAGGG